CGTGTGTGAGTTTGTGTGTATGTTTGCGCGCCTCGCGTCGTGCCTCTTTGACGCTGTAGTAGTGGTAGTACAATCGCCTCGCGCTTTTTTCTTTTTTTTCTTTTTTTTTACTTTCTTCATCGAAGAGGGGAAAAACTTTTAACCGGTAACTATACAGTCATAAAACTCGACTGTCCTATTGATCTCGTTGCTTATTTCGCTCGCGAAACTAGGGATGATCGTCGGAATTTTATTATTGTGCAAAATTTGCCAAGAAAAAGTGAGGAAATATCCATCATCGTTAAAGACGATAATTTGGCAGCGAAATCCGCGCGATTCGCAGTGCAGCTTTTGTTTTTCTTTCTTTCTTTTTTGCTGATCGAAGTCCTTGTGTATATCTTGTGTGTATTATACATAGCGAAGGAAACGCTTTAAGCTACGACGTGCAGGAACAAAAAAAATTACGTATATTATTCGTAAATTAAAAACGCACAACGTATAATAATAAATTGCTTTACTCGTCGTCGACGACGACGGAGAAAGCAACGCGTATTATATATCCCAGCGCGAGCCCGCGGGGCTGGGTAATGTGCACAGCTATCTCTCTTCCTCTCTCTCTTTGCGCGCGCGAGCGTATGAAAAATGCGAAAAGATGGAATACTATCGTCATTGCGCATTTTTATTACGGTTATATTATATATGGAGTCAAGCGCATCTTTCGCTATGTACTCAGAGCGCATGAAGAAAAAAGTGGAGCTAGATACTGGCGTGGCTATATTAGCGAAAAATTCACTGCGTGACATCGAGCAGCAAAAAAAGTGAAGCAATGGATGATTATTATCCGGGGAAAAATTACACGATCGGTCGATCGAAATGCCGAGAGAGACATTCGCGACGTATTGGAAATTAATTTTATTTTGGCTTTGGCTGCAATAATGCGTTTATTTTCGCAAAAACGCAACGAGAATAAACTTGTGAGAATCATCGGGACAGTCTAACAGCGCCATACCGATGATTCATGCACTATTTCAATCGCGTTTTCATATGCTTATCTTCCTTCACTGTTGCGCCCAATGAACGTATAAATTACCATTAAAATTTAAAATGTTTTGAAGTACATTGCCGTGAATCAAAAATACTGAATATAATAATTTAATCATTGAACGAGATTTGAGCTCTACCGCTAGATGGTGAGCAAGATTTGAACTCTACCGCTAGATGGCGAGTACCATTATCTGTAAATCTACAAGTGGCAAAGTAAAAATAGCCGTATATCTAACCCAGTTACAACTAAAATTCAGTAAAATCGTTAGTCGTCTTGTTTTCTATCGTGTACACAAACGTAAGCTTCGATGGATAATTGGCGATCGCGAGCCCGGCGACACGCGCCGAAAGATATAATAAACGAAATCTCTCTGAGCGAGCTCGATACGAGCTTTCGAAAAATCGAGCGCCTAAAAAAACTTGACAATATTATTGTGATATTTATATACATTAGCCAGCGCGTGCAACATCGATCGAGTGGGTGTATATAAATTCGTCTTGAAAAGTAGTGCACGAGAGCAGTGTCGTCGTCGTCGTTGACATCAAGTGCTGCAACAAGCCCTATTTGTCTTGGATGAATTTGCACACGTGAAATTTGTATAAGAGAATACAAACCGAGCGACAAGCCCTTATTTGCCATACCCTCGAGCAACAAGACACCATCTCCCTCTCTTTTGTCAATGTATACGTACTGCACTGCCGCATACAAAGATGCATACAAACGAACTGACGCTTTTTTCATTTACTTCGTATCTGTTATTTCGCGCGCAGATAAGAAGAATTTTTCCGGAAAAAAGTCAGGAACATAAAGACGCATCATTAACGTACTGTGCATTACTGTAGATGCGTGAGTACGTATCATCGACGAAATTTTACCACGAGCAAAATCCCGACACGATAATCCTTCGCATGAAATGACACCGAGCGCGAGCTTATTGAAATGGCGGCCGAGCAATAACGACAAAAAAAAAGAAAAAATAGGTAAAAAAGTGCAATGTTGGTAAAAGGCGGTTTACCGATGTATAATGTCAAACGGCTTAACTCATTTTACGACGTGCAGGCATAAATTTGCTCACTCTAGTCAATACCCGTCTGCGCGACGTATATATACACGATATATGGTACACGCGTGAGTGTGTTTGTGTGTGTATTTGTGTGTGTAAGCCAGCGTTAAAACTGAAGCATCGATCGCCCACATTGCCAAAGGGGCGAGGCTCTCTCTCTCTCTCTCTCTCTTGTATTATCGCGTACCTACATTTATGCTACACTGCTCTCTGCTGCTGTACACTGTCTTGCGACTATTACATACACTATATGAGTGTGTGTGCGTGTTATCGTCGCCGGTATATGTACAAGGAAAACCCCTTGTGCTCTCATGGTCGGTTGATTATAGGCTGCGGGGCTAAAGCGAAGATAAAGACGATGCATTAAAAAAAAAGAAAAAAAATTAATGACTCGACGTAAAAGAATTTTTAAACGACGACGTATGCGCGAAAAAAATTTACCGCAATCGTTTGATGATGACGACGATGATGATCGTGTAATTTCGTAAGTGTGCATTCGTTCATTTGCAAGAGCATATGTTGCATCGCGTAGAGTATTTATTCTCATCTTTATTTTCGTTTCGAAAACGTTTAAAGCTCGGGAACGGGACAACGTTTACGAGAAATAATTTTGCAAAGTGAGTTCGGCGGTGGGTTCGAGCGCCGAGCGCGCCTGAACGCGACGCGACACTCTCGAATCCATGTCAGTGGAGCAAAATTGAAATGAGAGAGAGTGAAAGAGATGGAAAATCGACAAAAATGCACACGACACGTTTATGGCTACACACAGCAGACTCTTGTCGCTCAAGCTTCTATACATTCGCTCGCTCGCGCACCGCCACAATCCATCGAACGACGTGTAGTAGACTTTAAATTTTTCTCCCTCTCGACTATCGGAGAGGACACATTTGCTCGCAAACGCGTAGGAGAGAGACAAAAGAGCGAGGAGATCGAAAGCCACGAGTGTCGAGACGAATGACGATGTTTTCGTGCCGCCGCATAACCTGTCCCGCTTAAACATCGACCTATTATGGGAAAAAGCTTCTTCTTCTTCTTCTTCTCCTCCTTCTTAGCGCAAGCCGGATCCCCTTGTATTCATGAAGAAAGAAAGATAGAGAAAGCAACGCGACGTGTGGATATTATTACTTTTTTTCCACCTCGACAGAATGTATCGACTCCAACGTCGTGCGAGGAGCAAAAGCGATTTTTTCTATCTGTTTTAAATTTTTCTTCAACGACGACAAGAATGTTTGACGCAGTTTTTGCTCAAGTGCCAAAGTCGTTTGTCTGGATTAATTTGTTTTATTTTTTTTTTAGTTTTCGAGTCGTTTACCGCAGTGCAATGGAAATAGATTTATCTGCGAGAAACTCGATACTTTACGTAAGTAAAGATTAATTCGAGAATATCCGCAATTGATCGGATCATGAAAGACCCTGAACACCAATACGTACTTTTTAAGATTCGATGAATTTTTCATAATTTGTTTATTTTCCAAAAATTAGTCAAAAAAATGATGTGGATCTGCTTGACTATTATAAACACTCGAGTTTATTGACACGAATATTTATAGATGTACACGCGACGACCTATAGATCACGAAGCGCGAGATATAAACAACTCGACGTCGACTTTTACACACGACTAAACGCTCGCCTCCGTCAGTACGGCGAATCTTTTCGACGTCTTCGGAATAACGTTAAACTCGTTACGATACAGCTGGATAGACGCGTGCGCGAGCAAGCAAATATTGTTCAAACTCGCGCGTTAACCACACGTAAGATGCGCCCGAGCGATATTATATATAATATATGCATTTTGACGCTTAAGCGTGCTAACGCGCGCGCGTGCGTGTATACGCGTGGAAAGCTTGCGGGCTTTCACGCGCTAAACTTTTGGCTTTTTTAACTTTTACAAACGCGGAGACGTTCAATTTTCACATGAGCGGCAGTCTCGCTACTCGCAGCTTTATCTCTCTTGGTGCGCGACTGCACACCACAAATTTTAACGTACTTGTATGAGCAGCTCTACAAAAAATCCCTCAAAACCTTTCTCTGACCTTTTTTTGGCATTAAGACATTGATTATATAAAGAAAGATCCACTAGGATTTGAAAAAATGATATTTAAATGGTATGATTTCAAGTGAATGTTAAATTGGTAATAAGCCAACTTAATTATTTTGTTCTTAACAACATAGCATCAATCGAAAAAAAATGTTTGAACAATAAAAATTAAGGTTTAAAATCATCCAAATAATAATACAATTCTTATAAAAATTAGAAATGGTTCTAAAAAATTAATGAGAATAACCAAGTCATACTATTTTGAAATTCTAGCGAACTTTATTTAGTTTTTTTGGTATCTCAAAGCCAATAAAAAAGTTCAAGAAAAGGTCCAAATGATTTCAAAAACGTAAAACACGGAATAAGAATAATTTTTACGAAAAAACGCGATTTTTGGCCTTGTGGAATACTCAAATATCTATGAAAAAATTACCTGACATAATGTTTGTTGCTCACGCATTTGCCAATCTTTTTGGAACCTTCATAAAGAAGTATCTACATCTATTACACGCATCAAGCGGCGACAATTTTAATCGCGACTCTACCCCCGAATCTCCAGTCTCATTGATTTGTAAAATTGCTCCTTCCCGCAGCAATCTCAAATGGAAGCAAAAAACCGGCATATTTTGGAGTATTTGTCGCGAAGTCTACTAACAGAATTGATACACAAAAGAAAACAAAGCCAAGCATGTGCACAAAAACTGCGTATCGTATGAATGCTGTCGACAGTAGAGGGGGAAAGTTTTACCAGCGAGCGATGATAGCAATCGCCAGATCATCTCGCTAATATATAGGCTTATCCTATACTTGATATCGAGGTACGGAATCAACTACTAGAGACATTTAACCTCAAATATCTTTTTAATATACTGTGTTAAAAATTGATGTAAATACGGAATAAATATAATCAAGAAGGTTATGGAAAGCAATAGTGATGTAGTGAGGTAAACTTTTTAAGTGCGTTATACTATTTTTCAGCAATTTTTCTTAAATTCAAATATTTTTCAGGGTAAAGGAGGAGCCAGTCGATACTTGGTCTAATGCTGGTGAAGGTTATGCTTTCGATTTAGTGAACTCTTGCAAAAATGAAAACTTTAAAACATTGCCGTTTCATGAATCATCGGTGAGCTCAATTATGAGAATCATGTTTCATTGATTGACTATTGGAAACTATTTCACAATTTTAATTTCAGGCAAAATACGTAAATGATGCTGTGGTGTTACGGGAGAGGTTAGATGAAAAAATATTTATAGATATCGAGTGCAAATATGTAAAATCGGATCTACCTTCTCTATCGCCAGCCATCTGCAAAACTGAAAATCAAAGTTTTCAATCTATAGTAAACATAGAAAATCAAATTCAAACCAATTACTTAATCGATAAAGAACTGATAATTTTGATAAGAAAAGGATTCGATTATCATAATGATTGTCAATTTCAAGTAAATTCTCGATTGAAGTTTAAAAAATCCGAAAAGATGAAAACATTCGAAAAAACTTTCCGCAAAAAATCATTCTATAAGTATAAACTAAGTGAAAAAGAAGAAACGAGTCTAAATTTACATATTATAGCGACACAAAATAACACTGGACTATATAAATGTGAAATTTGTTACAAATCATTTTCATACAAAAGTAACCCAAAATCTCATATCAATACAGTACATAATCGAATTAAACTTTTTGAATGTGATATTTGCCACAAATCATATGGAGAAAAGTGCAACCTAAAGACTCACATAAATGCAGTACATAATCGGAGCAAACCTTTTGAATGTGGGATTGGTTACAAATCATTTGGACTAAAAGGTAACCTCCAAACTCATATAAATATAGTGCATGATCGTAGCAAACCCTTTGAATGTGAGATTTGTCACAAATCATACGGATCTAAGTATTATCTCCAAAGACACAGAATGACTGTACATAATCGCAGTAAACCCTTCGAGTGTGATGTCTGTAACAAATCATTTGGTTACAAGGATGATCTCAAGAAACACATAAATACAGTACATTATCGGAGCAAGCCCTTCGAATGTGATATTTGTCACAAATCATTTGGATATCAGAGTCAACTCGTAAGGCACATAAATGCAGTACATGACCGCAGCAAATCCTTCGAATGTGATATTTGTCGCAAATCATATGGCCGCAAGGATACTCTAAGAAATCATATAAATACAGTACACAATGTGATTAAACCCTTCGAATGTGATATTTGTCACAAATCATTTGGTCGCCGAGATACCCTCAAATCTCACATAGATACAGTACATAATCGGATCAAAGCCTTTGATTGTGGTATATGTCACAAATCATTTTCATTCAAGAGCCATCTCAATACACACGTTAATACAGTACATGATCGGATCAAACCCTTCGAATGTGGTATCTGTCACAAATCATTTGGACAAAATGGTAACCTAAAATCTCACATCAATACTGTACATAATCGCAGTAAACCTTTTGAATGTGAGATTTGTCACAAATCATATGGTCGCAAGAATACACTTGAATCTCACATAGATTCCTTTCATGATAGTGTCTAGTATTTTGCTACATATACAATATCTTTAAAAAATGTTGACAAATTTTTCGAAAAAACCTTATATTATTTTGTTATTAGTTTGGTTATAACTATGAAAAAGCTTTATCCTTTGTACACAAACTAATATATTAAATAAAATGCCTCAGATGTGTTCTTCATTTTAGATGAAAAATGTGGAAACATTTTCGATTTTTGTAATTCTTGTCTTAATCCTATATTCCTAAAGTTGTTTGCAACAATTTGAAAAAAATCACACATATTTTTTGGACGATTTTAAACCCATATGATTCTATAATATTTTTTCCATCAAATTGATGCTTGTAGAGTAAAAAATAATTGATTTTGTGCATTGATAATTCACTAATTACTAAAACATAGGGATAGCTACTGACAAAATATCTGTACACATAATAATTTACACATTTGCAAACGTTTTTGGGCTTTTCAGCAACAATTATCTACCCCCATTACGAGCGTCAATGACAAAAATTTCAATGGCAAGTTTACCCTTGCATTTTAGTCAAAATTTTTGATAGATCTGCTCGTACGTAGCGTGCGTATGTAACGAAAGATTATTTTAAAAGTCCGCAGCGTACACGCGAGTAATGCACGGTTCCGTCGGAGATGATTACGTTTCTTCTTTTTTTTTACGCGCTTCGAAGTTTCTCTCCCTTTCTCTCTCTCTCTCGTTCTCAATGCTGCTGGACGAAAATAACAGCCACGAAGCTTTCAACGCAATACGTGCGTTTCTCGACCGATGCCCGTAGCATACGCGCAAGCTCGTATAAAACAGAGACGCGTATTATACGCGTTACAGAGCGTGAAAAAATGTAATAACAAGCAAAAATCTCTGCCAGCGCGCGAGGTAAAGAGAAAAAAAGGAGAAAAAAAAGCCGAGGTCACGAGGCTCGAGCTTAGGGCAGCTGCTGATAATAACAATTATAGCGCGACTTCATAATAACTCGACTCTCGCTACCGTACGTGCGCGCGCGCGTGTGTGTGCTTTTTATCGCATTATCTCGCGAGAGTCCACTATGTACAAGTACGCGCGTGCGTATACATTCAAAGTACAATTTAATATAATTATTCACTTTGACAATGTTACATATAAGCGAGAGATATATACATTATGTATATACGCGTAGCTCGCGTTTGAGCTCGACGACAGGCCAATCTCTCTGCAACAGCATGAGCATATATATATAGCAGCAGCGGCAGTCAAGTGTAGACGCGCGCGGCTCGCTCGCGGTATTATATCAAAGCTCACGCAGAGCAGTTCGAAACATATCGTATGTAGTATAAGTGAGCTCGCGCGCGCGTACGTAGATATACGTAATGTACACGCTACATTATAGACATGAAAGCGATTTAGCTCCATGTCGAGCCATTTAACACGTGTCACTTTACGCGCTGCAACTCACTCGCTCGTTCGCGCGGACCCGACGAGCCGTGTGTGTGAGGCCGACGCACATACTGCACACGCGTATATTATATACATATATTGGCAGCTGCCGCGACTGTACAACTGTTTTAGATATAATATGCCCCCACGAGCTTACGTAGCTGTGACACTGTACTCTAGCTTACGTACTCGCAAAAGCACGAGAGAGCTCTCGTACGTGCAAGCACGTAAATGGACAAAAGATGACGAACTCTCACTCTCGAGCTTTTGTGTATAATTGTGATGAGCGTGCGTCACCGCGGGTATCGAGTATTGCACATCGATTGATTCTTTCTATTCTTTTCTTTTCATGCATTTTCGACGCATACATACGCACAGACGGACTAATATCGAGCCTCTAGATCATTGCATCCAAAGAAAACTAAATGAGGTAGCTGTCGTATTATATACACATGCCACTATAGATGCTCGTGCTGCAACTATCGAGCCGTTTGAAAGCTTTGTTTAGTCGTCGAGACAAACGCGCACAAACGCGAAAGCACCAAGAAGCTCTCCTCTCTCAGACTCTCGTTTAATGGCCAAGCACATCTTCGGCCGTTTAGTATTATTATATCTCTACCGCTGCGCTGCACGACGTATACAATACATATAGCCGCAGCTATTTATTAAGGACTCGGGCGCGGCAACGGCGGCGCTATAATTGCTCCCGCCGCGTACGGGCTTATATATTACGTACCGTACTACTACGAGCTGCGTTGGCGACTGCTGCTCTCGCACGAAGCAATATAACGTTATGTCGGGCTCGAAGCTCTGCTTCTACCCTTATGATTCAGCGAAATTTCAGAAAGAATTTATCCTATACAAATGTATATAATTTTATGATATACTCGCAGCAACGAGCGCTAATTGAGGCGGAGCATCGGCCGACTCGAGTTTCGCGAGTAAATAATTATTATTTCTTATCCGTAAACAAATACTTCGTATTTACGCTTGTAAACAGTAAACAGTAGCTCGAGACGATTTGTAAAAATCAATTCGACTTTTTGCGCATACGTTTTTATTATTCACTTGTGCGGGCGAGCTAAGCGTGCTGCCGTGCATGCAGCTTTACGAAGTCGCGCAGTATATTTTCTGCGCGAGACTTACAGTCGGTCACAAATCACTCACAACGAATTTAAGCAAAACACTATAGCGCGCGTTGCGCTGCTGCTGCTGCCGTTGGCCTCCCGAAAATAAATTGCCAGCCAATTAAAAAGCCATCTCGCGCCGCCGCCTCTGTGTGTGTTTCGTATATATACTTACACGGCGTACGGTCATTTTTCTTTCGAGGCTCGCGCGTGCAAATATCTGCCTCGTTCATCGCAGTCTCGCGGGATAATTCAAGTGCCCGTTTCGCGCGCGATTATCGTTAATTTTCGACCGAATGAATACGAAAAAAGGACACTGGGACTTATGAGGCTGATTCAATAAGAGCTCGATTTCGCATGTATTTCGAGCTGCAAATATAATGTAAGATATTTCATTGTATGAGCTACATTGTATTTCTTAAAAGCAACGAAACATGTTTTTCAGAAAAATGAGTACACCGACGATAAGATTGCAGTCATGAGTCTATTGTCAAAAAAGAGGACTCATATTGTCTCGGCCGCAAATAAATGTACACCGAGCATAATTAGCCCATTCGTATAACTGGAATTGTTTTTATCGTTACGATAAAAATAAGTAAGCAACAATTGTGTTAATATGCAAGGCAAATATTGTAATGTGCGTCTCACAGCTTTCGGCACGCGCGAACAAGTAAACGAGATAAAAAAGGAACAAAACTTCGTAACGTAAAAAATCAGTTGGGCTAGATGTAAGAGAAAAATGTATACGATTAAAAAATATTTAATGTATCCATACGCCAGTTTCCCAATCAATTATATCGATAAATTATAACTTGTCATAATATCTTTTATTAAAACGTCACGACGATATTTTCAAAACTATAAATTCGAAAATCTCCGAATATATAGCACTTGTCACACTGACAAATTTTACTCCACAAACAGCTTGTCCGATTCCCAAATAATCGTATAATTTTCTCGCAATATTCACCCAGAGCCATAAACTATGACGGTTTCCGCTCGGTCGGCTAACGCAATAAATTCATTTGGATAATTCAGCTGAGCGCTCGTGTACGCGCCATTATTCAGCTCTGTGCTATAGCGCCGCAAGCGCGCGCTAAATTTTGGGGGGCAATCGCAGGAGAGCTTGCAAGCTCCCCGAGAAAGAATCACGAGAGAGCAAGGAGAAGAGGAGCATGGCTCAGCCCAGCGAGTCACCTAATCAGAAACTCTCGAAACTTTGCTTTTGCGCACGGATAAGCGTTACGTACATTAGGATAGAGCTATATAAGAATTTCCATTCTCGCAAGCTCTGCGTATAATGCCTGTATAGTACGGGGTAATATATACATCAAGCCGCGCGCGCGCGCGCCCCGTTTATGGTGGTGGTTTGGGCGTTAAGGTATTATAAGCTTGCGACCAAAACTTTCTGCCGAATATAATATAATAATGTATGTATAATGCGTAAACGTGTGCGAATTCGCAAAACTCACCTTCGTTCTTATGTACGTTCGCAATATGTACGCAGTCGGCAACTGCACAAAGTGTCTAATTGAGACGGAGAAAATATGCCGATATTCGAGGATTAATTAAGCACACTGGCAGCGCGGGGGGCGCGGTACGGAGCTCGTGCGAGCATATAAAGTAGCAGTAGCAGTGCACCACTACCGCGAGAGAAAAGCCGATAGACACCTGTGGATTTGCACAGCGGCGCAACATCGGCCAGACCCTCTCTTGCTCGCTCGCTGCTGCCGTGGATCGTCGCTGCTTCGAGCCGGGGGCTTGTTTGTTGATTTTTTTTCGTGTAAACGCCCACTACTACTACTACTCTTACGGAGCGTCAGCGTTTTTTTGCCTCGCTGCACACATCGATGTATATTCACACGCGCGCGAGCACACGCTGCGGATCAATGTAATCTTATTGTTCTCGAGCGACGGAGATGACACAGTAAAAGTCCGCGCGTGCCGTCGTAATTGGTTTTTGCGCCCTGCAGCGGCTGCTGCGCTGCTGGATCCGCGACAGCGCGCGATCGCATATTTTTTTTTCTTTTCCCTGCTTCGTAAATGTAATATCGTCGCGTCAAGTCAATCGTTTCATCCTCGCGATTCTCGCGACACAAATTGCACACGACACGACTTGCGATTCTTGAATCAAACTTTCATCACGGCCGATCGATCGCACTCGAAACACATAAAATTTTTTTATTTTCGATCGAACCAGTGTGGAAGAAAATTTTGCGCAACACCACACTACGGCGAAGATTGTCAACGAATGTAAGAAAGAAAAGTTAAAGCACCTGGTCAGAAGCGATCTACCGAACGCCCGGTAGACTACTAACTCGACCCGATCGCGCTCCGCGCGTTCTGCCGAAAGCCAACGAGAGAGAAGCTCGCCTCTCTCTCGGCAACAAGCGCGAGCGGGCAAAGTGTGCGCGCGCGCCCCACGTATATGTATATAATACGACGATATATAGATAGCGGCCACGCAAGCTCGCGAGCCAGCAAGTCGGTAGCGAGCTTTTGTGTACACACTTTTCGTGTACGGCGCGTAAAACGACGATGCATGAATGAGTCCCAAAAATGCAGTGCCAGCATGAACATCGACCAATAGTTGTAAGGGTTTTTTCATGCTTTCACCAGTTTTATTTTTAGTTTTTACCTTTTACATCGAGACAAGGAAAAATTCTGATTTTATATCTTGAGTCATGGGGCTTTACTAAAAAGCAAGCTTTTGTAATTCGGCTAAATAGGGATATCGATCAGAAGCAAAGTAATCTCAAGCTGAAGTATTAAAGGTTATTTGACTTTATTATTTATATCGCCACGAAATGAAAACTATTGAATTTTATTTTAAACTAAATTTAAAAAGTTATTATTCATGTAGTGTATCACAACATTTTTCTGTCTAATCCAAACCTCAACTTAATAAAAAATTATAGATGCTGCTTAACGAATAAAATTTATCAAAGATTATAAAAATCAATGTAAAAATTACTTGAAAATTTTGATTGATTTTCTCGTCTCAATATATTACACATTGATTGCATAACGTTCCAATCAAAAATCGTCGACGAAAATATTTAATACGCTCGTTTGGCATAAACAGGAAACAGGAGATTATTAAATTTTAATTAAAACTAGCTACAACAGCAAAAAATTAAGTTAAAAAATTACGAAAATTGCTTGTTGTAAGTGTAAAATGTTTCAATTTTTCGCGCCTAACTCGTATAGGACATGCTGGTAACTTGCGGAAAATAGTTTCCAAAAGTTGTGCGTTACCTGTACTCGGTAAGATAGACTTACAGTATCATGCAATCAAGTACGTTTTCTGCATGTCCGATACTATCGATTCCTAAACAATTACTACATTTTTTATTTTTTCTGGGCAGTGTAGATGTGCATACGAATTTTCAAATAATTTTTTAATCAGACTTTTGTATATTGATGCTGAATTTTTCGTTACTCGATGAGTAAGCGTGGTTCAATGCATGGTTATTGTTGGCCAGCGTCTATCAGTATAATCACAATTAACGAAGAAGTCAACTAAAATTTTTGGGTAACGATGATATCGGCTTCAAATGCTGTGATTAATAATTTATCAACGCTTAAAGAATTTACATATCCGGTAATAATTACTTGCTCTCCATTGCGTTTGGTAACAATAGTATGTATAAAGTTTCAAGAAACTGAACTCGTAGCCGAGGTGACTCAATATTGAACTGATGAACGATTCCTTCAAAATTTTGCGAAGAACTTTTAAAATTCATTATTTTGGTACTTGATATCAATCTAAAATCATCAAATTTAAAGTATATAAGGTTTTAAATCATTTTTAAATGTAATCCAATATGTTTTCATGTTACGTACGTCACATTACATATATTTTTAATTGATTTTGTTCACATTTTAGCCAATCAGTTTTGGACATACAAAGTGATACTTTTATACTTGTCAAGAAAAATATAAACAATTTTAGTTATTTCATCGATTGAAAAAAATGTTGAGTCACTCTTAATAAAACGAATTATTTGCAACATTAAAAATTGATAATTGCGACTCCCGTGATATCATACGCACCTGCCATGTCATGTGCGAGTCATGAGCTTTTTTTTTGACAACGATCGTTGATATCGACAAACCAAACAATTATAGCACCTATTGAAAAGTTTGTCTTTCCGAATTTTCTTGGCTGTTTTTCTTGTTCTGATCGAATTCGATGGAGGCTTTTGGAGATTTTTTTTTGCTCTCGTTGCTTGTGTCATCTTTGCGGCATTCGTGGACTATTAATTGGGGCCTAACAACATTCTTTCGATCCCTACACTTTTCTTCGTTCTTATCGCTTGCAAAATCAATGCGTTCTTTTCTTTTGGTGGATCTTGTCTTTAGGTGGTTGATTGAATTTTTCGAAGCACCGAATTTCTGCTCGCACTTATCGATTGCGTAATTTTTGCGACCTTCGTTTGCAGCTTCGTGTATCTTCAGGTGCAAGATCAAGCTTGATTTGCGTCCAAATTTCTTCTCGCAATAGTGGCATGGATAATAATCTTTGCGGTCTTCGCGCACTGTCTGTTGGTGGTCGAGCAAATGCTGTTTACTTCCTAATTTATTCTCGCAATAGTCGCTTAAAAAATCTTTGCAACTTTTGTGAACTATTGTTTGGTGCTTGATCAAATTGCTTTGAAACTCAAATTTCTTATCGCATTGGCCACATGCATAATCGTTGCGGGCTTTGCGTACTGCAATTTGGTGCTTCAACAAATCTGAAATACTTCCGAATTTCTTCTCACACTTGTGGCATACGTAATCTTTGCATCCCTCGTGGACTGTTCTTTGGTGCTTTGACAAATCTACTTTACGTCCAAATTTCTTCTCGCATTCGTCACATGCGTAATCTTTTCGACCATCATGTGCTGTCTTTTTGTGGGAGAGCAAACTCGATTTTTGTGTAAATTTCTTTTCACACTTATTGCATGTGAAATCTTTGCGATTATTGTTAACTGTACTTCGGCGTCTTATCATGTTTCCATCCTGTGCAAATGACACCTGGAAAATATCACTAACTACTCTGGATTTTTTCGTACAAATATCCATGTCATTGCCTAAGTTAACCAATGGATCGTTCTACTTAATATCACGAATTATGAATGAGTTTAATTTAACTTTTGGTATTGTCTCGTTTCGACGTCAAAGACTTAATTGTCAATATTACGATCATAAACAGTCATGATAGCGCCTCTTCAACACTGAGCATGTTTCTAGGCAAACAAATTATAGAATGAGTATCAAGTTTCCCGACCCGTTCTCGAGATTTATACACATTTACACACATACATACACACACATACAGATATTTGTTGAGAATTCAATCTAGTTTACAAATCTGTAAACTAAATTTTCCTACGACGTCTGGTTCAAAAGTACGTTTTCGAGCATATCACAGACAGCACTAAATCAATTCATCATACCCGAGCTAAAAGATGCCGCTCCGCAGAGCAGAGCAGAAAGATGCCACTTCTGCGCTCCGGGCAGCATGATACCAGTTCAGCGCTCGATTCTATAGGATAGTATTTCTGCGTTTGAAACTTCATCTTTAACTTTTATTTTTATTCCAACTCCAGATTCTGGAAGAGCATCAAATTTTTACTTCTAAAACATGAAACATAAACATGGTGTCACTTGAAACGCAGAAATACCATCTTAGAGAATCGAGCGCTGAACTGGCATCGTGCTGCCCGCAGTGCCGAGGCAGCATTTTTTTGCTTGGAGTGCGAAGTGACATCTTTCTGCTCTGCTCTGCAGAGCGGTATCTTTCAGCTCTGACGAAAACCTATCTCAAAATCTACATTGATACAGTGCAAAATAGTGTCAAACATACATGTGATATTTGTGGAAAAAAAATACGCAACTAAAGATTATCACGAAATCACAATACACCGATTCGGCTCATAATAAAATCGCACCCGTATGCAATAAATGTGGAAAAAATTTACACAAAAGGATTATCTTAAAGCCCACATAGTTTCGGTACTTACTGGTACCACCCACCCATGCGTTGCAATATGCGCAGAAAGATATTTACACGCAGTAAAATCTTCAAGTTCACATCGATACAGTGCATCACTTAGACATTTCAACTTAAATATTTCTATTACATAATGAAATAAATATTTACATAATGAAATGAAATTGGAGGAACTCGAGATATTACAAATGAAAATTTTTAAATTACTTTTCCATTAACATTAAATTTTTTACATTCATTCATTATATTGGTTAACTAAGTTTTTCTAAATTTCATTATATGTCACTTTTCAACAGGCTTCGCTCGCCCTAAATTTCTTTCTATCACTACTTACTTGCGTCTATTGGAACTGAATAAATTTTTCATAAGAGGAATTGTCAGCGTCACGCGACATTCATTATTATGGCTTTTTAACATTAAATATTAGTGATAAGTTAAGTAGATACTTTGCTCGAACGGAACGAGCTGTATATTACACATGCTTTTCCCGCTAAATTTTTAGCAGAAATAAACTCAACGAAAAAAAAGTTTTACATGATAGCAAGACAAAAAGTATAGTCAGCGCCATAATTTCGGTATTTTCTGTGATGAAAATAAATATTTTCAATTTATGTAACATCATCACCTCTTACTTTCTTCTGAAGTTCAGAGTTCTTCTAATAGACATGGAATCCTCATTAATAGGTGTTATTTTAGTCCATTTGTCAACTACGGTTTCAAAATTCTTTTGTTAAGCAATAAATTAATTCACAAAAACCTGAAAATTCAGTATATACTACGCATATATCATAATATGATTGTAGTAATCATCAAAGGAAACATAACTGAGATTGATAAAATATTTCTGTGCGGAAAAAATCAATACTCGCATTATACTGTCAATAATACTGGGATTAAGTTTTATTTTTAGAAACTACGAATGACAAACGACAGAAATGTTTGCATGAATTTCACATATTTTTTTGGGTTTTTACTTAGTTTAGCTTTATTACAACGTAACTTTTACGATAGGAAATGTATTCAATATTATCGATGAGTTTTCGTATCCTGCAGATTAAATTATTATTAATAATGTGTTATTTGACAAAAATTCAAGGCGAAGTAGACGAAGATTTCATCGTTGATTATTTTATAAGTAAAAATGTATCAGACGTCACTACTTTTAACTGTGACAATTATACAAGTAAGCTTTTTAAAATCATGAATTTATTTACAGATAGTAACAAATAATTTTTTCAGGAAATATATTACTCATAAAAAGTCTGAACGAAAATCGAATAAGAGCAGTCATTGTGGATTTAAACAAACCATTAGACGTGAGAGAATTAGTTCAAACCAATTATTGGAGATTAGGAGTAGTCGTTGATTTACGCTGTATTGACAACGACCAAATTACTTTACTGTTTTCAGAAGTGAGATTTACGATAATTATGTTTATAGTATAGTTTTTTTATTTAGTCTATCTCTACATTGCATTCAGGCAGCAAATTTACAAGCTTATGATGAACTACATCATTGGCTTGTATTATCCCCAAATTATCAAACAGCCATGGATATCATAAATGACAAAAATTTTGGTACGTCTACTGATTTTGCAGTAGCCATTCCGGTGATTGGAGGTTTTAAAATCTTTGACCTCTATAATCCATGGAAGGAGGGAGGAGGAAAGATCAATGTAACAAGTATGGGAATATGGGATGGAAAAACTGGTCTGAATATCAACTTGATCCAGAGTAAATTATGGAGACGATCTAATTTTAATGGTATTCCTATGAAAGTTTCATTTCTTGGAGTAGGTTAAATAGTTGGTTGAAACACTTGGAAAAAAACTACTAAATAATTTTGAATGAATAAAATTTTTATCGTTACATAGAGTAAATATAGAAAGAAAACGAATATGAGCTTAGAAGTTTATCTTCAAGATTACAACGGTTTATCGAAGGATGGATTGTCTAAATTTGGGTTTAGCATTTTAAATTGTCTCGGCGATATGCTTAACATTAGGTAAACTATGTAATTCATTTCGAAGCAGACAACAATATAATTTAGTAATAAGGTTTTTTTTAATCGATTATTCATCGAAAGTTTTCAGTTTTCCGAAGTACAGACATGGCGAAAAGGTGATGTTATCGGTCCCTTATCGCGATCTTTGTCATACAACCAAATTCAATTAACTGGTAGTCCCGTAATGATGACAACCGAGAGAATCGGAAAGATAAAATTTGTATATCCATCATGGCCATTCAGGTAAATTAACATTCTACCATAATGACAATATAATTTAAGAATGAAAACTTTCAGAACATGCTTCATTTTTCGGAATCCACAACCGCGAGACATCAAGATCCAGGAACTTCTGAGGCCTTTTGCCATGGAAACTTGGTATTTAACACTGATACTCCTGTTATCATCGATGACAATTTTGGCTTTCTCATTTTTATATGAAACTAGAAAGACGTCGGATGCCTTATGCTCTAATTCTTTTATTGTTGTTATAGGAACTTTTTGTCAACAAGGTAACTTCCATTTTAAATCAAATACAAGCTTGACTTACTTGAAAGTAGTAAAAATAGATGTATTTTTAGGTACCAATATAAACATGGATAAACATGCGACAAGAATCGTTTACATTCACTTACTTTTCTTTTGCTTCATAACATACAATTATTATTCAGCGAGTATTGTTTCAGCTCGTTTGAACGAACCAATCATAAAAATGAATGATTCTCTCAATGAGTTATCTAAAACTAATCTTCAAATGGCTACGGAGCCGATGATCTATTTTGACTTTCTTCTAAAAAGGCTACCCCCTTGGGAGCAGCAATTTTTTTACAAGCAGCGTTGGTTGTCCGTACCTGAGGATAAGAAATTCATGTATCCAGAAGAAGCGATGCCTTTGGTGAAAAAAGGCGAACTCGCTTATCACACTCATCCGGACGTTGGCTACCCAGTCATAGATAGAACTTTTAATTTTCGGGAAATATGCGAACTTATGGAGGTACACATCGCTCATCCAATTTTTCGCACACTAGCAGCATCGAATAATTGTACATTTTTAGAAATAATAAAAGTCAGGTAAAATTTAAGTTTTATAAATGCAATTTTACAACAATTTTATTTGCAATCGAGTTTAGGTAAAAGTATTAATATTTTAATCGTAATATTAGTTTTGCAAAGATGACTGAAGTTGGCGTGCGTCATCGTCAAGTAATAAGGTGGACGTCGAAAAAACCGAGATGTCGCAAAGAAGACATTGGCGTAACAAGTACGGATATTTATGAGTTTGCACCACATCTGATACTTTTGGTGCTCGGAAAATTACTCGCAGTGTTGATTTTTATCATGGAAATATTTATTGATAGATTAAAGAAAAAGAATATTTCATTCATTCGAGGTGATCAAAAAATACTATCTAGGTAACTCTAGCATGAAGGGCCGCATCAATACATTCAATTGACGGGGCTTGTAAAGGACATCCAAAAAAAACCTTTTCTACCCGTTTATATTGTTTTTACTTTACTTTCTACTTTAATTTATTTTACCTTAACTTCCTTTTTAACTGTGTACTCGACAAACAAGATAAACGGAGAAAAATTACAAAAAAATTCAACACCGAAGGTAGATTCAAGCTCATAACAACAAGGTAGGGTAGTTAGACCAATCAATGACCGGGTACCAGTAAATGACCATTTTAGAAAATATCATATGAAAAACAATTAAAAATATATTTGTATGGACGTAATTCAATTCTTTAGTGAACGATGCATCTTGTTTTCTATGTTTGATCATAATTTAATAAGGAAAAACGATAATTATTGCACATCCAAAAGTGGTCATTTACTGGTCGAAAGCGGTCAATCACTGGTATAAGTACCCTACATAGTATTACCACCCAAGCTTGCAAGATGTGTCAAAAGACATTTAAACAAAAGTGTGATCTGCATAGGCATGTTCAATCAATGCACGACGATTTAACTCTTACATGTAATGCATTCGAGAAGATATTTACACAAAAAAGTAGAGTCTCCAAACGTACATTGATACAATGCTCAATGGTGTCACATATGCATGTGATATTTGCGATATCAAAAAACGGCAATCTTCAAACTTATATCAAGACGATGCACAACGGTATCACCCATGTATACACTTGATGCGTGCGGGAAAAAATTCAAAAGTAAGCATAGAGGAACTGCGCCTAGGTATCCCGATCACGTGGAATTCATGTGGAAAAAAATATTTAACGGCAAGTAATCTAAAAGCCCACATTGAATCAGTGCATCACTCCGCACTACAACTTACACAGTATTGTTACAAAATGACAAAACATTGAAGAAACTCATGATATTATAAATTTTTAAATTATTTTTTCGGAACCTATACATTAAATTTTTTACTTTCATTAAATTCACTGGGGATGTCAGCTACCTTTGCGTTTTGTGGTGATTACATGTCATCGATTACGATTCCCCGATAGGAACTGAAAAAATTGAGAGGACAAAATGAGAGGAATTATCAGCGTCATGCGACATTCATTTTGATGGTTTTTTAATCATATTAAGTTCTAGGACTTGATGTTAAATATTAACGGTAATACAAATGGATACTTTACTCAAACGAAACGAGCTACTAATATTGTACTCAAATTTTCTCATTTAATATTTAGCAGAAAAAATCTCAACGAGAAAAAAAATTAATTTTTTACATGACAGCAGGAAAAAAATGTTGTAAGCCTTATCGTCCATCGCGAAGGAAATCAACTTTTACGTGGGTCGAATTCAGAATTTTTATGTGTATTTTTTTAGTTCAGACTTCATTTAATAGACATTGAGATATCGTTGGTATTATTTTTATTGTTCTAACAAGTACGTTTTTTGCAATCATTGGTTAATAAATACATAGACCATAATTTCAAATTCAATGAAAACTACTCATGCAAGGCGCGGCAAAAGTATGAGAACCCCTGGAAATCTCACGGAGTGAGCATATAAACGCAAATTAAAAAATACATACCCTACGAATTTTTCGATAAGAAACCCAGTGGTGACCCTGACTTTGACCTTGAATATAAAGTTACAGTGAACCGACTTGAGCGAGATTAAAGCAAGAAAACCAAAAAGATTTTTCAAGTAGGATCCCCTATTTTTTGTTGCAGTTTTTAAAAGTGCGAAAAATTTTACATTCAAATATGCTTTTTTTTCTCAAGATAAATTTAAAGTTGCAACAGTTAAAAATAAAATTATAATTTTAGCAAAATTTTGAGTCAAATTTGACAAACTATAGAGAATTCTTTTTAATCTAAGAATACTCAAGATTTTTTCTCATCTTTCTGATAGATTTCGCGGAAATTGACTTGAAAAATTTGTACTCTGTACATCAAACTATGATATATAATATTCATAGAAGAAAAATAACAACAACAAAGCTTGATAAAATATTTCTATGCAAGAAAAATCAATACCCGCATTATACTGTCAATAATACTAACATTAAATTTTATTAATAGGAACTGGAATGCCTAATGAAATAGAAATGTTTGCAAAATTGTTTTTCGGGTTTTTACTTAGTGTAGCTTTCTTACACTGTAGTTCTTACTATAAGTAATGTATTCAATATTATCGATAAGTATTTATATAATGCAGATTAAATTATTATTAACAATGTGCTATGTGACAAAAATTCAAGGCGACGTAGACGAGGAATTCATCGTTGATTATTTTATGAGTAAAAACGTGTCAGACGTCACTAGTTTTAATTGTGACAATACTACAAGTAAACTCGTTAAAATTGTAAATTTATTTACTAGTATAGCAACTAGGATAGTAATAAACAATATTTTCAGATAATATATTACTTATGAAAAGTCTCAACGAAAAACGAATACGAGCAGTCATTGTGAATTTGAACAAACCATTAGACGTGAAAGAATTAGTTCAAACCAATTATTGGAGATTAGGAATAGTCGTTGATTTACGCTGTATTGACAACGACCAAATTACTTTACTGTTTTCAGAAGTGAGATTTACGATAATTATGTTTGTAGTATAGTTTTTTTATTTAGTCTATCTCTACATTGCATCCAGGCAGCAAATTTACAAGCTTATGACGAACTACATCATTGGCTTGTAATTTCCCCGAATTATGAAACAGCCATGGATTTCGTAAATGATGAAAGTTTCGGTACGTCTACTGATTTTGTAGTGGCTATTCCAATGATTGGAGGTTTTAATCTCTTTGACCTTTATAATCCATGGAAGGAGGGAGGAGGAAAGATCAATGTAACAAATATGGGATTATGGGATGAAATAACTGGTCTGAATATCAACTTGATCCAGAGCAAATTATGGAGACGAGCTAATTTTAATGGTATTCCTATGAAAGTTTCATTTTTTGGAGTAAGTTCATAAAAAAAAATCGATAGAAAAACTACTTTTGTACTAATTTTGTATGAATAAAATTTTTATTTTTACAGAGTAAGTATAGAAAAAAGAAGAATATGAGTTTGGAAGTTTATCTTCAAGATTACAACAGCTTATCGAAGGATGGATTGTCTAAATTTGGGTTTAGCATTTTAAATTGCCTCAGCGATATGCTTAACATCAGGTAGCTGTTTCTGCAGTTTAATGCTGTCAAAAATGTAATGTGGTAATGAGATTTTTAATAGTATCATTACTGGTAAAAAATCATCATCACAGCAGCATAGGCGTATTGACAACAGTAAAATATAGATCTGTGCCAGTACTCGAAAAATCTCGACTCGTCGAGTTTGAGTCGTGTACTCGAGTTTTTTCGGGTACTCGAATTTTTTCGAGTGACCGATTTTTTCGAGTACTTCTCAATATATTCAAGTTTTAAGTAAATGAATGATGAATTAACAGTCTCTAGACCACCTTTGTGTGTACATGCTTATTAGTGTAAAGTGTGATATTCGCAGCGGATTGGATTGGAAGAAGAAAATAATTTAATAGTACCTCACTACATCACACTTATAAGCATGTACACACAAATTTAGGGGTCTAGAGACTGTTAATTCATCATTTATTTACTTAAAACTTAATTATATTGCGAGTACTCGAAAAACTCGATTACTCGAATTTTCCCCATCCTACTCGAACTCGACTCGAACTCGGCGAGTCAAGTTCGAGTCGAGTAAAACTCGAAAACTCGGGTACTCGCACAGCCCTAGTAAAATACATCGGTTTTATTGTGTATATAATATAATTTGGTAATAGAATTCTATATAAATGAATATTTTTCAAAAGTTTTCAGTTTTCTGAAGTACAGACATTGCGCAAAGGTGATGTTATCGGTCCCTTATCGCGATCTTTGTCGTACAACCAAATTCAATTGACTGGTAGTCCTATAATGATGTCAAGCGAAAGAGTTGGCAAGATCAAGTTTGTGTATCCAACGTGGCCATTTAGGTAAATTGATATTGTACCAAAGACAATATAATTCAACGATGAAAACTTTTAGAACATGCTTCATTTTTCGGAATCCACAACCGCGAGACATCAAGATCCAGGAACTTCTGAGGCCTTTTGCCATGGAAACTTGGTATTTGACACTGGTATTCCTTTTGTCATCGATGACAATTTTGGCATTTTCATTCTTATACGAAAGAAAAGAGACGTCGGATGCTTTGTATTCCAATTCTTTTATTGTTGTTATAGGAACTTTTTGCCAACAAGGTAATTCCCATTTTAAAGTAATATTTGAAAAAAAATGAAACTTTTTCACTTTGAAGTAACATTTCATAAAAAGTGTTAAATTAAAATTTGTTAGACAATATTACTTTATTAGAGCATTGCAACATTTTTTTAGTAGTGTAACGTTCTCAGCATTATTTGTAAGAAAATTGTAAATTCTTACGATTATATAAGTATCATGTGTTAGGAAACTTTTTAAAAATGCATACATGTCCCATAAAAATAATTATTAAAATCAATCTACAGAACTTTTTCTAGAAATTAAAATCGGAAATTGTTTTGAATCTAAAGACTTTTTGAAACTTTCACACTTAATGTATAAGGTAAAGATAAATAAAAAATTAAAATAAAATTTAAAAAAACATATGTAAGCACGAAATTTTACTTCTTAAACGGTAAAAATTCATTCGTTTAGCATTCTTCAATACCTTTAAGAGTTAGAATAAGTTTAAACTATGTCCATAAAATATATTTAAAAGTAATGAAATCACAAAATATTAGCGAAAAATGACTTATATCGTCAGTTTACGGTAGTAGTTGTTTAGTCGAAAAAATAACTTTGATCGCTATTTCGATTTTTGATAACATCCATTTTTCAATCCACTATTCACCCATTGAAATAAAAAAAAATGTATTTTTTAGGTACAAATATTCATATGGATAAAGATGCATCAAGAATCGTTTACATTCACCTACTTTTCTTTTGCTTCATAACTTACACTTATTATTCAGCAAGCATTGTTTCGGCTCGTCTGAACGAACCAATCATAAAAATGAATGATTCTCTCAATGAGTTATCTAGGACTAATCTTCAAATGGCCTCAGAGCCGATGATCTACTTTGACTTTCTTGTACAAAGGTTACCCTCTTGGGAGCAGCAATTTTTTTACAAGCAGCGTTGGTTGCCCGTACCTGAGGATAAGAAATTCATGTATCCCGAGGATGCAATGCCTTTGGTGAAAAATGGCGAACTCGCTTATCACACTCATCCGGACGTTGGCTACCCTATAATAGATAAAACATTCAATTTTCGAGAAATTTGCGAACTCATGGAGGTACACATCGGGAAGCCAATGTTTCGCACACTAGCAGCATCGAATAATTGTACATTTTTAGAAATAATAAAAGTCAGGTAAAATTTGAGTCTTCAAACGCAATCTTACAACAATTTCATTTCCAATCGAGTTTAGGTAAAAGTATTAATATTTTAATTGTAATATTAGTTTTGCAAAGATGACTGAAGTTGGCGTGCGTCATCGTCAAGTAATAAGGTGGACGTCGAAAAAACCAAGATGTCGCAAAGATGAAATTGGTGTTATGAGTACAGATATTTATGAGTTTGCACCACATCTGATACTTTTGGTGATCGGAAAATTATTTTCAGTGTTGATTCTTATTATCGAAATATTTATTGTTAGATATAAAGAAAAGAAAACTTCAAATGTTTGAAGTAATCAAATATACTTTTAATTATGTATAAAAAATACTCAAAAATTAAACATACTGAAATACTTATTTAGAAATATTTTTGTTTTTATTAAATTCGAAAGATAATTTCATTAAAAGTTCATATAAATATAAATGATATTTTTTTACGAAAAAAGTATGATGTATCCATTAACGTAAAAATTGATTTGCTGATATCGACTGTATGAAAAATTGCAGGTGAATTAAACATTTAATTAAATTAAAAATTTCAGTGATAAATTTAATGTAAAATTTGTTCATAAAATTAAAAAAATTGCATAATTAAAAATATGCAAGAAACACTAAACAGAAACCTATTTGTATTTTTATAATTAGATGACAAGTTGTATGATCGGCATTGAATTTAAAAACGCCAAATCCATGTTTTAAAATCTTTTCTACTATAATTTATATTTTTTTAACACTCCGTGCGTAAAACATTTGCACGTATAACAATGGTTTTTATAACCTATCAGTGATACAAAAACCACGTTCTACGCACGAAATGTTAAAAAATATGGTATACAACACTTTTTACATAATATACTATATCAATTAGTGTACAAAAATGTACACTATAAAATTACAGAATTAAATACTCATATTCATTAAGTCTTTCCTTCTCTCTCCTTTTTTCTCTTTCTTTTTTTCTTTTGCTATCTCAATTACTTGGGACTACTTTTCTATCTCTTCTAGATATACTTATCCATTCAGATCTCCTATCTTTACAATGAGATAGCCATCTGTCTCTACCATATTTCTTTTTATTTGGTGAGATCATATCGACGGTGCTTACAAAGACTATCTCTTTTTTAAATGCAGACAAATTCCTGTAGCAAAGAAATTCTCTTTTTTTCAAAATGCGGAATTCAAACTTTTCCCAAAACTTGTAATGACTAGATCTAAAAAAGCGGAGTAATTAACATCAAAAAACTATCATGCTGCAGTTTTAAAAAAGAGACTTTCTTCGCAAGCACCGCCGATATATCATATCCTCCTCTTTTTATTAATCATAACTGATGGAATATAGTCATCTTCAGAACTGTTAATATTTTCATGCATATCAACATCTATTACAAATACTTTGGGTTCTATTTTATTGTTTTCTTCTAAATCGTGTCTTAGTTGTAGTCTGGGAAGAAGTACACTACATGATCTTTCTTCTTTGAACAAGTTGTCGATGAACTCATCCATTGTGATAATTTTGAATTCTCCTTCACCATTCTGGATACATGAGCGCGTCCAGCATAAGTCGGCCACCCCGCGCGATTACGGCATTTTTGGCCGAAAGTGTCGTATGTTTAGCTCGCTCGGAAACGTTTAGCAAGAGTCAGAAAAAAAATCCAAACACATAGATCGATCGATTTTTTCCTCCTCTTTCTAGTGGTGTAGCTTAAAAAATTCTTAAAAATTGATTTTGAGGTTAAAACTTGACTTGAATGTTTAAGTCCATTTTCCCAAAAAATGTATCTTCCGATTGCAATTTAAACCGCACCAATCGAAAGAGGAGGCAAAAATCTATCGAAAACGATGTTTTCCAGGATGGAGAAATGATAAGAACTATTAAAGATATCGAGAAGAATAGCGCGGGACGGCGCGCGCGGACCTGTTTTCCGTGCGCCAGCGGCGGCACACGCGCGGCGCCGTGTCTTTGTCTTTTCGACTCGCTCGTAATCGCTTAAAAAATGCTGGAAAAATAATGTTAACACGTAATTCGATAGATTTTTTTCTCCTCTTTCTGATGGTGTTATTAAAAAAATTCCCAAAAATTTTTTTCATAGTCAAAACTTGACTTGAATTTTTAAGTCAATATTTCTTCTAGTATTTTAATTTTGACCTCAAAATTAACATTACCAATCGAAAGAAGAGGAAAAAATCTATCGATTTACGTGTTTAAATTATTTTTTCAGCATTTTTTTAGCCAGTCGAAAAGACATACGCAGGAAAACAGGCCCACGCGCGCCGTCCCGCGCTATTCATCTCGATATCTTTAATAGTTCTTATCATTTCTCCATCCTGGAAAACATCATTTTCGATAGATTTTTACCTCCTCTTTCGATTGGTGCGGTTTAAATTGCAATCGGAGGATACATTTTTTGGGAAAATGGACTTAAACATTCAAGTCGAGTTTTAACCTCAAAATCAATTTTTAAGAATTTTTTAAGCTACACCAATAGAAAGAGGAGGAAAAAATCGATCGATCTATGTGTTTCGATTTTTTTTCTGACTCTTGCTAAACGTTTCCGAGCGAGCTAAACATACGACACTTTCGGCCAAAAATGCCGTAATCGCGCGGGGTGGCCGACTTATGCTGGACGCGCTCACATACGTTTCTGTAATCTGCTTGCAGAGGTTCTAAATACCTATAGCAATCAAAAGCTGTCCGTGTGAGACGCATGTAGAACGCCCCCAAGGCTCGAACATACTTATAGTCTTCGTTTTTTATAAACTCAACAATTATATCTTTCTCTGGCTGCAACTGGAGCATCTTGAGAACAAGGCATATGAAGGGGGTTGGTTGAGCATTGCAACCAAAAACACCACCTATAAATCTTAATTTGATAGCTTTGTCGACGAGCAGTGCTGCTGTGAGGCCAAAACATTCCTCTTTCCAAAATGTACAGTTTAAAATTCTCGACTGCACAATTTTTTCCACCAAATCCTGTGGATTGGTATCACGAATATATTCCGTTTCTGTGACAGTTTGATTTGCCATAATTAATGAAATGACTAAATTTTTAAATTCAAATACACCTTAGAATGGTATCTTAGGCCCACGTGTTAAATAAATTGTACAGATTAGGTTTTCAAGCAGACGGATAGAATAGGACTATCGTCTCTCATATCACTGAGTACTGATTAAACAAAGATTTTTAATCTCTACTGCTTGCTGGGGTCTACTCGTCTCGGGTTTTGAACTACGACTGATCTTGTCGCTACAAATCCATCTATGTATAGATCACACGCGACGGCGGATGGCGCTCTGTGGTAGCGACCAGACGTCACAAAACATTGTCGAGCTTTGCGCGTCAGTTCAAAAACAGAAGAAAATACAAAGTTTATAATCGTATCGTACCCGGTAATCGGTAAAAATTCCAATCGAACTGAAAAAATTTACTCTTCTTAGCTATGATTTGTCGTTGGAATAAAATTAGATTTTTTTAAAATTATCACTTTTTAAGAGCGTGAATTAATAATTACTTTGTGTATTAGAATCATAAAATTTTTACATTCAAGTATTAACTTTTATCTCTCTAAGCCTTCCCTCTGGGTTTTCGAATTAAATCGAAAGGAAAGTATTTAATGAAACATAGAAAAACATAGAATTATTTATTTAGAGATACATTTATTTTCATTGAACATGCAATAATTTCCAAACTAATTCATATAAAAGAAATGTGCAATGTAAAAAATGATTTACTAATATTGATCAGTATGAAAAATTATAACTGAAGAAAACTGTTTTGTTACAAAAAAACACAAAATAATCAAGCTAAATATTTTTCCCATTAGTGATGATAAATCACACTTTATCATCTATTTATGTCAATTTATACAGAAGCTCTAGGGTCTTGCGTCTCGCACTCCTTGCCGAGTCAGAATTATTAACAGTAAACTTTCACCATTACAGCTGCAACTTTTTTTCATTCAAATAAAACGTAGTGACAGCAATATCTTGAAAAATCAGAGCACAGCACTCGGATTACGTATACACAACGTGTCATTGCAGACAAGGAATGATCGTTATTTAGCAAGAAGAGCGCGCAAAAAAAGGCATCGGTATTATATAAGCCGTATATCATTCCCCAACCCGATATGCGCTGGCTAGCATGCGAATCACGAGATCAATGGGCATCGGGCGACGGCCGCCGCCCCCCGCGAGTATCACTCGAGGACCAACGCGCAATACAATAGGCAAACACGGAAGGAGTGCATAGTGAAAATGATGCACCATCATCACTCGCGAGCTCGCGCACTACACAAACATAGATGCACACAGCCTCCGCTGCTGCTGCAGTCTTTATTCAGGCGTGAATACGCCATTCGATCCCGTGTTAAAAGATCGCTATTATTACACAAAGACTAGCCACGCGCGGCTCGCTTTATGATAAGAAGAAAAAAGTATGCAAGAGAGCATTTCCTATAAACATGTTTTTTTCTCTCTCTCGCCTGCATATCGACAGGGATTGCGCGCGATCCTGTGCCGAACGCGCCCCACAGCGCTCGCGAGTCGACGATCGTTCGTGCTACGGATCGCTCGTTACTATTTACTGGCTTGTAATAATTTTTCATCGAAGTTCGACTCGAGGCACTTGAAGAGCTTTTCTCTCTCGGGAAAGTCATGAAAATTTTAGAACTGTTGGCCGCAGGTTGTGTGCTGATCGCGTTCCGCTGTCCCCCGGTGAGTTTGAAAATCATCGATCACAAGGAATCGAGCGACAACTACGTGCGGCCCGGCAACGATCGTTCCATCGGACCTCGCCGTCCGGTCCAGCTGCTCGAGCCGATCGGCAGCCCACAGATCGATCGCAACGAAAGAATCGAGACGCATTTAGAGACTCGAGACAATGGCCACGAGACACCCATGTTTCTCGGCGAGGTATACACGTCTACTTTTATTTATATCTTCTAAAAAGACGAGTGTAATACTGATTTCTCATTTTCAGGCTGACATGGTCCAACTCGGTGGTTCCAATACGGAGGAAGAGTCGCACGGTCAAGCCGATCAAGCCATCGAAGCCGATGAATTCAAGTACGAGTCGGAGCCTCTGGCGGATTACGAATCGGTGAATTTCGCGAAAGCCGGAACCGAAGAGGAACTCGAGCCGATCGCCTCGGCCAGCCACGACGACCTGACGGATCTCGCCGATCATCACCACCATCACCACCACCATAAGGTCGGCTACAGTGTGGGCGGGCCCCTCGTCAACATAGCCCGAGGCGCAGCGGCGCAGGCCCACACCTTCGAGAAAAATCAGCCAGCTGCGGCCGCCCAAGCGGCCTACGTCGCCAAGAACCGGCTGGGCCAGTCGGCGGGTCTCTCGGCGGCCACCGCCGCCGCTGCCTTCGCCGGCAAGCAGATCATCTATCGGGGACTGCAGCAGCAGGCCTACAACGCGCATCGGGCCCTCGAGTCCGAGAAGCTGCAGCTGCAGCAGGCCCAGCGGGCAGCCACGGCCGCGGCCCACGCCGCTCAGCAGGCCGCGCACCAGCTGCAGGTGATCACCACGGCCCTGAACGCGGCCCAAGCGACGTCGCAGCACGCCTCGGCCGCCGCTTCCGAGGCGGCGGGCGAATTGGCCGCCCAGACGGCTATGGTGGGCGCGGCCAAGGCTCGACTCGCGGCCATCGAGCACCAGCTGCACCTGGCCAGCATCGACTTCGAGGCGGCGCGTCACGCCAACTTCGAGGCCGCCCACGCGGCTCAGGTGGCTCAGAACAACGCGGCTGCAGCGGCGGCTCACGCTGCCAAACTGGCCGACGGACACCACCATCATCCTCATCACGACGGCCACCACGACCACCATCATCACCATCACCATCATCATCAGAACCACCATCAGAGCCACCATCAGCACCATGAGCAGTCGGAAAAGTTCGACGAGGAGCCGATCTCGGAGCACGAGGAACCCGATGACGAGCACGACGAGGACGATCACGAGGAGCACGAGTCGAACCTCGTCATTGAATCGCTGAAAGTCGCGACGGCCAAGACCGACGACAATGCGTCGCATCCAGCTGTCGCTGCTGCTACTGCTGGTGCTAGTGCTGCCGATTCCAACGCCACGGAAACTCCTTCGGTGCTCGTGGTCGACGTAGGATCGCCGCGCAGAACCGCGCAGTCGACCGCGCCTCTTGCCACCAAGGCCGTGACTGCCCTCCTCGACAAGGAGGAGTACGACGCCTACGACTCTTTTCCGTATTAACACCACTTTCGATGATCGCGATCAATCTCGTTGGGCTGGCCCCTTTTCGATGAATTTTTAGCTATATACTTACAACTTGTTTTACTGAATGCGATCTATTAAATGGAATTTCACATAATTTCAATAAAATGTTTCGTTTATTTTTACTTAATGATATTAATTTTTAATAGAGATTGATTATACATTAAAAATACTGTTTCGTTACAAAAAATGCATCGTCAGATACGTAAATTACAAATTGTACACGATTTTCAACCATCCTTCCGAACGATCTACCGACTGGATTGATTTGAATCAATCTAGTTTTATTACTTTCTCCTGCCCTGTCGGCTGATCGTCCGAGTGATCGTGTGTACGCTTTTGGCTGACCCGAAAGGTGGACTGCGCGTACTGCTGCTTGAATCCTTCCAAAGCGCCTCGCATCCAGATGCCGATCGCGTGAGAATCAGCCAAACCTAAATATCCTCCAATCTATACACGCGCAATTGTGAATAATTTTGTATAAAATAATTTTTTGTTTTTTAATTGTATATTTATTGAATACATCGACGTTTATACCTTGACGTCTACGTTAGCCGTCCGAGATTGAACCGCTTCGACCGCTCCCTCCAATGCAAACATCAAATTCGCCTCCGGGTTCGTGTCAAGTTCCAACAATTTTTCTCTGGCCATTTTCAAAACTCGAATAAACTCGAACTCGTGTATCTCCTTGAATGGGAGTTGCTCAACGGCTTCGCTGAATGACTTCACCCATTTTTTGATTTTCGAATGATTTTTATACTTCATAAGCTGAAATCCAAAAATCGAATCTGGGTCAGTTTCAAAGCCAAAAGTAATTATATTTGTAAAAGTACATTGCAATATCTTACGTTGTTGCTCATGCCTCGGAAAAACTTGGCGTATAGCTGATCTTGCGTCGTCACGCTTGCTGCGAATATCCGAGCTATTTCGTCTATAATTACGGCCGAATCAGCTGGCTCGAATGATTTTTCCTTTATAGATTTCTGAAGTGTCTTAGCAATCGTAGCTAATCGTGTTCCACATTTATTCGTTTCTCCTTCCATCAAATCTAGTTTATCTATATTTGAAGCGCAAGCGATCAAGGCTTCGCATGCAAAATCTACTGCGACTGAAGTAACTTCTACTTCAATTTGATCTTTAAAGTTGTATAATTCACTTTTTAAACTTTCATTCTTAACTTCCTAAAACATTCACATGCATCTATTAATTCATAATTTTATTAGTATTAAATTATCAAGTTACAGTTATATTACACTAGAAGCATTGACCCAAAAATGAGCTGATGTTGGTTTTTTCAAATAATTCACAAAGAATGGATTGTCTGATAAATTCCAACAAATTACATTGAATCCACAACATTTTTCCCAATCAGGAAGTGGATGATATAAAACAAATTCAACTGAAATCTTTAATCTGTTAACGTGTTCGACCAATTTATTTGTGATAATTTTTGTCTCACATACATCAAAATCTGCAAAAATTTAATTAATGTTAATGCTTACGATAAAGTAAATGATCAAAAACTTCAAGTTTATTTATTACCTTTTGAACAACTGAGTACCAGAGCTAACTTTTTACTTTCTAAATTCTGTTCAAATAAATCAGGAACTAAAAATTGTTCACACATTTCTGATACGATTTCCTCTAGAATAAAATCTTCATGGTAAGAAAGACACTTGTGTATACTTCCTCTGTGAAAGGCTATTTCTATACTTTTCCTGTTAGCTTCCTTTTGGGAAATTGAACTTAACATTCCAAATATTACATCTTTTACTATTATTTCATTACAAGTATCATAAATTTCTTGCAAAGTTTTACCGTCATCTACCATTGCCCCAGATATTTTATATAGGTATGGTAAACAACATGGATGAAATGAGTGTACGGATAAATCAGAACTAGACATTAGATGTGATTGTGAGTTTATCTCGTCACTGTTCTCTACTAATATTACTTTTATCGATATTTTGTACTGGTCAGCCAAGTATTTGGCACGAAGATATCTTGCTAAGTTAAATCCTTTCCATTCTTGTAAAAATAACAAAATATCTAAGGCAAGACGGTTTTAATGATTACTATTAGCATACAAAAATATAAAACTCAATTGTAAATAAAGATCAAACCTGCTTTTGGTTTGCCATTTTTCTCAAGACCACTTATTTTTTTAAAAATCTCCAAAATTTTTTGGGATGATAATAAATTTAAATCCTCAAGCACAGTTGCAGAAAGCATACCTGAGCCCACAAAACCAACAAATAGAGATCGATTTGACATTGAACCAACTCCAACGATTGCTGTCTACATAGAGAACAATCAGCTTTGATTAATTAAATATGCACAATTGAAATAATATAAGATATACATTTTTACACTGTATACAGTTAAGAAATAATACTTTGTTATTCGATAGATGATAATCTTTCTGTACTAAAGTTTGGTAATTGGGCAGGTAATCCAAGTAAAGGTTCTTTGAGCTAATATTTGAACTATTTTCTTCATCCATCTCGAGATTTGAACTATTTTCTTCATCCTCCACGTTGAAACGCACGTTTTCCATTTTTTATTTGATTCTATACTACTTATATCAATTGATAAACATTTTTACAAACTAGGGCACTGTTAGCAACATTTTTTTTTTTTAAACGAAGTCAACCCTCTTAGAGCACTTGATTTTCTCAGCCAAATGTCTTTAATTTTCACACTAATTTCTTGCGTGGGACGTTTGTAAACAATGCCGGATCATGTGCTCAAACGTCAAGATATGTAGCAGACGACACGCTAACCACTCGTGCGCGTAACATGCGATACAAAATATCAAAACATCCATGGAATCATCTATGGCGATTGCAACATGAAGTAAAATATATAATTATAGGCTATATGGCATGGGATTAATTACTAAAAATATTTATTTTTCAATATAAACTTATTATTTATTCATTTATTTACAATTTTAAGTATATGACTAGTATCAAAGTATGTTTTAACTCTATGCACATTTTGTAAAAACTCTATTGTTTTTTCGGACCATAATTATACATTTCTGCAACAGCTTCTGGTTTTTCAAACCACAAAGTGTCTTTCTTTATGTTCATAGGAATTTTCTTAGAATTTTCACAACTTTTACAAATTATAAAGATTTTCTTCTTTTTTAATCGAACTTTGGATGTTTTACCAGGAACAAGTGGACAATTGCATACTTGACAAATTGTTCGTTTTATATTATGATCACTAGAATATAAAAATGGAATTATCAACAAAGTGCATAAAAAAAGGTGAAAAATGACTTTTTAGATATATTAAATCTTACATTCGCAGTACCGCTTTTTTGGCACATGCTTTCATGCTGGATCCACAGTAAGCAGCTACAACAGAATTTTTTGATGAAGCAAGCACCCCTGCCTGAGAAGAATTATTTTTAATATAAATCAAACTGTTTAAAATGATTCTCATGATGGTTAAGATAAAAAAAATTCTAACCTGATATAAGTAGTTCATACGTTCAAAAATGTCCTTTCCTTGACATAATTTTTCTTGAGGAAAATTGTTCGAATTTTTTGCACTTAACACAACTGTTTTTGAATCTTTTGCATTTGACTTCGCCGTGGTTGCATCTTTTGCTGTTAAGATCGTCGTGCTTGAATCTGTTGCAGTTGATATCGTTGTAATATCCTCTTTTGCAGTTGACATAGCCGTACTTGAATTTTTTGCAATCGACATCGTTGTAATTGAATCTTTTTCTATTGACATTGTCGTGTTTAAATCCTGTACAGTTGACATCTATGCGCTTGAGCTTTTTATTATTCACATCTTTGTGCTTGTTTATGTTCAAAGAATATACTTATAACTTAGGTTATGTTATTTTTCATTCACCCTTTCCGTGATTATCACAAACGGCAACAAGTGTCGCTCGAGCGGCAATTTTAATTGTCAATTCTGCTCTTGACATTTTCATGATGTTGTCAACAACATTTTGAATCGTGTATTCAACTAAAAAAATTTAATTAGTTCAAAACAAAGAATAAAAGTAGGTAATACGTAAAAACATTTTGTCATGTGTTCTTTTTATACCAAAATTTGAAAAAAATCGTAAAAAGATAAATGTATATCATATCAATGATTATCATTAATTCATTAATAAAAATAATTTAAGATCTTTTCATGCGCAAAAACATTTTTTTATATCGAACGCAATTTCTGACTGCAAAAATCTTTCTTAATTGTTCAAGGGATAGATTAAATTAGGAACACCTTACTTTCGATGACATTATTTTATTTACTGGTATATTTACACTAACTATAATTTTCTTTTTTTTCATACTTTAAATTTATTTTTTGCATCTTGCATTGTAATAAATGATGTATTTTTATTGAATAAATCATATTCAAATTTACAATATCAGTCTATAGCAAGTCAACACTTCTTTTCCAGAGCATGCAATACCAACAATCATATTGCTCAGGTGAATATCTTGCATATACATTTGCCAGAATAAATCTTTTTTGTACCAAAAACATATATATTTAAATTTAGAAACAAAGCATAGCTTCATCATCAATAAAAACTTTTCAAAGTTTATATAAATAAAAAGCAATGCTTTGTTTCAAACAAGAAACAATTCTTTGAGTGAATTACACATATCAACAATCACAGAAAGCACTTCTGGATGAATCTTGAGGTACCAAACTTTTTTGGCTCTCTCATTATTTTTTTGAATCATGCATGGGCTTAATTTATTATTTATCCTAAGTCATATGTACCTCATACTCATGTAAAAGATAGCAAAGTAAACTTCAGCGCAATTTTTCACCAATCCTCATATTCACACATAGTCATGCATTCTTACTTGCACATACACTCATTCACTTGAGATTGCAATCACACGCATACAGGCACACACATTTGGTTTTACAATATTTTTTGTGTTCTATTATTGTCTACTAGTGGATTTACTCTTGTTCTATAGATATTTCTTTCACATCATGCCATAAAACTGCTTGAATATGAACTCTCATGATTTTACCATATGCTGATGTAAAAATGCTGCTGTTAAAAGAGCTTTTATGATGGTTTAATATGAATAGAAATTTAAAAATGATGTCTCTCTTGGGTTTCAAGTGACATTTCACTAAAAATTGCTCTTTGGGATTCTTCAATAATTCAACCGGATTTTGTGATGTTGTTGAAAAGACGTTTACCCCACCAAGATTCTAAATCAAATGGTTTAAAGTCTGCAAAAATATATTCAAAAGGTCAAATATAATGAAACTATAATAGAGATAAGTTTAAGAAAAATGTATAACCTTGTAAAACATTGTTTGGTTCTCCATCATCGTAGTAGACAATAGCTTCTAAAAAAAATTGAAAAATTTTATACAAGATCTTAATAATGTTTTGCTACGTATTCAATAAAAAAAATTAACTTAGAATCCTTAGTCTAGGTAAATTAAGAAATTAAATTATAATAGTATTTTAATAGTGCATTATTACCACTCGGTGAAGATTCTGACTGATCTGAATCATCAGAGGACGAAGATCTTTGCCTTCCATTAATCTGGTCCCATGCTAAAAAATTTAGTCCAGAATTATTATTCAAAGTGAATTCCCATCAAGAAATGAAAAGATTTGTCTTACATTCACAGATGTACTTGATCAATTCTTCATGTTGAGGCGTGATAACTTCTTGTCTTGTTCTATGTCGTTGAGTATTTGGTTTGAGTTTACCATTTGTGTAAAAAACAGGTTTAGGGATATTTCTAAAAATTAAAAAACATATTTTATTCAAATATTTCAAAATTGTTACCTAATGATTAAAAAGTAAAAAATTATAAATTTATACATGTTGCTTTTATCTTCTTCTGTAATATCATCTTCTGGGTCACTTTTGCGAGACATATCTCTGAAATTTTCTAATCTCTCCAGATTTTGATTCATGCCTGAAAAATTATGAAAAGAAGCTAATGCATTATTTATAAATTGAAGATGTATTATTATAAACAATACATAAATGCAGAAAATTAAAGAAGCTTCATTTATTTAGCTTCATTTTGTTAATCAATGAACACGAAAATAGCTGACTAAGCAAAGTTCAGAAGTACACTATTAAAATAACTCAAGTACAGGAGCAAAAAAAGCACATGTTTAAAGACCCCTAGATTGAAAGAAGGAGAAGGAGGGAGAAGCGGAGCGAGTGAGACAGACAGAAGGAAAGAGAGAGAGAAAAAAATAATTCGATGTATGAGGAATAAATTAAAGACACTAATTAGATTCGAAGACTTTATTCGAATCGTTAAAAAAAACCGCCTCAGTTGCATCATTATACTCTTCTAAAAAAAATAAAAGCAAAAAAGTTCACTCACCACGTCTCGTTTTGGCAACAATTTTACTCGGTCCTCTGGATACGGTATACATGTTATTGCGTACGGCGATATGCAGCAGTAGTTATCTCGAATGGAACAACGATGAAGCGGATAAAAAATTGCGGCTTTCCGTGCGAACCCTGCTGCACTCTGCGATACAAATATAAGAAACAAATAAATAAAATGATAATTATCGAAATTATCGCAACCGCAATGCGATCCAAAATTAAACGATCTATTACTACGAGAATTATATAGCAGTGTATGCAAGCAGCTGAGTGGCGATCGGCCGAAATGTACAAGTTACGCGAGAAGACTAAAGTATATAATGCGATCAGTAGCAGCAGCAGCAGCGGGCAAGCGACGACGATGAGGCAACGTTTAACACGCCGACGACGTTATATCGATAAGGAGATGAGAAACGTGTTGGCCCGAACGAATATATACCACATTGCATGTATATATATGTAAAACACATTTACTTGTGGCGTTTCGGACTGCACTCTCCCGAACGTAGCACAGTACGTCAGATTACAACTGCGGGTTTATAAAAGAGCTCATGCCGAGCGGAGTCGAGAACGTCGTCGAGTATATAGGCAGTAGGAGAGAGAGAGAGAGAGAGAGAAAACGAGAGTGCCAAGGAGATAGAGCAACTCTCTTATTATATATGCTTTATAATCAACGTATCCGAGGCGGTCGAGCTTATATGATAATGTATTATGTATATAAGAATGGGCTCCGAGTTTCGCGAGAGCCGCATACACATATGTATAGCCCGCATATATATTGGAGTCATAATAGGCCCCCGTGCAAACATTTGTCAACGTGAATTCGCTCGTTTTCTCTCTCTCTCTCTCTCTCTCCTTTTTCTCTCGCAGTTCGCCACACGCACATACACAGAGATAGATAGAACTCACATGTCTCTGCGGCTTCACGGCTCTTCTTATATATATATCTATCGCGCTCGCTCTGCCTTGTTTTTATAGATAAGCACGAGACTCGCGAAGGCAGAAAAGAATATAAGGCAATAGAGCCTATGTCTTGTGTATTTATACGTAGATGCGGAGCACTGCGGCAGTTTAAGACAGCTCGCACGGAGAAGAAGAGCCGCGCGAGGCTCTTGAACGATAAAATAGTATAATGTACGTAAGCCTACTCGCGAGTCACTCTGACTTGTGCCTTACATATGTGTGTATGCATATGCATGCAGCACGCGACTTATAACGAGGACCGCGCGAGGAGCCTGAGAAAGAAGCACTGCACTGCACTGTGCATCCGCCGCGAAAGTCGTGATCTCTCGCGTGTAAGAATAAATCGTCGCGGAAATTATTGTGTTCTTACTGTACTTATACCGTACCTGGGCAGGTGAATACTTTATATAAATAAATTTGCCGCTCCTCGTGAGATCGTGAGATTGTTGCGATATATTAGGATATGTACGAGTTGGAAGTAAAAAGTCGCCCGATCCGCGCGCACGCACGCACTCGCTCGAGAGTCACGTAATTGTCAGAGCGCAGCGCGAGTTTGGCACACGCCGTTGGTACAGCTGTGCATTTATAATATTTTTATTATATATATGTACAACAACGCGTGCGAGACACGAGGCATGCATCAAGTAAGGACGGGCAAATGTTATACACGGCGAATATTATTATTATTATTATGTATGCAGTCCGGCGGCAGAAACAGCAGCAGCTAGAACGTCGACGAGTCGCGGTCTACGAGCGAACTTGAATTTTCATCGCGCTGAGGTTATTACGTGAGCGCCTCGTTACTCGCGGTTACGATTATGTATAGGTATACACAGTAGCATGCAGCTAGCGTGTACCTACGTAATAATAGTCGATGTATATATAGCGTACACCTACGTGCCCTCATGCAGTGCAGTCGCAGTGCTCGTAAGCATTCTATAGATATACGTACCTGCAACCGAAAGCGGCTACAATTATAATGCATCCGATCAGCGGCTAAAGTCGCTCGCGATCCAAAGAAGACTCTTGAGAGAGAGAGAGAGAGAGAGAAGCAGCGGTGTGTCGAGCGTTAGCGATTGTGCTATATCTATAGCTTGTATGTGTGATAATGTACGAGCCTCCTCGCAGCACGAGCGACACGAGCCTAGCCGCACTCGATACTCACTCGTCAGTCTTCGCTCTATACACGAGTCTATGCGTAGCTCCTCCTTTATAAAAGCGATCTATCCACTATGCATCAACAATAACTCGAGTTAAAGCTAATCAACTGTCTGTGGCTGTGCTGATCGAGTCAGATCGGGCATTGTGTGTATAGAGTCGCCGCACACCGCAAGTGCAGCTTTTATAACTTGGCACCACCGTGAGTGTCCGCGATACGTGCACTTTACGAAATCGAGAAACGACGACTTCAACGACGAAGACTAGAATTCGCACCACGACTCGCGGATCGCCCGATGACCGAGTACGATACCTCGAAAATACCAAACGACTCCGAACTGACTCGTGCGCACTACACTGCTGCTCCGAGCTTACTGTCTACTGCTGCTGCTTTTGCACGCACACAAGCACACACCCACACACTCACACACACTCGGATGGGCGAATAGCAGAAGTAAGCATGAACGAGCCCACGAGTTATTGCGAATCTGCGCGCGAATCGCCGCGCGTTATACGGACCTATACCTATCCTGTGACACACGCAAAGTGTGAGAAACTACGATATAACTGTAGTTGCTCAGGGCGGCGGCTACACCTTAGCTCGTTAGGCTGATCCACCTTATCAAATTGTCATGACAAAATGGATTAATGCTCAAAGGCGGAGGCATCTCAAGCTTCATAGTACATTATGTTATATAGTTACGTAATGACTAAAGCCGTTGGTAACACATATATAAATAGTCTGCAGGTGTAACCGCGACGGGGCACGCGTCGAAAAATAATCATAAATCATTCGACGCTGCTGCCATAATAGCGTCTCCGCGAGCTACGATCGAGCGTGTCGACCCATCCTCGGCTGAATAACACAAAATGTTCATCGGCGCACTGCCCCCCGCGCGCTGAGCAGCATAGAGAAGCTGTCGGCTTATTTATGATGCAAGACATGTGTGAGCTTGCGAAGTTGCCACACCACGACTTGCGCGCGACCCGTGGTGGCGCGAATTACAGAATTCACATTCTGCCCAGCAGACAACTGTCACCTACATTTGTCACGATGAGAGCCGAGAGTTCTGCATGCGGCTTCTCTCATTTGCGCGTATGGCAAAGAATCGCATTTCGAGTTGTCATGCCCTCGCGTTCAATGACTTTACAATCGAATTTACATCTCGCGCTGCGAATAAAGTCGAATCGAGCGATTCTCGAGTGCGCCTGACAGCAGCCGCGCGATGCCTCTTATCGCGCAGAGTCGTCTGCTCTCCGATGCAGAGGACAATGTATCAATTACAACCTCTCAGAGGTGCAGTGTGCGCGTCGAGCGATGTATTTCATAATACGTGTCATCGCGTGAGTTTTTGGAGTCGATCAAAATCGACTCACTGCTCATGACTGCGTCAGCGGGGAGCACGACACTATATACACGCGTTCCACATGCACGAGCAGTAGACGGCAGCGCTCGAGATAGTTAAACGTCTTTATTTCGACTGTCAGTGTGCCACGATCCGATATTACGTATTATTGAAACAGTGATCGTTTGCTGCATTTATTTAAGAAGATTAATCACGTAAGTCGCATCCGAGTATCTAATGGACGCATAACTTTTCAATTAGTGTAAATGTGAAAAGCGACTCGCGATTACAAAGCTGCAGTTCTTTGCATTCTGCAATATATCTGTCACATGAGCACACTGCACTGCACAGTACTGCTGCTGCTGTCTGCAGTACTGCTTACCGCTGAACTATACGTACCGTAGCTAGCACACGCTTCACGTGAATCGCGATTGGTGATTCGTTCGCACCACGGGACGCAACGTACATACATATACACCTATATGCACACGATACACACGACCTATACTAACACACATGCATTCAGACGCAATCATCGCAGTACTTACACCTATCTCGGCAACTGTCCTATAATCGTGTACGTTTGGCACACACTGCTTATTTTTAAGATTTTTGTCTCGCGCATCGACGTTTACTCGCTGCGGAATATCACAGCTCTAGCTCTGCGTTCTCTAACAAATTATCACGATTAACCTAGAGCTCGTGTCGAGTGTAGTACGTGTGTGTACTGTGTAGTAGTAGTCTTCGAGTATCATCGACACACACGCCAATATCGTCGTGAATAATCTTAAAAAAGTTTCTTCCCAATGATGAAAACATGACAGTTGCGTTGCGTTCTAGAAAAGGCTTGCATCATATAATCGACAGCTGTACCGCGTCCATCCTATTCAGGGCCGTTCAACTGTAGCATCTTCATCAACAACACACCACTATACTACTTTTCTGCTGATGCTGCGTCTGCTGCTGGTAAATAAGTAAATATAAGAGTAGTTGTTGTATTGGTGCAGTAGCTCAACTCGTGCAGTTTAATGCGCAGTGTTCATCGAGACGTGTGTGCGTGTACGTGAATTGTGATTTTTTTTTCTGTTTGATTGCAGAGGCAAAATGAGTGTTGATTAAGTATCAAAGACTGATCGACGGGGTTGTAATGCCCAAATTTATTCGGTGAAATGCCCGATAAGGAACCTACGTTACATCGCATTGTTACGACGTCTCTACAGAGTTTTTTTAATTTAAATAACATCAAGTTACTTACTTCACTCGTTCACAATAGTCTGCACTTCCAACATGACAGCTGTCGAAGCCACCCCCTTTATACGTACCATCGAATGGGACATGATGGACAAGACCAAGTTCTTTCCATTGAGCATGCTGTCATCTTTTTCAGTAAGATGCTGCCTCTATCCCTTGACTGTTATCAAAACACGTCTACAAATTCAAAGAAAAAGTCACATGTACTCAGGTTAGACATTTTAAAATTCATTTACTTCTTTGTCATCGATATTCAAATAATCTTTACTCACTGTAATCTTTTTATCTATTTTAGGCATGATTGATGCATACAGAAAAATTTATAAACTTGAAGGTTTTTCTGGTCTGTATCGAGGCTTTTGGATCAGTTCTATACAAATAGTATCTGGAGTATTTTATGTTTCGACTTATGAAGGTGTTAGACATTTGTTAAATAATGATCCAAATACAGCAAAATTGGATTCTAGAATTAAAGCTTTAGTTGGTGGCGGATGTGCTAGCATAGTTGGGCAAACTATAGTTGTGCCATTTGATGTACTAAGTCAACATCTCATGGTGCTTGGTATTAGAAATAGTCAAGGACAAATTGTTGATAAAGTGAGAAAGTTTATTATATTACAATATTCAATCATTTAAAATTTTATCTAAAATTAAATTTTTTTTTCTTCTTCAGATGGGTATGAATCCATTAGGAATATCTTTGGAGCCTGGTAAAACCAAAGCTCAAATCTCAAGAGAAGTAGTTAGGCTTATTTATCAAAGAGATGGTTTTCGAGGTTTTTATCGTGGCTATGTGGCTTCTTTGTGTGCTTATGTACCAAACAGTGCTCTTTGGTGGGGACTTTATACAACTTACCAAGGTATGACATCTACTTTAAAATATGTGATAACAATTATATAATTGAATAATTGATAATTGAATTAATATGAATAAAACTATTTTAGATGAATTAGTGAAAATTCTACCTACGTGGGTATCTCATTTATTGATACAATCAATTGCTGCAACACTTGGAGGTTTTACAACAACAATTATTACAAATCCTTTGGATGTAGTTCGGGCCCGATTGCAAGTTCAAAGACTAGACAGTATGTGTAATGCTTTCCGTGTACTGTGGTTAGAAGAAGGTTTACGTATGTTTACCAAGGGCTTATCTGCAAGACTTGTTCAATCAGCTTGCTTCAGTTTTTCAATTATTCTTGGTTACGAAACCATCAAAAGAGTTAGTATACATGAAAAGTATAAGAATTATATTAGGTGGTGAATTGTACTCTGGATTTTAAATTTAAAAGTTTCTTGCGAGAAACTTTTATCTCCAAACAATGTGTATGTGAAGAACATTAATTCATAGAAATGAAAGACAAATGTAATCAGAGTACCGTTAGTACATTGTTTTTTGTTGTTCTTCAAATAATATTAAATCAAAATTTTTGTTTGAAATAAAATTGCCAGAGTATCATTCCATTCAACTTTATTCTAATCGAGGTACTGCGAAATTTTTGAACGATTTCCCATGGACTGATGTACACAACTATTTATAGGTTTGTCTTCTTTAGTACATCAATATTTATTTTGAATAATGTAAATACATGTGTTTGTACAATTTTTCATGTATAAAACGTATGCTGTTGGTATTACTGTAATAATTATTTGCATCGTCTTGAGAAAAAATACTGGTAGAATAACTAATCAAATTTTGATGGAAAAATATATTCAGAATAATGGATATTTTTTTTTTAAGTTAATACCAAAAGTATACATGGTGTACTCAATGTACTTTCGACCCATGTTCATAAAAATGGTGCAATTATTTAGTCTGTAAAACAATGAAATTATATATAATTGGAATTTTTTGTATCATAATTAGTCAAAGATTTGAAAATTAAAACATTTCTAAATGCATTTTAGAAATAATTTAAACAAATTTTGTTACGAATCATAATCATTTTATCAATAGACTATAGATAAATAATCAATGTTGCATTCATCAAAAATGCAACGTGAAAATTTTATGCTGAATAGCTTCACCATCCCCCATAATGTTTACAGTAATATGTATACTTTCCATTCATACGCAATATCATTTTAATATTGCGCACATGTAAATAAAGTTAACTGGTTTATATCGTTTCTTTTTGTATAGGTCTTAAAAATCTGATGGGCGCTGTGCGCTTACATACGTAAATTACTTAAATCGAATTCACATAAAGACTTTATCATAGCCAATCGTGCATTGTAAAAATATTAAACATTGTTATACCTTGCAGAACCACGTATTGATGTTCGTTGTAGAGAAAAATTTTCATTTTGATGCTACTGTTTGAACGAGTGAAGCATTTTAAAGATTTTTTTTACATATTGAAACGTTTATATACATTTCATTAGTCTTCAATTTCTTTTAAATGAATATTACAATTACTGTAGGAAATTATCTATTAATAATTCTATTAAAAACGTACTGACAATACAGCTGTCTGCTATACATATTCACGATATTGCTGCGTATTGAATGAAAATTTTGTAAAATGAACTTGTTTATTGACAATACTTGAGAAGGTAAAGAAATTTTATGTGTTCTTTGTATATTTGTTATTATAACTATTATTGTGAGAATCTGATGAATGAATTAGTAAAAAATATAACAATTGGCATAATAAATATTCAATAAAAGTATTTTTTAAACCCATTTATTTACAAAAGGTGAATCAACAAAAAAACGGTATCAAATTAATTAATTTTCCAGGTGATTAAAAACAACAACGTTTTTATTGGTTTTCTTAGTAGCTTTTGGTAGTTGAAAAACATTTCCTTTATTAATAAGTATCAACTTACTAGACTTCAAGTGTTAATGCAAGTACCCTAACATTTTCTTATGTATCTAACATCTTTACGATTTTATAAACACTATTACAGAAAAGTGTCTTTCTGCTTACATGTAGTGATTTTATAAAACATGTATATAGTTAAAAGATTTTATTTTCAAACGGTAGGTAAACCCTTTAACTGAATAGTAATTTATTCAGCAGGTATATAAATATGCTTCTTCAGGTAATCGAGGTCGCATGATTCAAACGCGAGTGCATTGAAACATTTCGATGAAAGAGCAATATTCACACAAGTTGCTCACAATATTTTATAACATGAGAACTATAATCAATAGCCATGAAAAAATGTGTTAAGACCGTTTTATGGCGTCAACAAGCAAAAAAATGCTACGACAGAAGCAGCTAAGTAAACAAAAGCCAAAAATAATGGACAATAAAATTATAAAGAAAACAGTAACCAACATCAAAAATAAAAATAATAATTTTAACAAACAGTTAAAACTCTATATTTATGTAAAGAAAATCTAAAAAAAAGAAAAAGGGCTCACAATTTCTTTATATTAAGCACATTCATTCACACAGTTATAAATATCACTCAAAATATTCAGTATAAATCATACTTGTTACAATTTCAAAAATACTTTATATAATTCATCTGATTAATTGATTAAACCTCAAATGCAATTCAAAAATAATTAATACTTATTATTGAACTGTAAAACACTAGGTAGTTAAATTATCAAGCCCTGAAAAACTTTAAAAGTTCAGCATCAGGATTTAGCAAAATAATTTACAAAATTTTTAACAATTTTTCATGAGGAAAAAATGATTTTAAAAAGTATCTTTAGACAGATGTATAAGTATTCAATTATTTCCGTGATATAGTTTGAATCGCTAACTAAATCAAATAAATTGGTTGTGGCGCAATTTAGCATGAATTATTTTAATTTTGAAATCTTTAAAAACTGTTATATATTTGTGTCCGGAATTCATAGCGACATTTCTATTAATGTTATAGATGTTTAGACAAATTAAATTAAATTTACTTAGACATATTTATTTTATATAAAAAATTGCTAATATCTCACAAGTAATTATTATAAGTCAATCCTGAAGCCAGATTCCATAAAAACATAAAAGTATACGTTAAAAATAGTATTTTTGCCATTTTTGAATTATTTATCTAACAAAGTTAATCAACAAATATTAACAATAACCGACACCATTTCGGACTTGAAATATTCTGACATTTTTACAGAAATATGGAATTATTAGCGTCAACTAATTAAAATAAATCGATTGCGTGATGCTTGAGTTAATAATATGTTTTTGTTTTGACTACGAAAATACTGCATAACAAATAATGTAAATGAAAAATATATATAGTAAAAATTTCGAGTAAATCAAATCAATCGTTTTAAATATATAGAATAACGAGTTGTATATAGACAGTCTTATTGAAACTATGGTATAATACATAACAAATCAAAATGCCAACTTCTCATGTCATTATATGTAAATAGTTTAACGAAACAATTAATCGATCGGATTAAAAATCTTGCTAAGCAAGAAATTTATTTTTCATCAATATGTTGCCGCTGAATCGCTCCAGTGCTACTGCCAATAGCTCCAGCTCCACCAGCTACTTCAGCTGCGACTGCTGCCGTACGCTCAGCGAGAAATCGTTCAAATTCAGGCGAAGTTACATACTGCAAATAAATGTAGGTGCTAGAGTTTTTGGTCAAAAAATAATTTCACTTTGAATATAATTAAGACTTACGGAATTTTTCGCGTCTGTTTTGGAGGCGTCCAACTCGTCCTGATCATCTCGTCGTTCTTTTCTGTAAATACAGACAAATCGGTGTAAATTAGTAAACACTTTTGATTTGATTTAGGGCGGAAACTTCGAGTTTTAAAACTTACTTATTTCTCGTGGAGTCGGAGCTACCGGTCGTGCGAGACTGAGCAAAAGCTTCAAATTCATCTTTTACATCCTTCCTTCGTGATTTTGCTGAATCGTCTTCCAGACCTGAAGAGACAAAAGAACATAATTTAGATGAAGTACAAAAAAAATCGAGATCGTGTTTGATGAAAAGTAACAAACCAATGGCACCCATTCGCTGATTCATCGCGTCCATCGAGAGAGCAGAAGCTCCAGCGGCAGCCTCGCCATCGGCTTCGGACAAATCGATAAGTGCCTCGGCCTGGGCGAACGACGAAGCACCGTCACCCGCACCGCCGCTCGCTGCGGCTTCCATCTGTTTTTTCAGAGCCGCGGCGGAGGGAGTGCCACCGTTGCCGCCGATAGCTTGAGCGACGAGCGCGCTCGGCGTCGACGAAGTGACTCTGTGATTTTTCATGAAACGAGTGTAACGCAGAAACAGATTGTTCATCTCGTCGTTGATCTGTAAGAGCTCGGCCGTCAGCTCGTCGTGGGCCAGCTTGCCGATTAGATCGACGACCCGCTCCTGCATGACTGTGCACGTGTTGTACAGCTCCTGCAAAGCGGAATAACGTATTATCATTATGTCACAAGGTTGGATTATTATTGTCGATCGTTCATTAAAGAATTATTTTCGTACTATCAAGAGTTCGATGTCCTCGGCCAAGGCCTTGTCGTTGCTGGCTTCTGAGGCCGTTGTGTTCGAGTAGGCGGCCAGCATCTCGCTGAAGACGCGCATGCTGCGCTGGACCGTGTCGAGCTCGCCCCGAAGCTTCAGCATTTGCTGCTCGGTCGGCTGGATGGGTTGTCGGGCGCAGGCCGCGGCTGCGGCGGCCACTGCCGCCGATTCCGACGAGTGTTGCACGCTGCGTTGCTGGCCGCTCAGTGCGGCTGCCACGGCTCCGGGTGCATCGGTGGCATCCGGGACACTCTGCAAAAAAAAAATACACGATTCAGTTGAAATTATTTGTACATTCTGGAGCTTCGTCGCATTGACCTTGACGCTGCTGCGCATTCCCTCTAAGTTTTCGAACTACTTTAAATGCCAGCGATAATTGCAATAACGATCCGTTAATAAAGTGCTCTGCGTGTTTTGAATTTCGTTACGTAAGTTGGTAACATTATCATAAAGCCGTGTGTGTGTGAGTGCGCGCGAATATTTACGTGCATCGCGGGTATATAAGCGCAGTGTAGCGGAAATTCAATACTTTTTTAATTCATTCTGCTTGATCTTCTTTTCTTCAAAAATTACTTATGTTTCGGGTACAGTATTTTTTTTTTATCTTTCAACAAGTTAATCAAAAAGTTAATTTTTAAATTGTTGTGTTTACAAAGCACGACATTCTATTTATCCATAATCTAGTGCAAAATTTCGTAATAATGCGAAACAATGATGTAACTTTAAATTGATGTAACATGTAGTTGGTACAGGTAAAATAGTTCAAATTAGATTAGAAGTAACTCTTATCTTTACAATACTAATCAATACTTTGCTAAGTCCATTAAACAGTTTACGCAAGTAAAATTTGTTTTACAACAAATCTGAAAAACAAATGTCTGCAGATTTCTAATGGACACTTTGATAAATTATTACTTCTTCTTACCCTTTCTGGAGTGATGATAGGAGCCATTGCATCTAGATCGGTCATTGGAAATTCAATACCTTTGGATTTTAACTCTTGATAAACTTGTACAACACCCTGGGTGTGAGGTTGATTTTTGAATGTATCAGCCCAGCTTTGTATGAGATTCAGTACTTTTTCTTGCACTGCTGTAGGGGGCTCATTTTTTGGACCTATGAGCTTAACTAATTCTTGAACAAATTCTCGTGTGCAGGCAACAGCGTGAAATCTCTTTCCGCAATTCTTTACACAAGTTTCCAAAACCTGCAAAAATTTAAACATGGCAGATTTTAGTAACGATATTAATCATGCAGTAATAAGTTTTAAAAAGATGAAGGAAGTGACTCACAGTAAGAGTGTACATAACAATGGTATAATTTTTGCCAGCGGCTTGATTTAGTCTACGTTTAATGGCTTTTATGGCATCTCGGGGTCCATCCTCTGTTTCGTTAATGATATCACAGATTTCCATATTCAACTGCCAGTTTTCGCTAGGTAAACTAGCATCTGTGGCTTGTTCTGTAAAAGAAAAAAGAAAAAGAATAAGAGCAATGAAAAAACAAAAATTCAAAGAACTTCATGCTTATAAATAGAACATACCTATTCGCTGACCAACAGGCGAACTGAATGGATTAGTGACATTTACACCAAAGAACGACATGGTGATTGTAGGCGATGCAAGCTATTAGCTTGTAACGTTGTATGGGGAAAATAGAAACGATGGATGCACTGTTCAGACACGTAAGAAAAACGTATATGACAGGCTCAAAGCACAGATGAATGAATCATACGCGTTGGAGGAAAGACAATGTCAGTAAAAGATAAGAAATTAGCGACACCTGTCAATTCGGAGCAGCTATCGTACACCGCGGTAAGAGCTACGTCGATTCTTTATTGTAAATAAGCGGAAAAACCAGATGGTCCAATGTTGCTGGTATGCTTCGAGATCAGTCTAACGAAACTGGCAGTATACGTCATTTACTGATGTAGGCACGTCGAACTATATAAGTCGCTTCAGCTGATGTAAACAGTGCAGCAGCAGCCGTAATAATTCTCCCCGATGTGGCCGCGCTACGTGTAACCTCGAATCCAGGTGCGGGACAACTGCACACGATCGTGAATCACTGTGTGTTGATATACGGGTCGCGCTAGGCTGGAATTAGGGTGCGGTGCGCGTGCCGTTGTACCTATACACAGTAATATATCGGAGTCGCGCTCGAGAGAGACGATAGGTGTACGCACGCAATAATAGACACTGCTGATCGCGCGCACGTAAACTGGAAAAGCGCAGTTCGCGGACACTTTATTTTATTATGTACGCGAGCGTACAAGCTGACAGGTATATTAGCTAGCTGGTCGCGTTACATTTATGAAGGCATATCGGAGTCGTCGCGCGGAAAACTGCAGTAGCTGCCCCTGCTGCTAGTATCGCGTACGTACAACAATGCGACACACAGTTTTCACTGCTATTCGTGCGAAAAAAACTACCGCACGACTGCTGCACACAACACCGCACGATAAGTCGATGTCAAGTTGATCACTCTGCGAGACTAAACTGCGCTCAACGCAGTGCGAGTAGTTGTGGTGCTGTGATGTATCGTATTGTGTTTATAAGGCGTACACTGTAAACGTACAAGTATATGCTGGCACTAAACACTGCACTATACTGCCAGACGCGCAGTCGACGCACAGTCTCTATAGGTACGAGTTTTGGAGTAATAGTGTCGACGGCTCGAGACACTGACAGCGACACGCGCGACGCGATCGCGAGGCTACAGCAGCAGTGCGCGAAATTTCGGAGCTTGCCGCAGAAGCATCAATACAGTAGCTGACTAACTGACAGTATAATGACTTATAAATGTCAAATTTTGACTTTTAGTACACCAGCGGCAGTTTTCTACTGTCCGTCAGAGTTCTGGGTAATAATGCGGCTACAGTGCGTTGGGTCGTTTACGATGACAGTCGCAAATCTCGAATCAGAATTCCGAAAAACGAGGGCACAAAAACGCGAGTCTTCTTTGTTTGCTGCTGCCATCGTTCTGAGTGGGGGTAATTTTGAACGGGCAGTTGGTGATTGACGAGTCGAGGGTTGTTGACGAACGTTCGATTGTTGGCAATGTTGGTAGGTGTTGCAAGGGAGTATAATAAACGTTGCCACTATGGGGCAGACTTGCTGTGCATTCGTCGATTGAATACGTTAACGTAACTGCATGTCATGTGAGATCGAGTGAAAAATACCGCGCACGGACACGGATTTGAGTTTTCTGCATCATGGGGATCGCAGAGTCATCGTCGGAATATGTTGTGATAAATGCAGTCGAAAAGGCTCGAGATTGGCCTTAATGCGTTGCGAATTGCGAAATTGTTGTTTTTTGGTGAAGTGAGTTTAGTGCAATTAATTCAAGCGGTGCGAAATGGGAAACGTCAAAAGGGCCGCGTGCGGTAACCGCGGCAACCGCGACGCTCCGAGGTTAAAACAAGCTGCAGCAGATCCAGTTCGGTGAGTGCAAAATCATCGTCGTCGGTTATCGTCGTCGCCGCGGCCAACCAAGATGCTGCAGACGTACCAGCCGAAGAAGCACGAGGTCGTGACGAAGGAGCTGCTGCTGAGCCTGGCGAACGAGCAGCAGCCGCGCAGGAAGCGCAAACGCAACATCAACTCGCTCGACCAGGTGCAAGAGATCAGGCTTGAGTATAGAAGTGAGTGATTAATTTTATAATCGTACTGCTATGCAATAACATAATTAATTAATTACTTTGATATCGTAGGCATCCTCAAAATAGACTGCCTGTGGCCGCTGTCGAATCTGGTCAAGCTCAAGCTCAACAACAACGACATCGAGAAGATCGAGAATCTCGACAGTCTGGTGCACCTGTGCGAGCTTGATCTCTCCTTCAACAAGATCAAGAAGATCGAAAATCTCGACAACCTCAAAATGATCCACGTATTGTCGCTCTACGCCAACGAGATCGAAGTGGTCGAGGGTCTCGACAGCATGACCCATCTAAGCATACTAAGCCTGGGCAAAAACAGCATCTTTGATCTCGAGCACGTAATTACATCCCGTTTATACAATTATAATTCTTTATTTAACTTTACCGTTATATCTCGTATTTGCGACAGGTCCTGTACCTGCGCAAGTTTAAGGAGCTGCAGAGCTTGCAAATGGTCGGGAATCCATGCACCGAGCGCAGCGGCTACACGAGCTACCTCCTCGCCTTCGTGCCGCAACTGGTCTATTATGGCTACAAAATGATCAGCTCTAAGCAGAGGGAGGACGCCGCCGAACGACACAGGTGTAATATTGTATAAATTGACACAATTTTTACGCAGAACTTTTATTCGTAAATAAATATAGTACAATGAATATCATATGTACCGTAGACGAGCGCTTGCCAATGTCCTCGAGGCCGAGGCCAAAAAACAAAAGGAACTGGAAGTAGTGCAACACCAGGAGGACAAGGTGGCCCAACTCTCCAAGTCGTACGTTGAGTATCTCGACGAGGATTGCCTCTTTGACCTCATGTACGAGAACGACGATGGTACGTGTATAAAATTCAGTTGATATGAGTGAAACTTGCTCACATTATATACTTGCATTGTTCGGCAGACGGGAAGATTCTGGCCAAGCTGAACCAGGAAACCGAGGTAGCCAACGCCCAGTACCGGCAGCGCTTCTCGGCCGTCTGCCACGAACTGTTCGAGCTCGGACTCAAGGAGGACCAGAAGCGCCGAGCCGAGATCGACGCTCTCAACAGCGTCGTCGAGGCCAGCATCTGCGCTGCCACGATCAAGGCTCGCAAGTAACTTATACAGCAAGATATCTACTACAACACATATATCAAACATTATATTCTTGCGCATCATGTAAGCCTCTTTATGATAGCCTGTAATTGAAGCTGCTCCTCGTGTATCTCTGTGCAGAATCATGGACAGCGTCCAGAGCAAGAGGGCCGAAATCAGCGTGCGCATAACGCAGATGTTGCGCGAGGCCGCCATCAGCGCCGAGGACGCCGATCTCGACGACGAGACCATCGACCAGATCGACAAGCTGGCCAAGCAGCTGTCCAACGAGTTCCACGCCTACGTGAACAACGTCTGGAAAAAGCTCATGCGCGAGGAGACGCTGCTGCACGAGCAGATCGAGGTATCTCTTTTACCAACTCCGTCTTTCTATCAAAAGTTGAAATGCTTATCCATTTTCTCTACTCTGTCTTTTAGGAAATGAGTAAAATGTTCGAAATCAACATCAACGACATGGTTTCAGCTTTCCTGGAGCTCGCACAGGACTTTTTCGCTCGTTTACGCTCCCTGGAAACCGAGTACAATGAGACTCTGGTGCCGATCGTTGTGGCTTTCTTGGGTGCCGTTGACGAGGAGGACAAGACTCCATTTTTGATATCCATAATTGATGACAAAGATGCTTTCAACAATTGCCTCGCCGGCTCGCATTTTTCCCACTTACAGGTCTATGTTTTACAACATTTTCACCTATTATGATCAAATTGTACGCAAATTACACTGGAACGATCAATAACTTGTTGTTTTGCATAGGTCATAGATGATCGGCAAGACCGTATGCTGAATCGTCTGAAGGACTGGCAAGCTACGTTTTTGAAAAATTTGGTCGAGTAAGTCAGCGTCAATTAATTCTATTTTCAATCCTATTGGCTGAAAAAAAATGTTATTATGGGAGCATATTTTTATTTTGCGCAGCGATGAAATTGAAAGGAGTCGCAGCCGCATCCTTGAAATATCACACTATTTGAATTATCATCGTGAAAATGCCACTGTAGCTAAGATTCTCGGTCAGCAATCTTCGCAACTTGAACATCTTTCCGAAGAGCACGAAGAAGATCTCGAAGAAGATCAGGATGAAGCTAAGGAGGCCTTGCCGGGTGACAACGACAGTAATGTTACTTTAATTGATCTTTAATTTTTTTACCTTGAATATATATTTTTATTAAAAAAAAACTTGTATATTAGTAATAACATTTTGTAAAAAATATACAACTTTAAATATGTATACATTGCATTAAATGCGGTCCGATATATTCATTAATATCAAATCTATTTATGGATATGCCTTGTTTCATCTTAAATCTGTAATTAAAATAGTCACACTATTTGGCTGTGAAAGCACGTTCAAAAACGTGCTCTTTTCGTTTTTCACATGGCAAAGTTATCATTTTGATTTTTTCTTGAGAGATTGCACATACATGTCAAGACCTTTTTGTACTTGTGGTAATTGCACATAATTAAGAAATACTGTGGTATCCCATTCACGATTGTTTTCTAACCAGGCTATTGTTTCTTTTCTCAAACTCAGTTTGGTAGCTTCTCTTGCTTCCGCTGAAATGATAAAATTTTAATTTTGCGTTTTGCTTTATAATCTAATTTAAACCATTCAAAACAAACTTACTTGGAATTCTGGCATAGCTGGTTATATATTTCTGTGATTTAGCAAGAGCATCATTTTTATCACTTGCAATTTCATCAATCAATCCAATTTTTAAAGCCTCATCAGGTTTAAAGAGTGATCCTCTGTAAATTTTAAATACAAAAAATAAGAATACTATACTTAAACTAAAAATTTCATTGGGACAGTACCTCATTAGAGCAAGCTCAGCCTGTCTGTACCCAATAGTTGAAATCATAGGATCTGCGAACCATTTTGGTGCAACTATGCCTAGTTTAGTCTCATTCAAACCAATTGTGTGTTCACCTTGAACCATGATTCTGTATTCGCAAGACAAAGCGAGAAGGCAACCTCCTGCTGGACTAGCTCCCTATAATATTTTTACCCTTGTAACATTAATTTTGCTTGCTTTTTATGGATAATAAGCTCAATTTACATTTATTGCTGCAACGGTAGGAATTCCCATTCCATACAAATTCAACCATAAATCTTGTAATGAATGCCAGAATTCCTCGCAGCGCTTCAAGTCTGGTTTGTACATCTCCATTATATCCAAGCCAGCAGAAAAAACGGTTGGCATTGATGATGTTAGAATGATTCCCTGACTGCCTTTATCCACAGCATTCTCTAAAGCTTTTCTCAAGGCATTTATTAAATCCAAATTAAGACTATTGACTGGTGCTCTGGACATGGACAATGTAGAAATTCCTGGAAAGAAAAAACTAACATTTCAGTAACAGATTGCAAAATGTATGCAGTATAATAAAACAAAAAGTAAACAGATGAACTATAACTAAATATGTTTATTGTTGTGAATAATAAATGATGAAAAAAACAATTGCAGCAAAGGAAACAAAAGAAAAGTTACCAGTTTTTTCATCAAGAACAGAATCAACCAGATTCTTTGGGGGTGTTGTCTGAGTACTCAAGCAGGCGGCGGCATTTTTGCTAATGCAATTTCTGGACTGCACGAGCAGCGAAGCTCCGCACCGTCTGAGAAGAGACCAGTTGGCCATAGTTCAAAAGTCGATTGAAATTGATTCCTAGCTAAAACAGACCCGACAACAGATCGAACGTCAAACGTTCGACAACAACACACGACGAACGAGAGGCGCGTTTCACTGGATGAAACTTGACGTACTCCTACGATGCACACGCTGCAGCTAGTGGATGCAGAAAAGAATTGGCACTGAGAACAGAATGAAAAAAGTACATAAACATTAGCCAATGCTCGTGTATGGTTCAAGAGATCGCAGGGCAGGTAAGATCTATTTACTGTACAGGTCGAGACGGAGCGATAAGCAGCTGCGAAGTAATGCCAAGTGAAGCAGTCGACGAATTCGCGAATCGCGCTGGCTATAACCTATAACAAGTGCGAATATCGCGAATTGTAGGCGAATTGCGAGACTTGTTTTGCATTGGCGTAGTATGTCTGCGACGTTTTGTGGTGGGTATGTCTCGACGAATGACGTCCCCAGACCGCGCGATATACATAAGTATACGCGTGGTCCAGGCAATATCAGACATCTTTCCACGATAAGTAAGTCAAGTCTTGCGGAGTTACGGATTATTTTTCGCACAGTCATGCTTGATCAGCCCGATCATCGACGATCGTACATATGTACAAATAAAAATTCGGGTCGCTTGATTTTTTTTTCAATCGGGTGCAGTTGCATCTTTCACAGTCGCTTTCGAGTTACGCGCATACTTATTTCAGCAGCAAATTTTTTAGTTGCACTCCATCGTTGATTTAATTCTTTATTATACAATCAGTTATTCATGGTGCTGTAAATTCAAATAAATTGGACGATCGATTCGAGTGGTTTTTGCTTTATCGCAATAAGGGATCATTTATTATTTTTCTCGGATTTCGATCGAAAGAATTCGTCGACGATGCCCAGGTGCTCGTGACAGAAGACTTGATCGGTCAGCCGCTCGATCTGCAGTTCGACATCGCTGCGCATTCGCTCGGTCAGCTCGGCCCGCAGTTGCTTCTTCTGCTGGCCCATGGCTCCACCTGTAACAAATATAAATATAAATGGTACCAAAATCCGAAGTCGCGATCTCGGATGTATTTATAGTAAATATGTATTACGGGAGAGCTCGGCGAAGCCGTCGATGAATCGGTGACATCGAGCGAGTCCGTCGACCGGATCGCTGGCCACCTCGTCGATCAATCCGATCCGCAGGGCCTCCTCGGGCTCCCACAGGCTGCCTCTGTTATCATAAATCGCAATCGAGATCGCTAATATCGTAAATCGACGCTCTAGCTGCATATAATGAATAACGAGACGCTTCGCGATCGTACCTCATTAGGGCGAGTTCGGTTTTTCTCGTGCCGATGAGAGTCGCCATGGCGTCCTTGAGCCAGTAGGGCGGCGGGATTCCGACCGGAGTCTCGTTGAGACCGATGCGGTGTTTACCTCGGAGCATGACCCTGTAATCGCAGGCCAGACTGAGCGCGCAGCCACCGGCTGGGCTGGCTCCCTACAACGATGCGCACACATTTATGTCAAATGCGATCCACAACGATCGAGTCAATTGAGAAATTACATTGACGAGGGCGACGGTAGGGAACTCGGTGGTCAGTCCGTAGAGATTCGACCAGAAGTCGAGCAAGACCCTCCAGCAGTCGGCGAAAGCCTTCTTGTCCCTCGCGTGCGTCATGCGAAAGTCCAGGCCGGCGCTGAAGACCGGCAGCGAGGACGTGAGCAGCAGGCCTCGGCAAGCCGGGATTTTGCGCGCCGCCTCGAGCGCCTCCAGGAGCGAGCGCAGAAAGTCGGCATTGAGCGCGTTCACCGGCTTGCTCGACATCGACAGCGTTGCGACTCCTGCGCATATTAGTCGATGCTCACACATATTTATTCATTATTATCGGCTCGTAGTTATCGCGCGTCAGTAGAACTTACCGGTCACGTCGTCGTACGAAAGCGAGGCGAGTTTCTCCTTGTTATTGCGAGTGTCGGCAGTGGCCGAGTGAGCGCGTCGAGTGGTAGCGGTGCCTACTCGTCTCAGCCAGCTCTCGTGTAGCGTCGTCGGCTGGACTTTGAGTCGCGTTTGGATCCTCAGCGCGAAGGACGCTAGGTTGGCCATGGTGGCCTTGTCGAGGATGGGTTGCGCGGCGGAGACTGAGACCTCGATCGAGCCGTATAAGATTTACGCGAGCTGCACTGAGAAATTACGCAACGCCGCACAGCTGCTGCGGCCGAAATTATGCTTGAAACTTCTTCCGATAAGATAAGCGTTTGAGCTGCTTCTCTTCGCTTGCCAAATTGATAAGTCCGTAGTTCGACTATATGTACGTGGGAGATCGATACAATTGATGCAATCAATTCGAGTCATTTAAATTCAAAACCTATGCACAATTCCTTTATTTTAATTAATTCAGTACATCAGGTACAGGCAATTCACGACCGAACGTATACGGTATCGTGTTACAAAAGCATTAGAGCGCGGATCTCCTGCGGGATCGAAGAAAGTCGCCGATGATCTTCTGGACGTAGGGCCTCTGCACCGACTTGATGAACGACTCGGTGTCCAATTGTCGGTTGGACTCGAGCCACTCGATCGCCGGCCGCCTCAGGGTCAGCTTCATGTCCGCTCTTGCCTCGGCTGTAAATACGCTCATTTCAGTATTATCGACGTAATAAGAAAAAAAAATGTAGTACGATCAGTGTAAGGTCAACTCACGCAAGATGTGATCGTAGCTTCTGATGTAACAGGTGCACCTGAGCAGGGCGTCCGCCTCGTCGCTGGCTATCTCGTCGATCAGACCGATCTTCAGGGCTTCCTCGGGTTTGAACAAAGTCGCCCTGCCCAAAAATGTTATATTGTTAGTACTGCGCGGCGATCGGTAAATACTAAATAGCTCGATTATTTTATATAAACTACCTCATGAGCGCCAGCTCGGCTTGTCTGTAGCCCACCACGGCGATCATGGAGTCGTTGAACCACTTGGGGGTGGCTAGTCCGAGTTTGGCTCCGACGACGCCGATCGTGTGCTCGCCGCTCAGCATGACCCTGTAATCGCACGCCAAGGCCAGCAGGCAGCCTCCACCCGGACAGGCTCCCTGTTCATGGATCATAACTTATGCATCAAAAATGCATCGAATCGAATAGTCATGGTGCAGAAATCGCATAGCGCCTCTAGCGACGACGCTCGATCTCGTCATTTATTTTCGCTCGGCTATTCTACGCACTGCCGATCACTTACGTTGATGGCGGCGACCGTGGGTATCCTCATCGCGTAGAGACTCAGCCAGAGATCCTGCAGTGCGTGCCAGGACTCGCGCAGATGCTCCACGTCGGGCTCGTGCATGGCCTTGAGATCGAAGCCCGCGGAGAAGAGCCGGGCCAGCGACGAGGTCAGGATGAGGCCGGTACTGCCCTTGACCATGACCTTGTCGAGGGCCGCCTTGAGCGCGCGGCACATGTCCACGCTCAAGCTGTTGACTGGCGCGCTACGCATCCTCAGCGTGGATATACCTGCCAGCGGGGGGATAGGATCGCAATCGTATTAGCCGCGCATTCGAATTCTCCAGTCGCGCGCACCGCGAAATCGATAGATCGGTTATCGACTTTGCCGACTCGCGCGCGGGATATGTATAATTTCACGCGTTTCACCCGGTAACATAGAAAATCGTACCGCGGATGTGTATAATGTATATGCTCACCAGTCTGCTGGTCGTACGACACATCGACGAGTGAGTGACTTTCATCCTTGCTGAGATTTGCAGCACTACTACTACTTGCCGCTGCTGCTGCTGCTGCTGAATCCGACACGCTCATCGACCTGGTGGCCATCCTGATCATTGACATTAGCTTCGACTCGACTCGCTTAGAATTGGCCATTTTCCAAATAGATTGACAACAAAGAGAGAGAAAGAGAAAGCGAGTTTTATATGCGTCGCCGATACTGCGCGCGGACGATCGTACTGAGTAGCGAGTGAGTTACAAGATTACAGCAGCGCGCGCGTCGCTATAGCGCATCCAAGTCATCGCTCGAGCGCGGAATAATCAATTAGCCACCGTTTTTTTTTTTTTTTTTTGTTTTGTATTGCTAGTCGGTAATAGACTTTCGAATGGATTGCACGCTCGTGAATTTTTAAGTACTCTATTCCGAGCATTGTTGCTATTGCGTCTGCAGGTGACTCTTGCTATTTTAATTTGCATCATCTTGGTTGGTTTTTATATCGTGTCTTTAATTTGTTTCACCTCGGCTTGTTTTTATCTTCGTGTACAATGAGATAACTTCCCAAAATGCTTCAAGTTTCAGGATAGATACAATAGCACGCGGCGATATTGCGCAAAAATTCTGGCGAACAATGGCATTCTTAGTTCGGTATCTTGTTGTTACAATTATCTCCATTTACTTTGCCCATGGTCACTCTATTGTAATTTCGTGGATTTACAACTCGCAAGTCATGAAATGTGACCTAGAATACTTCGAGTGATGGTGTAATGTCTAAACAAATTTTTAGCTAAACTAGTTCAGCTGTAGATCCAGAGATTTAATGGGATTCTCTAGTCAAGAGGAGAGATTTACACCACTCATGTGAATAAAGTAACCGATAAACGTTGTTTACTAAAATCATTTTTGTAAACTACCGAAGATTTTTTTTCGGTGTTAAATGATATGTTACCTGGACTGTTTATCATTCTTATCTTCGCACCGATTATTATATACCTGTATATAACTCTTCGAGTAATACAGATATACTCATGTACCGGAAAATTTGACGACATGTATATAATAATTTTATATATATCGATGATGATGTCTCGTATACATGCGATATAAGCGAGTGCAAAACATTTGTCGCACGTCGCCGAACAAACGATATTTTGTCAAGGTGACAGACATGCTCGCCCACGTTACGAGTATACGTATAAGGGCTGTGAATTATTTTCGCAGGATTCTCTTTAGATAGTACCACCGATAGTGGAAATGTGGCTTGCCAGGTGAAAAAGCGGTGAGTAATCGTGTCGATCGATTTTTTCTATGCAAACAGGGTGAAATGCAGTGAAACTGTAGCTTGAAATTATTTAGAAAAGTATAACTTTGTGCTAAAATTTTGCTGCAATTACCTATTGCGTTCCTGGAAACAACATGTACACTATAAGTGGTACTATCTGCAGAGAATCCTGCGAAAAATTCTGCTCTCATTTTTCTCGTAACTGTACGATAATTTTGCCTTGACTAAACTATGCTCCAAAGTATAAAGACGCGCGTGTGTTTTATTTTTCGGGCTCTTTACGTCTTTTTATGACAGATATCTAGTGCATCGGTAAACAGCTTATCTATTTCATCAAAATATCGTTACGATTAACTATATTAATGTAATTTAGTGTTTTATTACAGGGAGTCACACAGAGTTCGCGATCGATAAAAATATCATCATAAGACGCGCGATGACTCAAGTGGTTTTTTTAAAAGCGCCTCGATAGGTACAAACACACACACGAACGTACGTATAATACGCAAGAAAAGTTATATATTATGACAAAGCTCGTACATAGCAGCGCGTCACAGCAGCAGCAGCAGCAGCAGCAGCAGCAGTTCTCGAGGTTGCTGTTGCCGTCGTTGCCGCCGAGTGTGTATCTATATGTAATAATAAAATCAAGCGATCATAAAAGTCAGAACGGATGGTGAGTCAACGATCGCGTAGAACGCGTATAACATAACGTATTTTCCACGCGCAAAAGCACAAACAAACAAAGCCCACAAGTCGTATATATTCACGCAAGAAGTGTATTAAGGTGATGATGATAATATTATTCAAGCCAGTGCGCCGCAAAAAATTTTGTAAAAAGATACTTTTTAATTGTTTGCTCTTACAGCGAGAATGGTGCATATTTTTAAATTAAATCATTATATGATATGCTTACAAAAGTACAACAATCTCCTTAATAGCTATAGCACATTGTCGATCACACACATACACACGAGCGTGAGCTTTTTGTTCCGCGTGATCGATCCAGAGAGAAGACACTGCAGAATTTGTATAACAATTGTATATATAGGAAAAGTCTCCATCGTGTCTCGACGAATCAATGATGCTGCTTGTAGAACTTGAGAAAATAGACGAGCAGAATGACCATGATGATGAGGCCGATGAGCGAGGCGACCATCAGGCAGATCTTGCTCAGACAGTAGGAGACGCAGTCGCAGATGTTGCGGCAGCAGCAGCACAGATCGCGGCAGCAGTCGTCCTCGTGCTGTCTCTCGATCACGACGACGCTCGGCGACATGTTGCTGGCGGCGGCTGGTTGCTGATGATGATGATGGACTAGCGTGGGCTCGACGATGACCGGGGCACTGGGCGGCTGACGCTGGTACTCGACGCCGTAGGCTTGATTCTGGTAGTACTGAGCGGGCTGCGGCTGCTGCTGGACTGGATACGGCGGCTGCGGCTGGTTACCGTAGTTGTAAGGATAGTCCTGATGCTGCTGCGGCGGGTAGCCCTGCTGGTAGTAAGACATTGACTGTGGAGGCGGTGCGGCGATGCGATCGCGCGCGCGTCTCGAGCCAGGAGTAGTAGAGAGGTAAGCGGAGCCGCGGCGGTGGCGGCTACGACGGTCTTTTGCGTGGGCGTGAGAGTGTTGTATATTTGTCGAGCACCGCTGTGTGCTCGATGATGACTCGTTCGATGATCGTTTGCCGTGTGTGACTCTCTCTCTATGCGGTAAAGTCCCGTCGAGCGGAAACTGATGCCACAGTCAACAGGCTCGGCGCTGCTCAGCTGTAAATCGCCGCCGCAGCTATTACCTTGACGAGTGCGCGGCTATCAGCGGCAGCGGCTCTTTACGATAAGGCGCTTATCTTGGCCGTCTCTCTCGAGATACGCTCGTGCAAATCGACGCAGTTGTAAGTGTATAAGTGCCGAAAGCTCGTGCGCGCGCGATCGCCGAAAAAATCACTGCGGCGAGTTGGATTTCACGCACGACACACTGCATTGACCGCGCGCGCGATGCCATATACCCGAGCTATTATTAGATTTTCGTCTTATAGGCAAAGGTCACTCGCGAGCTGTAATTTCGTCGCTCGAGCCCCCGTTCATCGAACGGCCTCGCGTTTTACTGCTCTTAGAAATAGCGAGCAAGCGCGAATGCGAACGTGTAAACTCCGAGATGCGGCAAATCTATCGTCCAGCTACCTCGAGTCGCGCATTCGAGCCGTACATCGTTATGGTCTCAAGCAAACTCCCAATACAGTAGGAGAAAGAGCATCGCGAGCACGAGCAAGAGGATGAAAAACAGCACCGAACTGGCCCGAAAAATTTGTCCTCCTTTGCTGCTGCTGCTACTACTACTGTAAACATCCGTCGCTTCTGGCGTGTAGACGATCGCCGATTTGCCCGGCTGAACTAGCTCGAACGCCTGATACGCCTCGTTGTGCGGGTACAGGCGGTTCTGGCGCTGGGCTTTCTGCGCCAACGAGTCCAGCGTGTCGTAGCACTTGTGATGATAGTAGGCCGCGTGAGGCATGATGATGACACGTCTTTCTGTGATTGAACGTGGCCCAAGACTGTCGTCGATCGATGCGGAGCAAACTGGAATATTATAATTAACGGCGCGAGTGGTCGCGATAAGCAATTGCGTCTGTTTACGTTGTCGAATAACATTAGTGTTGTACGTATAAATTAATCAAGGGATTAATTGTACGTAAATTTATTATAAATATATTGTTTGTTTGTTGCTATCGGGTGCGATCCCTTCTATATAGAAGAGGATTGTCGCCACGACTCGCAAGTGTGTAGAGAGGTATACTTTTATAAAGTGTAGATGTGCAGAAGGCAACTATCAAAGGTGCTATTCGTAGTGGTGGCTGAGGAGCGGCCACACGTCAACTGATTAATTAGTCGATGTTCTGGTTGCTCCTCAGGTGCATAAAAAGGTGGGAAGTCCTTTGTCAGCATCTATCGGTCATTGACAAACGGATATTCTGGCACAGGTGACACCCAGGTGATGCCGCCTAGTTCAATAGCCTCATTATGTCGACATGCATATTCCAAATGTTTGAGATTGAACGTTCTCGAACTGGCATATAACAATTAGGTACATTTCACTGCCACAGGCCTCGATTCAGTTCGTACGAGTTTCGGAGAGGGATGTTTGCGCGGAGACCATTCAAAATAGTAACACGGAGCGCGCGGATAAATCGGCCCACCCGATCGGAATCGGATCGGACTCTGTGACCGAATACTGACTTTATTTATACTTGTCCAAAATAAATAGAGATATAAATGCAAATAGAAAATTTATTTTTAATATTGGACAGCTGCAGTTATTTATTTGAGTTGGATCCAGCATTAAAAAGAGAATATTTTCGTACAATAATAAACACATTGTGTCACAATTAAGTCATGTGTCTTTTGTTCATGAAAGATCTAATGAACACTATGATCATTTTGCCTTTGGTCAAGTACATCGGCTTCTATGAGCGATAGCAAATACAAAGACGAAATGCTTAACTTTACTGACGAACGTATCGAACCGAGCCGATTTCTGCAACTGCTCGTCCGCCTCGATTGCTCTACAATCAATTGTTGACAGCACTGAGTCAGTGCGGGTAAATATAAGGATGCCGTAATGTCCATCGTTATATTACGACTACCTTATCAGTGAGAATCTCCCCTGCGCAGTAGAGCGCGAAAATATTGAACGTTATTATCAAGACAAAAATGCAGAAGTCGGTAGATCGAAGTCCGTGAGCCCTGGTGAATGGTGATGCTGTAAAATGCTAAAATCACCTCGCAGAAAATGCGCGGGAAAATTAATGTAAAGTCATAACGTAAGAAAAGAAAAGTGCGATTATCAGGATGAACTAGTAACCCACCAGGTATATTATGAAAATACTGCTGTCGTTGAACTTGACTATGCGTAAATTTCGTTGGAAAGGTCTTCCAACGTCGAAGCGAATATGCACACATAATCTCAAGTTTAACAAATCGTTACTCAACAAGTCAAAATGTAAACGCGCAGCGCATAACATAAAGTCATTTTTATTCCCTGATAGAAATCAGTATTTTTACCAGTTCAAGTAAAATCGTACTGGTTCGTTTGATACGCGGCTTAGCTTATTGTCCAACTTTGACATAAGGTGCATGGCGAAAAACGACATCTAGTTAAGCGTGGTCAGCCGCCAGCTGATCTCGCTGCAGCTGCCAGCTGGCCGGGTGGTGTTATATTTACGTGCATAACCAACCACTACTACTTACTTTTTTCTGACCACATATACTTATAATTGTTCATAGTTGTGTACGTCATGTGCCAAAGTGTCTACGTTTTTAACGATTTGAATAATTATAGTTTTTTATCGAATTAAAGTTCCTAACCTAAATATTCGAGTTTACCTTTAATATATATCATACTCTGTGCAAATTTTTGGCTAATTCAGTAACTTAAGTCTTCTCTAATTACGTTCGTTTCTTCGAATACTCATGTCATGATTTTTAAATATTATAATACTAAATTTAGCTAGATTATAATATTATAACAGAAATATTGAACGTTAAAAATTAGATTCTAACTAAGAAAGATGAACTCGAACAACATAATTAATTGTGCTGTCAGGTAATTTTCAATCTACAAATGAGAGCATAAAAGTATACATACTTTATAGTTAATTCGATCGGAATGGTTTCAGAGTGAAAAAGGAGCCAAGTGACGTATCGTTTAGTGAAAATTACGATGAAATGATTGATGAGGCATCCGATCTTAAAAACTTCAAACAAGAAAAATCAGTGAGAATTTATAATTACTTGCAATTCATATAATAAATATTAATAACAATAATAAAATTAACATTTTATTACAGACCCTTCAAGAATGTGACGAAGATCGTGAAAATGAACTTGACCCTATGGAAATTGAATTTGAATGTGAAGACGTCAAGATTAACATGAACTCATACGTAGTTCAAAAAATTACCGATCAATCCAAAAATCAATATGACAGTGAAACCCAACAGATCGTTAAAAAAGAAACAGTAGGCAGAATAAAAAAAGAAATGAATTTAAATATCGATGGTTTCACACATACATGCGATCTATGTGGAAGTACATTTTCAAGAAAAGATGCCCTTAAAAATCACATCGACGCGAATCATAAGGGAGTCGGATATGAATGCCTCGTATGCCTACGGATATTCGATAGAAAAAACAAGCGCGAAACCCACGCCGAGACGGAGCACAGCGTCATCAGTTGTGATTTATGCGAAAAAAGTTTTAAGAAGCACCAGTCTCTTAAGACCCACATAGATGTGGAACATAATAAAATCACTCACACGTGTAATATATGCGGGGTAAAGTTGAAAAATAAGAGTTACCTCAAAGTCCACATCGAATCATTGCATAAACGCATCACGTATACATGCGATCTATGTGGAACTACATTCTCAAGAAGAGATTCTCTCAAACTTCACGTTGATGCAGTACACAGGGGTATCGGACACAAATGCCCAAATTGCCCAAGGGTATTCGAAAGAAGGAGAAATCTCGAATTACACATAGATATGGTGCACGCTGGTGTTACCCATGCCTGCGACGAATGCGGCAAAGAATTCAAATGTATGAGAAATCTCAAATTACACAAGAATATAACTCATTCGCGTATAATGTATCCGTGCAATACATGTGGAAAAGAATTCAAATGTTTAACATATCTCAAAACTCATGAGAATAAAGTTCACAATCGTATTATTTTTTCATGCGATACATGTGGAAAAACATACAAATACAAAAAATATCTCGAAAGCCATATCAATAAAGAGAATTGCCGATGAAAAAGAATAAAAATAAAAAAAAACGAAAACAAAAATTAAAATGATAATTTTATATTATGAACTATAATTATAAATGTATCATGACGTATGCATGAAAGGTATGCTCAATTGAATAAAAAATCTCGATGTACGATGTAATATATTTGTTCGAAGTTTCTTGAACATAATGTTATCTGATAAGATGAAACTTTTCAACTTTCGAATTTTTAGAAGAATCAATAAATTTTTAAAGAAAAATCATTAAATTCGTAGATATATACCGATCAAGACGATTCAACTTATACATTGTTACTTGGGGCTCGCGCTATAATAATTTTTCTGGGCTGTTCGGTTTATTAAAGTTTTTAATTCATTACCTTTAGACCGCTATATAATTGTACAATCCCCTATGAGAATTAAAAACATTCGTGCAGATACAAAAGCTCGAGAAAACCCCAATACAAAATATACCTCCGGCCTTCAAAGTTATCCTTTCACGCATAAATGATTCCTTTATGGAGATATTTTAATTAACATAAATTGAATGTATAAAACGTCAATGCTCAGTAAACAAATAAGGTAAGAATGGTGACGTAAACGATATAACAATTTAAAGCGAGTATCAATTTCAATTGTTACTTTCGAAAATCGTGAAGGCGTATAAGTAATAAGACAGAGTTAAATTGGCCTGCGCACAGGCAACCCCACCCTTCCCTCGAGTATGCAGAGTAGTACATGTCAAAACATGCAGACTACAGTGCACACCTACAATGTATACAACATCCCAGGCTATTCTGCTCAGCAACATGTACACCTATTAATTAATTAATTGCTTACGCATAACACGTTGATTCTCGACGAGGCTACTGCTATCATTCTTATATGTATTCAAGCAGCTGAGCAAAATTGCAATTTGCAATCGTAATCAAGTAGCCCATGACACACACAGGTTATGTGCGATTTATAGCGGATTTTAACTCCTCGGTTGTATGTATACACGAGAAAAAACATTGACTGTTGGCAATCGCGTTTGTCGTGGGATCGAATTCACAGTAGGCAAAGAGACTGATCAGGCGAGTGAGTTGACCGACCGCGTACCGTGACCAACGCTCGACTAAAAATATTGGTCTGCACGTATATTCGCCAGCACAACGCGCAGCTTATCACTCCGCGATTTGTTCTGCAACGATTAGACAATAAGCTGACAATTATCTCTATACATCCAGCGCTTCTCTAGTTGAATTCTGAATTGGTGCGACCACTCTTGAGATCGAGGCGGTTACGTCGATGCGAATGAGATGCTATACGATGCATTAATAGCATTAACTCGTGCCTCGAGTGACACTGACAGCTGACAATTACTCGACAAAACAATCGGCCCGATCTCGTGTCCAAGCTTACAATACGACAGCTCGAGTATAATTTATGCGTCGAATCAGTGTTAGATCAGTGCGCGGCAGTCGCTCGAGCCAGCTACTACTTCGGAAAAGCCTCGAAAAGCTCGCTAAAAAAGCTCGGCTCGCAAAATATGAAGTGCAGTTGCATCAGCAGCATCAGCAATAACAACGACAACAGCAGTCGTGATAGCATTAACGAGATTATAAACAACAACAGCCGCAACTTTGGCTGAAAGTTTGCCACGAGAAATGACTCAAAATGGGACCCCGACCAGCGTGGAGCTGTTGCAAAAATCTCAACAGCACGAGCCTCTTTCGTCGCTTGTTACCTGTTAGTTTGTTGTTCATGATCAATTCAATAATTGTGCTTTCTTGGCTTACTTTATTATTGTGTAATAATGTCTTGTTGCAGATGCTGGTGACTCAGACCTATTCAACTCCTTGTCAAGCTTGTTAATTAAATCAATACCAACAGACTCTGTTGACTGGAGAAGATCATACGAGAGGCCTATTAAACAAGTCAGACTTACTGCAACTTTTGTTCCATTTTCTCAAAACGACTTACCTGTGCAAGCAGATTGTCAACTTTTGAAGCGGCCTATTTTTCATACCTACTGGAGCGAATGTTCAGTAATTGAAAAACTTTTATTTCTTTTACTTAGAATGATTTGAAAAAAATCTAATCTCTATTCATTTTTTTAAGGATGTTGATGTATACAAAACCTCTCTCAAAGATGACATTGACTTGTGGCTTAAATCTCTGGCCAAAGCTGGTATTCAAGATTGGATGATAATTTTAGTTGAAAATTATGATGTAAGAAAAAGCAATAAGCTACTGCCAAGGACCACTGTACTGGATAAAATTCGTAGTGATTTTGCAGCAAAACATGCTGACAGGTAAGTTCAGATTTTAATTTTAAACTTATTGTATACAAAATATTATATTTTATTGTTTCTTCATGCATAGATGTTTATCGATCATCAACCCAATCAAGTCAGAATCTCGGTCTGCTGAGTCATGGAGGGGTTTAATAGGTAGAATTAGACATTTAATGCTTACAGCATATGATCAGACCATATCAAAATTTCAAAAAATTATAAAAGATCATAGAGAAAAAAGAAATGAACTGGGTTGGAATTTTTGCCATTATTTTTTACTACAAGTAAGTAAATTTATTTCACACATATATTGCCTTGATAAATCATCATACTAATCATTGATTATAACTTCCTAGGAGGAGCTTGCATTTATTTTTGATATGTTAGGTTTATATGATGAAGCGTTGATACAATATGATGAATTAGATGCAATTTTTACACAATTTGTATTAAATTCTAATGTAACAGGTAAATATACAAAGCTTACTTTTTAAAATAAAACTACTAAACTTTGATAAACCAATTGACTGTCAAATTATATTTTTTTAGACACACCAAAGTGGTTAAATTCATTTCAAAGTCCTCTAAACAATTGGACAGGAGTTAGTCTCAATAATAGCAGTATAGATTATCATACAAGAGTTATGATAGCTGATTGTAAAGCATCTCTTTTAGATTTGAGGAGCTACTTGTTTAGTAGACAATGCGCCATGTTGCTTGCATTAAATCGTCCATGGGAAGTAAGTTATGAAAATTAATTGTTAATAGTTTTAAAATTTTCACATATAAAAATTAATTACAATCATCATGTAATATTAAAGGTAGCACAACGTTGTTTGACCTTTGTACATGACACAATAAATGAACTAAGGATACTCGAAATCCAAAAGCCAGAAGGTTCAATTGAGTGTTGGGCTTTTCTCTGTGCATTAGAAGTATTAAATGCTTGCCAGGCATCAATTGATAGCAGTCAGATGGATTTATGCTCCTTACATACCGCTAGTCTGTGGGCACTCGCGAGAGACAAGGTATTTTGCGAATGTAACCAATATTTCTCAGGGCAACATTGATGTACTACTAATTATTAATATACGTTTTTTACAGCTTGAAAGTTTAGGAAAATTATGTGGTCTTATGCCAGGCAGTGAACCAACCAGTGAACAATTGCATACGGTAGTTTATCTTATTGCAGGGATGGGCGACTCAGTGCCTTTGAAACGAGATTCTTCACAGCTGGGTCCTACAGATCAGCTAAAAGAAGCTTTATCTTCCAAAGAGGCATTCAGAAAGCAATATCTCTACCATACAGAATTAGCTATGGGAACTTATAAACACGTGAATCGAATTCGATCGGCTCGTTTGATCGGTAAAGAACTGTCTCGTTTCTACAACGACTTGGGAGAGCACCAAAAAGCCGTTGCTTTCCTACTCGATGCGCTGCAAACGTATACCGCCGAAGGCTGGTCACAACTGGCGGCAGAGACTCAGCGCGAATTGGCCGATTGCTACAAGCAGATGGACGACGTCGAGCGCTACGCCAAGGTCTGTGCCGCGATTGCGAGCTCGGCCCTGTTGCCGCCGAGCGTGAGGAACAGCTACCTTGACGAGATGCTAAGCTATATGAAAACTCTCAGTTCGCCGGAACCTTTGATCACCGAAATGGATAGTGCCTTCGTCATTGATGAAATGGAAGTGGAGGTCACGGACAAGATTATACAAGATAGTCAGATAGTGCTGTCCATGAAATTCAGGAGTCTATTTCCTAGGCCGGTTGTTTGCACGAAAGCTCAAGCTTCCGTTGAAGAAGTCAAAGTGAAAGAGAGGAAAAAAGGAGTAAAAGGTGCCGTGGATGACGGAATTGAACTGTAAGTGTCAACTTTACTAAGGGCATGGCGTGTGGAGCATCGAAAGTATTGACAAGAAACCACTACTTATTATCTATTTTACTTTACAGCATGCTGAAGTGTCATATCTCCGACGGTCGACCGAAAGATCCTTGTCTTGTTCAACTACCAGCGAGAACCGAGATCAAACTCAACGATGATAAAAAAACCGTTGACTCTGCTAATGTTCAGATAGGAAGTCGTGCTCGACAACCGGTCAAACGTAGCGACAGCGTGAAACATCGCAAAACCTCGGTGACCACGAAGGGTGACTTTGGATTAGCTCTGAGCACCAGCGACGAAATCGTTTTGCAGCCCGGACTGAACGAATTGACCCTGATCAGGAGGCTGGAGCAACCTGGTTATTACAAAATAGGGCAGCTATCGATGCTCGTCGAGAAGAAAATGGAATTCCTATCGCCCATAATCGAACCTCGGCTTTGTTTCGCGGTTAGTATTACTGCACTTAGCTTTTATTTGATCCAATTCCTTCATATATCCTAAATCTTCCATATAATCTAAAATTATTCTTAAAATCTTGCGTAGGTGGCTAAAAGTCAGCCGAAAATTACACTGAACTGCACTCGCGACCTGCTGGCGGGTCTGGTGCAACGAGTCACCCTAGTCATCTCGAGTGGCAGAGTCCGCATCGATCCCGATTCAAAATTAAAATTGCGTACTTCCAAAGGCCTGAGCGTTTGGCCTGCTACACAATCAAAAGCGTCCCGTGAACTGGAATTCAGCTTACCTGCGTGCGAGCCATTCGGCACGACAGAAATCGAACTCCAAGTTATGGCTGAATTACCGCCTAAAAGAGATTCTTCATCCATGGAGCATAAAGTGAGTAAAATAAGCGTAAAAAAAGACAACAAATTTTCTTACTGCAACACTTAAAAACCTTATATTTAAAATCTACGAATGTCCATTGAATTATCGTGGCTTCATGTGATTTAAGAAAATGTGCAGGTACAACCTTTGTTTCCCTGTATGCACTTTCCACCCTTGTAATAATTTGATTTTCGGCAATCCACGTAACATTCGTAGTCACTCGAACATTCTGAAAATAAATTATATTATAATACGCATGTTTGATTACGTTACGTAACGATTATATTTTATTTGTCAAATAAAATCGGCTCACGTGAAATCGAATCACATGACATTTACCTGCGTTCGATAGCCGGGCAAAAGAAAGAATAATAGCCAAAACAAAAATCATGAAAAAATGAAACAACTGCATTGTGCTCGTTCGTTTCTGTGGAGTCAACAAAGTCAGCGTGCACCGAGAGCGGCTCGATCGGTCGAACGACTGTTATTGACGCATTCTGAACTCGACTATGAAGCTCTCTATTTTGTTTCAAGCAATATTGATAACAGAAGCTGGTATCGATACATTAAGATAACCGATCTCTAATTGTAAAGCAATGTTACATACTGCTGTTTATATATATTTAAGGCAAAACAGTTATTCGATGGAGTTGGGGAATTACATGACTCGAAACAATCTTTGTTTACTTTAAAGAAAAAAACACAAAAAGAGTACAAAACGAATGCATTACCGATACATATACACTTATCGAGTACGTAACTTTGAAACCTTGGAATTTTTTGATTGCACGTGATTCGTTATTTACTCTCGAGTATGTGCTGAATGAATGAAAAGTTGATCATGAAAAATAATATGATATTATAAAAATAATTTTTATTATGCCCAGCTTATGATTCAATGCCCATGGAACGGAGAAGAAATCATGACACTACACTTTGGAGCTCCTCTGATGTCGACGATGAAACTGCACACAGCGAAAAAGCGAAAATTTGTCCAGGTCTTGGTGACGGGCTTGTCTGCACAATTGCTGCAGCTGACAGAGCCTAGACTGACCAGCTCCACTTCGACCGACGTGAACTTTCGCGATTTGAACCCACGAGTCTGTCAGAAACTCGTTGTTGGTAGTGGCATGTCGGTCTCTTTCATTTGGGAACTTGAGATGGGAAGTGAAAAGTCAGGCACGACTATACCCATCAAAATGAACTTCAATGTCAAGTATGTAGCTATCAAAGACATAGAAGACTTGGATGTAGTGGATAACGTTGCCGTAAGAGTTAATTTTACTATTCGCTGAACGTTTGATTCATTCATAAATAACAATGATCTTTTCTACAGGAACCCCAAAATATCATTGATGATCCACTCCATATTCGAAGCATGGAAAAAGTTGAAAGGGAGAGCAACGATTATTGGTGTAATTTCGATCTCAACGATTATTCCGTAAGACTTTATTCATATATTTTATCTATACTCCTGTCTTTGGATTGCTGTCAAGGTTTCCTCCTTGACTTGCTTTTACTCGTTAATTTCACGAATTAACTAAAAATTTTACATTTTTAACTAACTTAATCGAAGCATACGTTTTATTCCGGAATAAATTCCACAATACTAACTCTGCACAAATGCGTGCATCATTTTCAAAATGTTACGCCATCCAAGCTGTATATAATATTATTCTAAAGAGTTGGCTTTTTTTACTTCTACTAACACGAGAAAAGAATGTCGCTACTAAAACTCGCTCCACAGACGCTGTTCACCGTGTCGTCGCGCGTCGAGTCCACCGGAGGCGGGGGCGAATTCTGTCGCGCCGGTAGCATGTGCCATCTCTGTCTCACGGTCACCAGGCTCCAGAATTCGGCGGCGGCTCATCAGCTCATGTACGAGGTACTCGCCGATCAAGCCATGTGGGCCGTTTGCGGCCGGACAGCCGGTATTGTAACTCTGGAACACCAGGACAGGCAGAGCGTTACCATGGACGTGATGCCCCTTACCAGTGGCTATTTGCCCTTGCCCGTGGTCAGGCTCTCTAGGTATATACCGGCTCAAGTAGATCTTAAAAATGGTACGTATTGCATGGGACTTGGCCTTTTTTTTGTATTTTCATAATACGTTTTTTGTGACCACGATTCATTTCATTGGTTTATTTGTTCAATCATCTTCCAACCGCTCTTCCTGACAATTAAAATCTGTAAAAATGAAGAAAATAAATTGCATCCAAAAACAACCATTTTTTTACTCATATCACTTTCATTACAGATGTTTCCAGAAAAAATGACCTATCAACAGGAGTAGGTCCAAGATTGGAGCCTTTTAGTCCAGGTCAGGTTTATAATGCAAGCAAAGCTCAGCAAGTTCACATATTACCTGCTGCGCCACTGTCAGAGACATACTGATAAAAACTATTATTTTGTGTTATATCATTTACTTGTATAGGTGACAGAACTAATTTAACCAGGTGTATGATATTACTGTTAAAAGTTATATATGTGTTTATGTTAGACATTTCTTACAAATTTGTAAGTGAGTTCTTCTTGAACTATAGTTATCAACGATTCTATAAAAACATAGTAACGAATTCCATTGATTGTTATTTCCTCAAGCAGTCATTATTTTTAGAAAAGTAAATTGAAATATTGTATTGTATAACAGTTCAATTTTTTTTATTATTTACTTATAATAATAGACAAAATTATTTGAGAAAAGTATGAATCTTGAGAAAATAGTTTGTCATAAATGCATTTGTGCATATATGAGTATGAATTATATTCTGTATGAAATAAAAATGTATATATTTATTGTTTAATATTTGCTAGTAAATATTAATGAATAGTTTGTTAACTTTTATATTATCTAACTGAATAATTCAGATTTATTGTACATATTATGCGTAATACTCATTAAAATAATGTTTGTACGATAAAGTTTTTTATCATTCATATTGATCAAACTATGAAGTATCAGTTGTAAAAACGTTTAATTCAAACAATATTTTAAGTTGCTCAAAATTATTTTTGGAGTATTAAAGTAGTAAGTGCATGACTGAATCTAAGAGCTACCAAAACTTGCTGTAATTATGCTATCAAATCTCAGTAGAAAAATATTGAGTTTTTAGAACAGCTTAATGAATAAACAATATTTAGAATGTTTTTATACGTAGCAAGCTCTCGAAAATTAAAATAATTTAAAAATTATAAAACTTTTTGTATGTTCATTTCAAATTATTTGGTTTCTTATAATTTTATATCAGGTTCAAACTCTGTATACATGAACATGTGAAATTGCTGTTAGTACTTATTTTAAGCCAACATTACTTTTATTTGTGGAAAAGCATGGTAAAAACTTGAATAATGAAAAAACAAATTTATTTTTGTTAAAAAAACTGTTTATATTATTATTTGTTGCATTATTAAATAGTAAAATATAATTTTTCCTTATTTAATGAATACATTTTTGATACATTTAAAATTATATCTACACCTTAGAAAAGTACTTGAAGTTAATTTAAACGTTAAATTTAATTCACACATGCTGATGCTTTAATAAGCAGGCGCAGGCTGTTGTGTCAACAAAAGACCATGTCTTCTCTTTAGCGTTATTCTCTCTTTTGAGTATTTGTCTTCAGGAGAAAAGCGGGCTGGATGAGCAGAGACAGTAGGTTTTCCATAAGGATCCTTTTTCTGTAAATAAAAAAAAATACATTAATCATGTTTAATCAAAAACAGAAAGTAAACAATAATTATTTCTGACAAATACAAATTAGCTGTAATTATTTTAGTACAAAAGTCAACAAGTTATAGAAGTGAAGAAAAGAATATGATCATCGTCATATAATAGTTAGTAATAGTTAGTTTTATTAAATATCTGTTAATAATATCTTCAGCTTCATTAAAGTGAAGAAATATTTGAATTAAGAATAGAATGCTGTAAAGCAAATTTTTAAAACTTATTAATTGATGACAGAACTTTAGGTTACGTTGCCAGAAATATAATTCAAGATTTTCATTCAGCATGAGAACATATACAATCTAAGGCTTACTAAAAATACTAATTGCAATAGATAAAAACAAACTTTAGAATTGAATTAAAATAGTAATTAATGTTGTAAGGTACGAACCTTCAAGGTGTAGATGCGCTCTCCCTTGGTATCCAGATAGTACATGAGATACATTTTTGATTTATTTCTTTTGAAAAATTAACTAAAAAGCACGTTGCACAGCACACAGTGTTGCTACTTCAAATGATCCAAGTCGAATACCCGTGGTGCACCGAAAATAACCTGAAAGTTAACATGTGCGCAGTGCGCGTACTGTCTGCAAGGAGCTGCGCGCGCGCGCTCATACCGCACCGGTCGCGCGACGTCATTCGAACACGATCGACTTTCCTGACGGTCACGCATTCGAATTTAAAAAGGCAGCCGCGTTCGTTGCACGCTAACCGGCCGAGGGAGAAAAAAGTATTCCAATTCGAGCGCAGAGTGTAATTCTGTGGCCGTGTACGGGGCGGCAATGGAATGCCCATTGCGCTTCGGAGTTGAAGCGTTGAAGTAAGATATAAATAAAAGCAGTCGTCGAGATTATTGCGTCCGAGTAAGTAAGTAACTGATCGAGGAACTGCTTGCGGAAGAAATATACAACGGTTGTGTTTATAAGGTATAAGATGGCAGCGGCTCGAATCCGTTTTTCGCGAGCTCGTTGCAATCGTTATCAGTTGTGGATTTCTGCTGATCTTTGAAAATTGTGGATGCAATTCAGCTCGGAGACGAGCCGGCATGTGACGCTGTATTGGTAAGCAATTCACTTTGCAATTATTTCTATAGATACGACGATTCATAGATTCAGTTGCGTGCAGTGTTTCGCGGCGAATGCCGTTGAATTTGACGAGTCAAATTGAAATGAAAAAAAGAACAACAAAAAGAACTTCTGTCAACCAGACGAGCCTTGACTGACGACCCGTTATGTAAACAATAACGCGAAAAACATTGCGAAGCGCAGGATATTATTTTTGATTTCGCAATTGGCATATCGCGAGGCCTGACTCGAGAGATTTTTGCGAGCGATTCGACACTGGCCCGCGACGACGACACACGACAATCGGGCGCGCGCGTGCGAGTCGCAGTCCAAAATATGTAAATGCAATTTACATATATTATTGAGAATTTATTCTCGCCGTGTTTTATACACTTATCGAGCCGAAAAATTGACGAAGCAGCTCGTTGGTAGCTGTTTTGGCTATAGCAGCGAGCTTCGCGCGACGCGGGGCTATCAGTTCTGAACCGCATATGGAGTCAATTCGATTCATCCGGACAATTGCACCTGTCGTTTGAATGACGAGGAAACGCGCAGTCGACGAGACTAAAGGTAAACATCGGAAAATCTTGCATTTATGTGATTAATGATCTGTTTTTTACGAAAACTGACCACAATTTTTTCTTTTCTTTTCAATCTTTAATCTCGTCTTCTCCGGTCAAAAGTTGATTCAAAATTTAATTAATACGTTTTTTTTTCTTTCAAATTTGACCAAATTTCGTGATCGATTTCACGCTACTTGTGACTCGATCATAGCCAATTTATTAATGTTTTTCTTGACTTTTGTGCATACGATACGCAGATGAAGGCTAGGATCATCAAGTGGCTCGTTCACATACCTCCCGCGGATCCAGAAATAGACAATCTTCCCGTGGACGAGCAAGTGGCTCGTGTTAAGGGTGAGTATGCATAACGTACACAAGTGCAATAACATACAAGTACGGTCGTTTGCGGCAATTGATCTAGCATGACAATAGGTGTTTGTTGACACTCAACTATATCTCGCGATTCGATTTGCGGCATTGTACAGATTGATCACGATGACAATGCAGTGTACATATAGCGGTTGCGTGTACACGAGCTGCAGCAGCCAGCATTCAGCAACAGCAGCAGCTAACTGCACTGCCCAAGGCGGGGGGTACTGGAGAAAAGCCGAAAGTTGCAGTTGTTGGAACTGATGCAGTAAATACGTGTATTTATATACGTACGCGGAACTAACTGCTGCGGATCGCATTACACTGTTAATATGGGTAACGGGCGCACGTTATATGTATACAAGGCCGGTGGCATGCGGCACAGGTGAGTGCAGCAGCAGCAGCGGAGAAAGAGCTGCCACGCTGTGCATGGCTGCAGGGGAGCAGCTCGTTATATGCGTGCGTGCGAGCGTGCGTGCGCTGGATCGCGCGCCGATGGAGTGAATGGTTGCGGTGTGGTGGCATGCAATGCTGTTGGTGGGGGTCGACGGACACATTGGATCCGAGTGAAAGGGGCCTTATACCGGGTTCGAGTGGAATGCCTCCTGCTCGCTGCTGCGCGCCTGTTAGCCTGTGCCTATCTGGGACTCACCTGGACCTCTGCCACGACCCTTTCGCTTTCGTTCGCGCGGCGGCGGGTATATCACCTGAGCCGCGCGTAGAGCGGTGGCGGCGCGCCATATCTACCTATATAGATATATTTTTGCGGCTCGAGCCGTGCGGGGCCTTATACAGTCGCGAGTCTCGCGTTACACAAGATTCGATCCCCAGCTGTCGGGGTCAAGATGATAGCGGATGATGACCGCGCTTGGATTTATATGATTGCTCGCGGGACATTATTGATTCGAAATATAAACAAATGATATTGAGTGAAAGTTTTGCGAGCTGTCAAAGAATGGCACAAATTTGCGATCAACGTGGAAGTAAACTTCGCTCGCGGGGAAGAGATTTGAGATGACCCACGGTTAATTGTGCAGTTTGAGATGGCGCTCGCCAGGTGAATGATCGAATTAGTCAACTTTTGTTTCGCGCTTTCTTTCTTTGTTTCTCTCGAACCCGATGCGATATTGTTTTGACGTTTGGTTCGAAACTCTGCGTATAAACGTGGGACCATGCGGGGCTGTATCTGACAGCCCCTATTCTTCTAGACTCTGCCCGGTGGAGGGGGCCCAGTTCGCAGACAAAATCCGAATCGTGCCTGCTGCTCGCGAAAGAACGTCGAGCAGTCGAAAGCTGCGGGCTGCATCATGCAGGTCGCGTTGTTATAAATTCAACGTTTGTTGTGATTCGCGTCGAGCCAAGAATCAACAAGTGTGCATCGTGTGTGAAACCGCCAAGCGCCGCGCAGTCGTCGTCGTGACTCTCGATTCGATTCGTTCGAGCCGTCAGTTGGTCGGTTATATATTTATTTACAAACTTTGTGCGGGGGAGCCGGCAGCAGCGCGTGTACTACGTGCCATGCCGTCAATTAATACAGCGAATTCGATAAGCGAGTAATTAAGTATACAACTAATGACTCGGCCGGGATAACGATGCCCGCTGCATACGAGATATGATGCTGTGCCTCGTGCTTCGAATGACGTTCTGCCACCACTACCGCTCTCGAGCCTCTTTTTTAGGCATTTAATATTGGAAACTTATGTAGTCGGCCGCGACCGTCGAACGCTGGATCATCGCGTATCGCATTGGAGAACGTCAGTGTGTACACATAACCTATTTTTTCGAGTGCTGTTCTCCGAGCTGACTGCTCTGTCCGACTGTTCACTCTGTGTTCTTGGCTGCTGTTGCTAACATAATGCCTCCGTGCTCGGGGGCCTGTACTAGGCAGTCGGCGCTCTACCACGATTCGCCCACATATACATGGTTGTAGCGCGTTTATATATACGACGATATATATAAGTATACATAACGCAAGGTAGCAGAGCTAGTCGCGACGATTAGTCGCTGCGCACACACAGTGTGCACCGCTGCTGTGCTCTGCTGTCTGTCTGTCTTAGCTCAGTGCGCTGCCTGCCTGCCTGCGTGGGACCCACCGTGTTGTTATATATACCCATCGATCATAACATATATGAAATATATGTTGAGTGCACCGCAGTCGTGAACTGTGACTTATGCCAGTCCAGTGTTTGTAAATCCTGCTGTGTTGTGTATACGTGTGTTTATGTATATCGTGGCTCATTCTGTGTTGTGATGTGCGACTGCAGCGTGTATAATAATAATACACAAAGCGGCCTGCTGCATTGAGAGATCGACAGGCAAAGCCTCCACATACAAATATAAAGAAGAAAGATACGGCACGCAGCCAGCCGCGAGCGTGATATTACGAGTCGATCGGCAAATTTGCCGAAAGCCTCGAGGCTTGTGTCGTCGAAGCCACAAGTGCTGCTGTTGTGCATAACTTGTTGCACGCCTCCGCGAAAGCAGGACCAGCGGCCGAGGCTGCTGCTGCCTGCAGCCACAAGTGGCCATGGAAGGCCCTTACATCGGTATGTTTTTGGTCGCATGTGCATTATCGTGGTGCATTGGCGCCTCGCGGTCGTCCTCTTTTTCTTTCTCTCTCTCTCTCTCTCTCTCTCTCTCTCTTTTTATGCTATACTATACGTCGAGATTATCATACGAGCGCAAAAAAGGCTGTGTGCGCGCGATTAATCTGCTTACGTATGAAAAACATACGCGGGCGTAGCTCTGCTCTACGGTATATACGGGGCCGTGGAGACGCGTTTTTGCTTTTGTTATCGCGGACTCGCTCTCTGTGCTGTGTGCTGCGACGCGAGCGCACGAGAGAGAGAGAGGGAGACAGTATATAATATAAGCAGAGAGAGAGAGAGAGAGAGAGAGGAAAGAAACGAACGAGTCGTGCGCGACTTGCCTGTGTGAGCGCCTACGCCAAAGCAAATTCTCTGCTCTCTCTTTTTCTGCCTCTCTCTCTCTCTCTCTCGTCGTTCACGCTCTCGATCCAGCTCGATGCGCCAAACTGTCATTGAGAGAGACTACTATGCCAGCGAGCGCGAGAGATCGACGCCGCGCCGTTTAGCCGCGAGCCTCGCGCACAGTGATCGCGGCACACCGGCTTACATTTCGCGATCTTACTGCTGCTGCTGCTGCTGCTGCACTGTCCGAGCTATATTATGCAGAGAGAGAGCGAGAGATAGCTTCGATCCTCCACTATCCTTTCGCGACTCCGATGCTTAATGCTCTTGGCTAATTGCGCTCCTCGCGTAATGCGCGAGCTGCTGTCGCTCGAGAAAACGTTCGTTACAACGTCGAACGCAAGATCTGTTTATTTCGCATTTTAGCTCATCGACGCATTTGACTAGCCGCAAAGTAAAATTCAAAGAAGAAGTATAATGGTAGAAAAAAAAGAGCGGTGAATCTGTACGCGCGCACGCTATAAAACAACTTCGTTATATTTATATATTCTTTATAGCTACGGCTACGGCTTTTGCCCATGCGGCATTGAACGGCCGGAAGACGTTGCTTATTTTAGTATTTCTTCCCTTCGACGCGATGTAGACTACCGCGTATAGCAAAGAATAAACAAGGTCTCTAACTGCACTTTTACGTTTGGGCCATTGTACCCAAAATAGAGATCTCTGGCCCCATACGAGCGAGCGAGCAAGCGTGCAAGCTCTACTTCCGTACTACCTACTGTATACGTCCTCGTAGCGCGCGCAACTAAAAAGCAACGCGTTCCGCTTTGACATGTGCGAAACTGCACGCCCCGTCCTGCAAAGCGTATTTATATATATTCGTTTGGCTTCAATTTTTTTTTATGTCCGCCTTCGTTACGCAGCAGTACCCACGTGCTCTATTATAATTGCACGCGTTGAAATATACGTTCAGGGCCGCTGCGTGCGTGCGTGTCTCTGATCGACCCTTTTCCGATGTAGGTATATACTACACAAAACCCGCATGGTCGTTCGTGCGTTTGGCGGTCATTTTTCCCTGTCGATATTTTATAGGCTTCGATTCTTACAGTGATTCAAATCATTTTACACTTTTTATCGCTTTACAGACGAACGAGAGGACGTTCAGCGAAGGACCTTCGCCAAATGGATAGACTCGCAGCTGCACAAGGTGAGTACCCTCGTGTTCCGATAAAGCTTGTTGTTTTTTTTATACACCGCTAAGTTGACAAGGAGTGTATAATATAAGACCCGTGCGCAGTCGCGATCAAAAGGTTGGCTTGGGAATTTTTTTCAGAGCGAGCGCGAGCCGATTGCCGATCTGTTCAAGGATCTGAGGGACGGCAATAAACTTCTCTCTCTGCTCGAGGTTCTGACAAACAAAACTTATGTGAGTTTATCCGCAAATTTTAGTAAACCCGATACTTTTCGCGCCTATTATATCATTTTCACGTAACCGTTTGGAATTTCTTTTTCTAGAAACGAGAGCGTGGGCGCATGAGAGTGCATCACTTGAATAATGTCAATACAGCTCTGCAAGTTTTGGAACAAAACAACGTAAAATTAGTGAATATCAGCAGCGACGACATCGTCGACGGTAATCCAAAATTGACTTTAGGTCTAGTGTGGAGTATTATATTACACTGGCAGGTACGAGCGCTCTTCATAATAACTCGCATAATTGCACCAACTTTGTAGAGTGCGATTACCATCGTTCCTTTCGAATTACAGGTTCAATACCATTTGAAAGATCTAATGAACGAGCTACAGCAAACGAATCTGGAAAAGACCCTGTTGGCTTGGTGTCGGAAAACAGTGCAGAATTATGAAGGCGTTGACATAAAAAACTTCACTACTTCTTGGTCAGATGGTTTGGCGTTTAATGCCTTACTGCACAGGTGGCTACCGCATTTATTCGATTTTAATGCAATCGCACGTAAACATCCCAATGCCAGGCTCGAGCATGCTTTCCGATTGGCTCAAGAACAGCTGCATTTGGAGAGGCTTCTCGAACCCGACGGTTCGTTCATCAATGATTGAACATTTTATTTTTTAAACCTTGAAATAAATTGATGAATTTTTTATCATTAAATGTCGCAGATGTCAACACGTTGGGTCCGGATAAAAAATCAATAATGATGTACGTGACGTGCCTCTTTCAATCATTGCCTCATTCGGGACAAGATATCGAGGACTTAGACATTTCAGTGGCCAGTGACTCTGGATCTAATGTTACATCACCCGTTGTTGAGGTATGTCATTTTTTGCTCGTTTTTTGCTCGTTTTTAATTGAAAAAAAAAAAATCAACACGTACACGTGTAAAAAATGTTATTTTTTGTAGCATCAATTTCCGCTGTTTGAACCGGTTTCGGACAATTCTCGTCCCGTTAGCCTGGCGACTAATGTGTCAGTTGAGCTCGGTGGTTATCAAGCAGCCCTCGAAGAAGTATTAACATGGTTACTTGAAGCCGAAGATGTGCTAAGTCAAGCAGAAGAACCCGATAACGATCTTGAAAAGGTGAAAAATCAATTCTACCAGCACGAAAATTTTTTCAAAGAACTGCTAGATCATCAAGGTGACGTTCGAGCTGTATTGGAAGAAGGTGAGAGGCTTCTTACTGAAGGTGGTTTGCAAAAAGACGAGGAACACGAAGTTAAAGTACAAATGTCTCTTTTAAACTCGAGATGGGAAAATTTAAGACAAAACGCTGAACATCGTAAAGCAAAGATTCACGAGGTAAGAATCAGAAAATGGTTCGAGGGTTTTCTGATCTCAAGAACGTTTTCATTTCGTTTAAAATATGAGAATCGCACTTCATTTACTCTCTTAAATTTTTTGTTCAGGTTTTAAAAAATATTCAAAAGGTACAGCTGAATTCTTTGCGACATTGGTTAACACAAACTGAAGATAGGATGTCACGAATGGCGAATTTGGAAAACGATATGAGTTTTGAAAAACAATTTAAAGAAGTACAAAAATTAGAAGAAGATATAAGAAATCAACAAAGTGTTGTCGATGGTCTGAATCACATAGTTTTCGTCGTTGATCCTGAAAATACCGCGGCACAAATTGAAGATGAACTATCAGCACTGGGTGAGCTTACTAATTTGACTTTAAAGAAATATAAATTTTCAAAAAATACATAATCAATTTTTTAGGTGAAAGATGGACGCATATTTGTCAGTGGCAGCAAAATCGCCGAAGTAAACTGAAAGAACTCCTAAAAAAATTATCAAAAATACAGCATGGTTATCGCAAAATGTATAATTGGTTAAATGAAACTGAGATTACGCTCAAACAAATGGAAGCCGCACCTGCTTCCGAAATGGGCCAAGTGCTTGAACGCATCAAACGCCTCCAATTATTAAAATTGGAAATGGATATGATTCTAGAAAAACTCGCTTCTATGCGAAAAACTTTGTCAGATTTAATAGATGATCATGGAAGTAGGAGTGAATACATTAGATTGTTGGAAAATCTTGAGAATTTAGAGGACCAATGTGAAGCCGTGAAACAAATCATGGAAGTGCAAAGCATAAGAGTAAATCAGATATTTTTTTTAGAATTGTGACCATTATTGAAAGAAAATTAATACGATTTTTTTTTCAGATCTCAAGTTCAGGGTTCGAAGTTGATTTATCTAATCCCCAGGTATCAGTGGATTCAACTAGTGATTGGTTGAATGATTCTAACAATGACGATTCCGAACTGGAGGAAATGTCCTTCATGGTAAGGGTTATTTGTTTTGAATTATTTGTTGAAGTGTTGTTGTTTTGAATTTAATTGAAAATGTTATGAACTTTTTTAGTCCTCGGTACACAGCGATTCTAAAAAACGTCGTATGGATACAGCTACTCGCCAAGAATTCGATGATGCTCTCATGAATCTTTATAAATCATTAGACTACATTGAATTAGAAATAAGCCGATCAGAAAACGTAACTACTGAATTAAGCATTGAAGAAAGAAAAGTTCTGTATGAAGATAATCAAGCTGAAATAGAATCACATCGACAAATGTACGAACATGTAATGCAGTTAGGTAAAAAAGTCGTTAATGAGCTACAGCAAGCCAATGAACGATATGACGAAGAAGAAGCTACAATTAAAAATATTGAAACCTGTTGGAATGCAACTAATAACAGATTGGCTCAGATAAAATTAAATTTGGATTACATGATGAATATAAAAGAGGCCAAAGTTGAACTTACTAGCTTAAGGTTAATGTTAGATGGGCACACTAAATGGTTTGAAAACAATCAAGATAACATGCACGTTGATTTATTTAGGGTATGTAATTTCTATATTTGTTAAAATAAGACAAAAGGCTAAAACATAACAATTATGGGGATTTATTTCTAGGTGAAAGTAAAATCAATTAAGTCGTGTGAAGATCGTGTTCAAAATCTCAATGATACTGTCAATCAGTTAACGAATGAAGTAATTGTCGAACAGGAGGCCATTAAGTTGAAATCCGACGTCGATAAGTTCTTAATTGATTGGAATAATCTTTTGCGAAAGTAAGCCACATTATTTTTAGTCAAGAGAGAATTATTAGTATTAAACCTCCATTTGATTTATATTTATGCTTTCAGATTGATTGATCGATCAAACATCCTGAACAAAAATACAGAAATGGTTCCATCTAAAAAGTACAACGAAGCCGTTGATGCATTAAATACTTTGATTGGTAATATTGAAAAAACTTTACAGTCTGAACGAACAGTAATGTCTGATGAAACAACGATGAAAACTAAACTGAAAAATTTAACAAGACTTCAAGAACAATTTCGAAGCAGTCAAAGTCAATTCGATTTTGTAAACAAAGCTGGTCAAGATATGATTGACAAAATGAATGATAATGATAATGAAAAATTAAAAATCAAAGAACAATTGCAAGATTTAAATTCAAAATGGAGTGATAGTCCAATTATTTTAGAAGAAAGAATACAAAAACTTTCGAAAGGTAAGAAATTACGTTATATCATCGATGATTTTTGTATACTTTATCCATCAACTTTTTCACAGACATTGATGTTTTGAAATCATTCAACAACGAACTTCAAAGTTTAGAAGATTGGCTTGATCGTTCAAAATCGTGGTTGAATGATATTTCTGAAGACTCGACAATAACAGATGTTGAAACAACTAAGTACAAGTTACGCCAGGTTAACGAACTAAACGATGAAATAAATATGACGAAACCACGTGTCGAAAATTTACAGACTTTGACAAATAATATGTTAGAATGTTCAGAACCAAATTTCGCCAGCGAACTCAACACCAAACTTGAAACAGTTTCGTATAAATGGAATGCGATAGTGGATGGCGCTAAAATCCAAGGGGAAAAGTACGAGAAGGCTCTCCGAAAGAATGATGAGGTATGTGGGACAAGTTTTTTGAAAAATTAAAATCGATTGTATGTTTATGAACGCTTACTATTAAATAATTATTCTCTGTTTACAGATATTGAATGGAATTCAAGATTTCAACAACTGGTTGACAGATATTGAATCTAAACTACCAACAGACATTAAAGTCACATCTTCAGCTGAACTGTTCCAAGCTCGAGGGCGTTACCAAACCCTTAAAAACGACATTGATCGTCGCGTTGAAGAATTCCGAAATCTTAACGAATTGGGTAGTGATAAACTCTTGAGTAGTGAGGGTTCTTCGGTGCATGAGCTTGGACGCCGTTTTACTCATCTGAATGCCAAATGGTCTGACGTGACTGATAAAGTTTACGAAAGATACAAGCATTTCCAAAACGCTAATCACGAGTACGGTGATTTTCGAACCAAGGTAGCTCAAACAAATGACTGGCTTGATAAACTGGAGACAAGACTAAAAAAATCAAATAAAAATGCAGCTGATGCTGAAGATATATCTGAAGAACTTGACGTTAGTTTTTTTACCAATGAAAACCTCAGTCGTATTGAATAATTCTATTTTAATTCATTTTTTCGTTTAATATAGGATTTGGAAAACTATATGAGAAATCATCCAGATACTTTTGAAAAATTACAAGAAATAGGAAAGCAGTTAATCGATAACGATATCATGTCCGAATCGATTCAATCAGATGTTGAATCGCTAATTAAAAGATGGGAGACTCTTCATGCGCAGGTAGTTATTAGCTCGTGATCATGTTTTCACAAGCATATTTATTATCTAATTTCGATCAATAAATACGTGCACTTTTTGAAATATGCAATTGAACTCAAGCTTGGAAGTTAAGTGGGAGTTTTTTTTAATAATGTAGATGAATTTAAAATTATTATCATAATTTTAAATTAGCATGTTATCACGCAAATGTAGTTTGCCATTCATCGAGTCACAAATTTCATAGTCACAAATGACGATGCATAACGTACATGGTTTGGGGAAAAAATGTCACACAGCATGATTGGTTAAAAATAAGGAAATAATCTAAATGCATGTTTGATAAAAAAATATTTCAGAAACATTCATTAACAATTCATAATCGCTTAATTGTAACCAAAGCAATGTCATAAAGCTTTTTGAGAACTAATAAAAGATGCGAGTTATAGTAGAACTTGCTAATTAGTCTTGATTACAATCGCGCAAAAACTAGAATGTGATGAAAGGTAAATGATTAACGTATGCGAATCAGGCGGGTGAACGAGCAAAGCTGCTGGAAGGATCCGTGAAACAGGCTCAACAGTCCGAGGGCCGTATCTTAGCCTTGCAACATTCCCTAACGCAGATTGATTCTGTACTAACTGCACGTCTCGACTGTGATCTTACTGCCGATGATCTACCTCAAGATTATCAGGTCTGTTGTGTGTGATTTGTTATTTTTCCAAGTGTTCTTTGTCATTTTGCTCGGTTTCTTTTCATTTAAGTGCTTTTATTTTATACATATATTTTTTCACTCTGGATTACATTTCATTTCATTTATACTCAAAACATTGCGTTCCTTGAATTCTAGACTTACAATAATATTATCGAACGTGATTTTTATACATATCATTATGGAATACATTAACTATTTAATTTAAAAAGTTTACAATTACAAAATTCGTGTACTAACTTAAATTTATAAAAATAACAGTGGTTTAAATCATATTTACATTGATTAGATTGACAAATTTTGTTTACCTTGAACGATGGATTATTACTCGCAAACTCATACAATTTAACAAGCATAAGTATTCAACTGTTCTTTCAATTTTTTTTGCAAACGTTCAATCCTTTTACGTGGCTGAATACAGAGACTTATTGAAGACATGGATAGTCAACATTCGGTGCTCGAAGAAATGGCTGCGCAGGTCGAGAGCTATCGTGCATCCGGCAAACAAGAGGCAGCTCAACGCCTACTGGAGCAGACTAATTTGATATCGCAAAAATTCTCTGAAATTCAGAACAAGTTTCAACGTTTCCGTAGTCCGGGTAGTATTGAACCCCGCTTATCGAGGGCTCTGAGAGAACTCAGGGGTATCGAAGAAGCCACCTGCTTGCTCGAATTAGCCACCGAGGAACCGGAGGCAATCGAAAGGCAGTTGAAGCATTGCTTGGTAAGTTTATTGCTTTCCTTACAATTATTCCAGTTCAATCGACAGTATTAATTTAATTTAATATTTTTTTCTGCAGAGATTTTATCAAACACTAAGTGAAATAAAGAGTGAAATCGAAAGTATTATCGTCATTGGGAGGAAATCAGTCGAAGAAGGTAGTGTTCATGATCCCGATGGATTTTCCAAGCGCATTGATGCCCTCAAAGAACTTTATAACAAGGTATCAAGCATTTTCATATATCAACTTCAATTAAGTCTAGAAGTAATATCTTTTTTTCGATAAGTAATGATAAAAAATTTGTATTGACTTTATGTTTTAGTTGGGTATGCAAATATCTGAATCGAAGTCTTTGCTCGAATCAGCTCTGGAGTTATCGCAAGATATTTATAAACATATGAGTTATATTAATATGGCAATTGAAAGTATCAACAAAGAATTGGATACCCAACAAAATAGACCAGAGTTGCCGGTCAATGCCATCTATGTAACGGTAAGTTGTTTCGTCGCTTACTCTCGTGTCTAAGAAACTAATGAATGACAATTTTTTATCTACAGGAAACACTTACAGAAGTAATACCGCACTTGAACGTCGTAAAAGACAAACTCTTCCGAAGTCAAGATGAATTTTCAAAACTTTTCCACCCATCATATCTTGAACAATTCAAAGAAAAGTTATGTACCATAGTAGATAAACTATCCGCCACAGAAAAAAGATTACGGCAATGTAATGGATCGGAAGTACGTGAACTTTTTTTATAAATTAATTGTCTAATTTTCAACAAAATTCTATGCTAATATGAACTTTCGTTTTAGAGTGAACCTCACGTTGAAGATATCAGTGCATGGTTAGACCGAATAGCAGAAACTTTGGACAATCTTGATACAATTCCTATCGATGAAATAAATGAACAGCATTTACAACAAGTTAAAGTACGTTAAATAAATTTGCTGTGAAAATATGGAAGTAATAATAATCGTTGTTGAATTTTACAGGACATTGATGCAGAGATGACAGAGACTAAACCGAGAATGCAACAACTTCAGCGCTATGTTTATCAACCAAAAGTGTTTCAAGTGTGCAAGCGATGGGAAGAACTTTGTAGCAGGACGAAGGTATGCTTTATTCGAAATACTTCATAACAACCTCCTGACTTTAGTCGACGTATTTATTTTCTTACAAGACAAAAGCAAAGCAATTGGAAATTTTAAAAATTGTAGCATGAAATTTTGTGTATTAATATTTAATCTATTCCATACTTTGCTTTTACAACTTTCTGTTCATTCGATAAATATATTGCGTGTAGTTACCGAAAATTTCATAGAACTCACAAGCCACACCATTCGAAACAACTCCTTTACTTGAAAAAATATATAATTAACCATCCTACAACCATAAAATAATACAAAGATCGAAACTAATTGTGAAACAGTTAGTTTAATATGATCTTACGTTGCTTTAATTCATAACTCTTCTTCATTGTACATAGAAATAGAAGTACTTCTATTATATGAATAAGTTGAATTTTTATGCTATGTAAAGCATAGAAATGCATTGTATTTTTAATTGTGTTCAACATTGTATTATACGTTATTAAGATTTATACGTACAATAAGCTACGTGGCACGCGATATTTTTTTACACTTTGTAAGCCCAAATTTTCTGATGTATTGTTATCGTCGGTTTTATTGACTTCTTGTTCTATCCTTTCTTTAGCCTTTATATTTAATTCTGTACTTTTTACCTCAGAAATATTTTAAATAATTTCGAGTACTATAACCAAATATTCTTCTACCAATGTAACCAATATTTCAAACACACGAAAAACTTTGTATAAGATCTGAGTATGAAAATCAATTTCATACAGTCAATGAAATATTGTTAAGTTCTTGACTTGAAAAGGCATGTGCATCCTTGAACGGAAATTTTCAACAAAAACTAGTCCCCGAGATTTAATCTATGCCCTACTGCCTATTCGTTGCTTCAAACCTTATAAATATGATCCAAAAAGTTGAAGTTTGGGGACGGGGCTTGCACCATTCGTTCCTTAGCAGCGCGAGAGATTTGGTTTCTCCTCTGCAAGGGATGCTATCGCGGTGCAAAGTCCTGTACGAAGCTGTCCATGTCTGCATAAATTTGTTCCACAGGGCTGGATTAACGAAACACCTAGACGGAGCGATAAATCTGTCGAGTTTTCTACATCAAACATCAGTACACCTCTTTCGATCGCGACTTCGCAGGCTGAGCCCGACAAAGAGTGTGTTCGAGCCGAGGCTCATATTCAACAGGCACCTGAGCAGCGTCATGAGACACCCACGAGTGGTAAATTCTGCTTCTAGAATTGTCCAATAGGCTTATTCCTTAGCCACCAAGTGTAGCATACCCAAGCCTACATCCATTTTTTTTGTTTTTTGTCTTTTTTTTTAATTCAATTTTAAATAAACGCACACTTGGCAACTATGAAATGCAGTCTATCGGTCAAAAAGACACGAAATAAATGAAAATACTGCAGCAATGACATTCTTCATTCAGGAGGAAATAACGAGAGTAACTTGACGCCCGAAAGTAAACCGTTCGAGCCCGCACTCCGCAGTCATAAATCTGCATCCGCCAAAGCTCAAGAAAGAACAAGAATTGTCGATGTTAGCTATACGGTGCGACGAAGACTCGATTTGAGTTCCTACCCTGATGTCGTGCAAACATCGCAGTTGAGCAACGAAGACGACGACGATGACGATGATGTCGATGCAGAAGAGGAGCTGAGCTTTGCCCGAGATGACGTTGATAAGGAAGAGTTCTTTTTGTCTAAAAATAGCAAATTGTTCTCACAAGTTTCTAATAACAGCCTAAAAGCTCAAGATGCTGTTAAAGAAACGAGGGAAGTGAGAGAACCAACCGATTGTCAAATCGTCGAGATAAAAGCCAGTGAAATCATCAAATCAATTGCGGCTAAAGATAATCATAAAGATGTGGTTCTCTCAAAAGCTAATTTTATTGTTCAACAAGTACCACAGGTATAAAATAATACATTTTTAAATAACTAAACTCAAAGACACTTTTTATTTATAATTTTTTTTCCATTAGGTGGTAGAGCGTGTAGAAATAATTGAAGATACAGACCCAGAATCGATGGATACAGATCCGGAAGAACAACTTCAATCAAAGTCAACGAAAGAATGCACATCACCGCCTGTATCACCATACAAATCAGTTCTCAAACGTCCAAGCATGTTCACTTCAGAAGCGTTTCATGGACATATACCAAAATATTCTGCTGTAAGATCACCGAAAATTCATCCACAAAACACAGCTGAATTCGACAAAGTTGATGGAAGTAGTACCCGTTCTTGGTCGAATGTGAGCGTTGAAACCGATAAACGTTCTAATCAGAATTTCACTCCTAAAGTTGGTCCGAATTGTGATGGCAAAAATGTTGAATCCGTTGAAGAATTAAAGATACCACCTAACGTAAAACGACCGACTAAACTTTTTCCACAGTTCCAAGAAGCTGAGATCAAGGAAGATTGCGACAGCTTTTACGGTAGTGACAAGGAAACTGACGATGTGCTGACATTTTCAGACGATACTGAAATTGAAGTAGCAAGTTCGAGTTCTGAAGATTGCGATTTTAACAAGGGAACTCATAGGCTGGATAAGGTAGATTTTTCGGATGAAAGAGTGCTTTATGACTAATCTGTTTGTTTATACTTATTCCGTTTAGCAATGTGATGAATAATATTTTTCAGTTGTTCATTATACAACTGGTCAATATACATTTAATGTAAATTAGATAATTGATTAAGGTGTGGCTTGGAAGGAAAATCCCATAGAATATAATTGAAACTATTCGATAATATTGTACACTATTTTGTATAGCACTGTACAAATTCACACCTATGTCTTCTGTTTTGTGATTTGAGTTGCTTCTGATAGCGAGGCGGTGTCAGGTTAACGCACGAGTGTTGCAAGTGCGATAGGTATGCCGTGGTGCTATGACACGCGACTAATGTCACAGAAGTGTGCCATGACTGTGAATCTATGCGGCGTAGTACTATAAAATAGCTGAATTTATGCTTATATCCGTTTCCGTTTTAATTATCTAATCACCCTAAAAGTGTTGCATATTGTCCTATAAACATTCGGCTGCAAGATAGATTTAATGTAAAACTCCATAAATTATCTACGTTGTAACAGATCCAAAGAAAAGGAAACATCCTTAATGACAAATTAGATTTTATTAATTCTTCATAGTGTAATGAATAATTTTTACGCGCATATTTTTCATTCTGATCATATTCATTGCTTTTTACTAATAATTACGAACCTAATATGGTCCTGAAAACCCCTATGAATTTCGAAATAATTTATAAATTTAATCTTAAACTATCTTCGAATTATGTAGGTCAAAGTTGCAACGGCCAATTTATGTTCAACAAGTAAGTCACAGCAACCTTCGAGTCAGTTCTCAATGGATAAGAAAACAACCCCTTTCAAAACTGGTCAAAAAGTTTCACGAGCTGCCCTCCAGAGAGAAATTCTCGAATTCGAAGTTTCAGCGCAAAAAATGCTAGAGCGCATGGATTCAATGTTGATGTCAATCGGTGTAATCGTCGACGAGAAGGATCCAGCTAAACGTCTAGAGGTAATTCAAGTCTTTACATTATTGAACATAATATTTTATGCATATTGCGCGTATGACAGTCGAATCATGCACGGGTTTTGTTAGCTATGAGAATACCAAGACTAATGAGACTAGTGTAAAAATAATACTTTGTGCCCAAGTTATGAAAAATTCATTTTCATAACATAGATAAATTCACAATTATTTTTATGAATATATTTACAGATGCTGAAGTACGAAATAAGCTACTTAGCCCCAGATGCCGCAAGTCTAATTAGTCGTGGTGACGGTCTTGTAATGATGGTCCATGCGCAGGATCCCGTCCGAGCTGATAAAATTAAACAGGAGCATCAAGATCGTCTACGCGCCAAGTGGCATCAGGTTATGCAGGATTGTGAGACAAAGCGCTCAATGGCCCTCAAAGCAGAGGAAACTCTAAAATCTTACACGAAACTCGTTGCAGAACTCGAGGAGTGGTTCCGAGATGCTCCACAAAAACTCGAACAAGCGAACAATTACGAGGGTCAATTGGAATCATTCACTATTGAGTTTGATGAAAGACAAGAACAAATTAATAAGTTGATGCAACTCGCTCAAGATTTGAAAAAATATAATGTAGCATACAATGAAATGACTGTATATATTTTAAGTAGCAAGTGGCAGGATATCAGTTCTCAATTTAAAAGATTTAGTGGAAGCAAAAATAAAGATAAAGAACTCGGCGACAAAAAAGTTAACGTGGTAAGTTAGATGACTAAGCCAATTCACAATAATATAACTTTTAAACTTCAATAATTGTGCTTATATATGTAGGCTTCCGGAGGAATAAGCGCCCAAGATTTTTGTAATCGAGTGAACAAACTACGAGAAGCTATAGGTACTTTATTCAAATCGCTCAATTCAACGCCATTAAATGGCAAAGATTTTGATTTATTTAGCGACCAGGACGATTGCTTGAAAAAAATTAGCAGTGCTTTAAACATTCTTAAGCCTAGCGTTGAAGAAATGAATTATCTTTGGGAGAATATATCTGATAATGATCATTCCCGTCAACAGAATGAGCTGTTGAAAAAGGAATGGACGATGGTGAACCAAAGTTACATAGAACGTTACAATCGATGGGCAAAATGCAATGAGAAGCTCAATGAGTTGAGAAATGCGTGCTGGAATTTTGACGACTGCTTAGCAAAAATGGAAGCCTCCGTTAAGGAGATCACAATGAATCCACAAAGTCGAATAAATAAAGCTCGAATGTTGGAGCTTGACCATGAGATGCCGCGAATGTTGAGAACCATGAACGGCATTGGAGCGAGCATATCTGACGTAAGCAATAGGTCGTCGCCAGGGGACGTGAAAGATTGGCAGCGGGTGATCGAAGATTTAAAGGGAAGATGGCAAAGATTTGTCACTGATTGGAACAACTATAAAAGCAGGTAGGAACTACTTACAACACGCAATGAAAAGCTCATGAAAACCATTTCTGCTAAACAATTTTAATTCTTAATGAATTTATACACACCACACGTAGCTTGAGAATGCAAAGAATTAGTACTATAGGCTTACGGTTGGCTAGAAGATTCCTTCAAAGTGTTGTAGTGTCTTGCAGAAAGCTATGTAGAAGTAACTTGATGCCAAACACTGCTTCCTCTTTCTTTCTCTCTCTTTCTCTTTCTCTTTCTCTCTCGTTCTTACTTTCTATATTTGTATATCAGGCTATTTCAGTAACGTTATTAGGTGGTGTGTGTCTGGCGCTGCAGCATGTATTATGCATGTAACTTGGGTATGCACGTGCAAATCTTTAACACATTATAAAATGTCCCGGCTTGACACAGTTTCTATTTGCCATAAAAGTAAAATTATTTGACGTATTTTTCATAGAATCGGAACGATGGGTAAACAAAGGAGTCCTAAGCAAATAATGGATGGTGCCGGAAATCTCGTGAGTCAAGTGAACTCTTTGCTTGTGTCAACTGCCAATCCATCTGACGATACAAGTTTGTCTATAAGATTATCTATGGTCAAGGTAAGTTTCAAATTTAAAAATTTAGATTTTTACTTTATAAATACTACCAAAAAAGTACTTAAAGCGCAGTACGTATATAATTTAATAATTACTTGCATGTAAATTTATAAAGTTTTATACTAGTAATTTTAAAATTCTATGAGTATGTAATTCAATTTTGATAATCGAAAATAATTTTTTCAAAATTTGCGTTTTTGACAATTGATGAACATGAAATGAAGCACTTCCATCGACTTATTAAATTTTAACAAAATATGTATTTAATAAGAATAACGAGTAAAATAAGTTACTGAAAACTTAAAGTTAAAGCTCAAAAATGTCGTTTTCTACTCATGTGCCTAGAGCAGAAATAGAATTTATTATTTGAGCGACGTATAGAAAGAACTAGTAAAAACGCTGAAGCAGCCGGTATATTAAACTATGATTAAAGTCTTTTTCGCGCATAGGCTTTCGTAGCTATTATGTGAACGCAATTATAATCGAGCGATTTAGTCAGCTTATTTTTAAATCGCAAAAATAAATTTAGACATGTAAGATGTTAACAATTTTGTTAATAAGTCAACCTTTCCCATTGTAGTGACTTTCTGTTTGTTATTTTGGCATTAAAATTTAGTAAACGTTAATACTTTGTAATATCACACACTAATACTTTTATACTTACAGGCAAGAGAAAAGGAACTATCTGATCAAATAAAAGAAATGCAAAATTTGAAGAGTCAAAATATTTCCGGTGTTAGCGAAGATGACTGTGATAAACTTATTGTCAATTTAGAAAAGGTGAGTGTCGAATTAACATTTTTTCGTATTAAAACTTACTACAGCAGTCATCGTTAACTTTATTTACGATATTTTTGAAGGCTCACGCTGGTATATCGTCTCATAAGGAGTACGTCGAGAACAAATTAACATCTCTCAAGAAGTATGTACAAACTTTGGATGCTGTCGTAGCATGGGTTAACGACACGAGATCTCGACTTAGTGAAGCTGCAAGCGCAGCTCAGCAGGATGAACGCATCAACAACATAGAAACTATCATGGTAATGCACATGTTATATGAATATTGTAGATAGATATCTTCGTTTTGATCTGCTTAAACTGATAATTTTATGCGTTTTGTTGTCGTTTTGCGCAGGCAAGTGTAGAAGACCGTCAGATGGAAGTCACAGATGTTCTTGAAAATTATACCAACTTGGAGAAGGAATGTGAATCTGCTAAACAGACAGTCTCTGTAGAACTTCAAGTAAGACTTTCATCACATCATTATTAGTTTTAAATTTTATAACTTAAAACTTATGATACGGTATTTTAACAGGAAAAGTTGAAAAAACTTAGAGAAGAATGGAATTTATTGAAGAATCGAGAAAATATCGAAGTTGAACTGAGCATGGCTGCTTCACCACTGAGACTAAAAGGTGAGTTGTTTTTCAACTTTTTGAACGACGCGATGAAATCTACGATAACTGAATATTTTTCAATAATATATCAAACTTAAAAACTACCGATTGGCATTAAAAGATCTAGAAACTCCTTATTACTTTAGGGGAGATAAAAATTGATTATTAATAAAAAAGTCATTTTTCATTTCTATACGACAATGAAAATTTTTTATTAAAATTGTTGATTATAGTGTTCATCAAGGAAGATCGATTTTTATTTATACCAACTTTTTAAAGGACGTAAATATGGACCTAGATATATTTGTCAATACTTTCTTTCATTTTTTTGGGCCAAAAATTTTTTATCGTCCTACTCCTGGCGACAGATGCGATGGCGCCGCGTAATCTAGCCGACCCGACTGTGACCTGCATTGCGAAAAAGGAAGTTATGCTTACTTCTATATATTCGCACGCAATTGACCGCAAAGAGAGCGAGAAGAAAAGTCGGTCGGAAATGTGTGAAAATATGCGCTTTTATTCTCTTCGTTTGACAATAGCCGCGCTTCTTTGAGCTTGCACATACAACAGGAGAGTCTGTGCCGCAGTCAGCTTTTCGTATAGTTATATACGAAATATAAATACCGCAGACGTTCAATTGAGCGAGGAACGGGCGGACGGGGCGCGCGCGCTCACGCCCGGAGGCGTGTGAGGCACACGGTAATACGGACAACACCACCGTCGCGTCGTCTCGTGCAGCGGCAGAGCTACCCTCGTTGCTTTTCATATTTTGAACTCGATTTCATGCGGCAAAATCGATGCGGGTCCCGCGCAAGGATGTGCTCTCTCTCCATTATATATATCGTCCTTTGCTTTTCAACGCCTGATTGTTTACCGACGTATTTTTCCCTCAATCGCATCAGTCTCGCTGACAGTGCAAGCAAGCACAAGCAGCATTGCGCGCTCGCTAATGGACCGAATCAGCGAATCATTATGAAATAGGCACCCCCTTCTGCACCCGTGTGTGTGCACGCTCGCGTATCTCCAATCTCTCTTATTTTTCCCCCCTTTTTTTCACTTCTTCACGGAGTAGTGTATGTGTACGCATAGGTCGGTATAGCGCGACTGTACCAGCCAACACGCTCTACCCCTGCTCTGCCTCTCTCTCTCTATCTCTATTTCTCTCTCCGTCTTTCTCGCTCGCGCGAGGCCCCGGTAGAGCCACAAAGTAGAGCCGCGCGCGCGTACATAGGTATACAGCATACAGCAGCGCGCGAAACGCGCGCACAACTCTTGTTATAAGGGGGGTTAAAGGGGAACGAGGCAGAGAGTAGAACCGGCCGCAGCAGTAGCAGCGGCGGCAGCAGTAGCAGTACAACCCCGGCCAGTCAGGGTGCAACGCGTGCTCCGATCCCGCGCCGCGCTGTTCTACTTTAATAGAGCAGCACCACAGCTCGCTAAACCGTGTGCGATATCTATGTACATATATATCTGATGTATGAGAGCACCTGCCCTATACGTGACCGAATGACCGGGAGTATAATTTTCCCCGTAAAAAATTGATTATCGACCGTTGCGTAAATTATCGAACACGTTCTTCTAAACTGTTGCATCGCACCTATACATAAAACAAAAAAAAAACAAAGGGAAGCAAAAAGATCTTTTGCACGAGCGTGTTCGTGCGTCGTTTCTTCATTGGATTTTTAGCGTCTTCAAGCTGCTGTTGCTGCTGCTCGTCGACGTCCCTTGGCGCGAGAAAAGGTGCAGACGAGTGATTATTTTTTTTGCTGCCCCAGCAACACGTGCACCGACTGCTGCTGCTGCTGCTGCTTCTGTGTCGTGCTACGAGAAGAATTGATCCCAGCTGCAGCAGATGCACGGCTGATGAAAAAAGGCGAAGAATTTAAAGTAAGAAGTCGCGCAAGCTTATGGTGCAGCAGCACTAGAGAGTCGTGTGTATACCTCGGCGCGTGATCGTGTGTGCGTGTTTATTATAACGTGAGAGCGTGTTTTGGCTCGACGACGCGAGCTTCGAGCCGAGGAGCCCGAGCCAAGTGTGTCGTCTGTGCAGTGTTGTAGTACGTTTCGCGCGTCGGTGTGCGTGTCCGTGTGTTGTTTGCCCCTGTGCAGCGTGCGCGCGTGGGCTCTCTGGCTCCGTCAAAAGGAGCGCCTCGTGAGCATGTGAAAGGCAGAGAGAAACGAGGGAGAGAAACGAGTGTGTGTGTCGCTGAATTATGAACGGCGTCACGTGAGTACATCTCTCGGCGTGCGTATACGCGCGTACACACTACTACTATACAACGCGTCTGCATCACGTCCTGCAGCCTTGCTGCTGCTGCTGCTTGTTGTTGTCGTCGTTGACGTCCATGCAGCTATATGTATATATACAACGCAGCTGCATTATATTGGCCAGCTCGCGCGCGCCAGAACACGCACCCCTCGCGCCCTTGCCGGGAGAGAGAAAGAGATCTTCTCGTTCTCAATTTAGAGCCCTTCCTGTGCAGCAACGCATTTTCGCTCACTTTTTGAGGGAGGAGAGGCTCTCTTTTATGCTGGAACAGGACACGTTCTATAGTATGAGTGTCGAGCTTCGAAGCAAGATTACTAACGAGCTTTCTTATACGCGATACACGAGTGTATTTATCCGCGGTCCCCTTTCCTTTCCAACGCGCTGACTATTATAATCAAGCTCGCCTCGCAACACGCAGAGCTTTAATTGATGAGCTTTATTTTCCCAGTCTTTTGAAGCATGAGCAATAACTGCTCAGCTGTGATAGCTACCTTCGATTTTCCAATATACCGCCTCCAGCTTTACTTTCACTCACATTGCTTCTCGCTCGCTCGCCTCTCTTTTACTCGAAAACCGTGTACGGAGGGCGATTGAACGCGCTCGTGCGTTTATTGTATGCCGGCCGCCGTTGTTGTCGAGGTCAGACCGATAAGAGAAGAAAGAGAGAAAGAGAGAGAGAGAGAGAGAGGCAGTCTAAGCGTGCGATGCGAGGCTCAATGAGGCTCAAGGACGTTGTGGGTATTGGTTACATTAAAAATTAAAATAGACGTCCGGGGCTTGTAAACCAAAACCACCCCGACGCCGTCTCGGCGAGTCTCGCTTGGATTATAATATAGGCAGGGGATTATTTCCGTATCGCGCGCTACGTAACTTCATCCCAAAGATACCGGCATTGTTTTGGTTCGTGTCGCAGCATAATTTCTCCAGACAGCATGAAAATCGTGCGGATATAGATGGAAATTGTTCAATTTAAAGCATTACGGTTTCTAAAATACGAATTTAACGTAGATGGGTTGTTCGCATAGGGCTCGAAGGATTTTAAGGTTTTGAATATTAAAAAAAGGGGAAAAAGTCAAAGAAAAAAGAAACAAAACCAAAAGAATAAGCAGCTTTGGTGCTTGGATTTAATGAGTTCTCGAGAGATTTGTAGGTACACATCGAGCAAGAACTTCTTTCACCTTCCCTTTACTCGTCTGTAACTTGTGACTGCGTCGTATTACATCTCCGCTAATGAAGCTTGCCCGAAAGTTAAGCTGAAACTAGTTGCCTGTATAGATTGTATCGAGAAAGAGCTCTGCTCGGCGCGAGCGCAGTTCAGAAAACTGCAATTCAGAGTTATTCGGTTGGTCAGCCATGCGATTCGATTACGAATGTTGCCGACTAGTTGCGCTAAAACGACGAGCGATAAAAATTACATCCCGTTGCCTCAAAGGTTTCGTCTGGTAAGCTTGAGCCGATCAGACTTGAAATGACTCGAATGTTTCGAGTATACGTACACTTAGCTAAATGTAGGGTTGATCCATTCAACAAATTCAGAGAGTTTATTGGTCGGGGTTTTTTTATTTTTATAATAAATAAGTAATTCGTAGGCACGTAGCGTTGATGCAGATACTCATATAACTTGACCCACTAATTTAGTTTTTCGTTGATTGTTTCAAATGTTAGTAGACTAGGCAATGCCAAAGATAAACGATTAACAAAAATTTTCACTCAAGAACTCCGATCGACAGAACCTATGCGTTGGTTTTAATTGTTTCGAGCTTTGAAATCTACCAGTGAAGGTATACATTTTCGGTCTTCTGACCTCGGTGAGCCGATTTTCCAGTCGACTCCATTTCCATTTCGTTTCAGAAGTATTTTCCCGGTTTTTTCTTCCTGCTTTTTGCACTGTGCTGCATAACGCGTGGAAAGCATTATGTGCACCGAGCTCCGAAAAAAGGATAGAGCAGCGAGGTATACACAAAGAGCACTACTGCTCATTCATCAGCTAAAAGACGCGCGTTGACCTGACGACTTTGTTTTCGACCTAGAAGTGTACAATAAGTAAACGCTCCTTGGCGCGAAGGTGATGTACACAGCTTTATTCTTTCTCTTTTCTTTTTTTTCATTTACATCTCGGCAAGTGGATGAAACAATAAAGCCACCGAGAGATGTGCTAAAAAAATGCGCAATTTTTAAAGAAGTTCATCGCACGTATAAAAATTACGTAAAATTCTTCTTTGTCTTGAAAATTTAACTAGCATAATTGTGTGGTAAAAGTTTCATCGATTGTCGAATAATTTTTCATAGTTCGAAAGTAATAATCAAGTTCGACAAACCGACTAGAAAACTCATAAAGTTGATAAATTGTAAACGAATGCGTTTTAATTGTAAAAGGCATTCTCGATTACCAAAGATATTGACTGCGGATGTGAGTAAGGCAAGTAAAGTCCGCGCGCGCTATACTCTAAAGTTCACTTCGGTAGTTATGAACGAGGCCGTTCCGATCAATTATTTAGCGTGTCAATTTACTCGCTGAATGAATCTCAAACTGCATTTACTATATATCCAGCGGCCCGTAACGCGAGCCTGTGCTCTCTCTCTCTCTCTCTCTCCTGCACACAGTATAATTACATTTTGTCTACATGATCGTATCAAATATTCAATAATCCATTTCACACGTCAAACCGATAATCGATCGACCAACCGCCTAATGCGCCCTGCACTACACCATACGAGGAAATGTGTGAACTCATCGTGTATCTGCTATGTGTCGATGCCGCGCAATTTTTCAAGCAACACGAGATAATTTATTTTAAAAACTATTAGCAGACCTGATCATTCGAAAAGTGTGATTATTCATCGTGTTATTTTCGAGAATCATGGCGTGTTTATTTGAATTGAAAAAAATTCCATATTTTTGATATTGAAATGAAATGTCGGATATTTACATAGAGCTTACTTTTGATGCCACATAGACTCGAACATTCGTAGTGATATCCGAGCTGCAAAGATTTAAAGTTTTATAAACGCACACGCATGCTCGAGCCGCAGAAATTTAATAAGAGGAACGCGCCGGTGATATATAAAAATGAGCGCAAAGTTATCCAGACTCCCGTACGTAGTGGTAGGGGGGCATTCCCCGAGAGGGAGAGACGGTCGTAAACATTGGCGTGTCGCAATTGGCAATGAAAAGAATCGCACACAGGAGCTGCTGCTGCGTGTCGACTGCGCGTCGCGGAACCACCCCTCGTGCGCTCGTCGTCGTCGTCGTCGTATTAAAGCCGCCGCAAAGCCGTGTGTGCAGCCGCGCGTGAAACCGATCGCGTGCTCGTGAACAGTTGCTGCTTGGAGAAATGTTAGCAGCGGAATGCTCGCCTGCCAATAAATTCGGGGGTCTATTGTAATCGGCGTCGTCTTCATTACTGCCACTGACCACGGGCTCCTTTGTCCAAGCTCGTACTAATATACGACTCGTGTTGTTCTCTAGACACACTCAACCACACGCACTGGACCTTTAATCACACGGCCTCGTGCAAAGCAAAGGATTGGGGTGTGTTTCCTTATATACACTCGGCCTTGCGAGTGAGTGCCATCAAGTCGGAAAAGGCAGGCAGGCATGGGGGAGAGAGAGAGTTACCTCTTGAGAGCAACAGCAGCTATATTTATATACCCCGAGCTGAAGTGCACTGTGTGCACGCAGGTGCACACGTTCGAGAGCGAGCATCGGGGGTATCGAGCACATATCGATCGGGCCTACTGCTGCTGTTTCGCGGGCGCTGCACCACCGGTGGTTTCGAACGTCGGCCTTCTTCGGTTTGGATTTCAAGTGAGCGAGCCTGTGTAGCGGTAACGTGAGATGTATACAAGCCCGCTGTGGCTGGTTTGAGAGAGAGAGAGAGAGAGAGAGAGAGAGAGCAGCTACCTTTGGGTTTCTCGTGATCGGTATAAGAATTGCGATTTACGATACCTGTTAGACATAAACTTTGATTCGATTCCGTGAGTCAAAAATTTCCTCGGAATTGTACTATGAAAGTACTTCCCCCACTTAGTTGTTGGTAGTATAAACTCGTTGCAACGGCTGTTTACCTGAAACGAGTGCAATAACTCATCTCGAAGGGATTTCTTTTATCTAGACGCCCACGTAAGAATTTAAATTTATCTGTCGATCACTCGAACTCCGATGTCTATCCGAAAGGCTAGATCAAATAAATTGTCGGACGCGCGAAGCGGTATTTAAAATCTCTTTTTAATTTCGGAAATGCCGGGAAAAGGTCAAGAATATTTAATGATTTGGCGCGGCTCCAAAAAATCACTCCGAGTTGATCTCGCTGCGGTTACGAAGCTCGCTCGGAAGCGAGAAAAAAATCTCGCGCTGCTTGTTGATGCGACTGTTGTCCGACTTGATGGGAATTGAAATTAAATGCAGCTGCGGCTGGCAAATCCACGTTTTCTCTAGTTGCATTGCGGAACGCGGCGCGCGATGAAAACACATCCTTTTGCAGCTATTACGAGCTTCCATCCTTTACATTTGACGCCGGAGATGAAAACTGGGATATTCCGAAAGCCTCTCTTGAGGTGCAGTTGTTTCAGCTTGCTGGCGCAAAGCAACAAAAATATTCTACTTTTCCGAGAATTTAAGTTATGTTAATCTTTGTGGCAAAAATTTCAAATACCTAAAGTAATATTTCTAACCTAGTTTTCGTCTTACACATCAATGATACGCTCAATGTGTATGGATACATTATGTACTGTAGCTCTATTGTTACGGGAAAGTAAAATAGTGTGCAAGCGGTACAGTCAATTCTTAGAATGAGTTCTAAATCGAGTTCGCTACTAGTGGCAGTCCAGTCACGTTTCGTAGGCAAAAGTAATTTTCCTTTTATTCTCTTTTGTTCTTCGTTTTACTTGGTTTTGTGAAAAACCTACCTATGTATCATATATGACTTTTGTCCCCTTTTTTCAATCATTTCAAACATTTATATCTAACTTGATTTGATGCATACATTTATTTTAATTATGTAACGAAACAACTCGTACACAGTTTATACCACATGTATGTACAACAGTTTATCCTACTACTGTATTAGTTTTCGAGTAAACTTTCGTGCGCTTCCACTTACCTCGAAACAAGGAAGAAAACTCGCACTGTCATTAGTCGCTAGCATGCATTAATGAGTGGCGCGTGGGACGATGGCATCGAGTGTTGATTATGAAAAAAGGGCTGTTGCGAGACACAGCCATACACATCGCTTCGGTGAATGAAAATGGCTGAACAATGAGTACACTGCGAGTGCACACGAGCTGCGAGTTTGCAAGTCACACGTACACTTGAGATCTTTTTAGGTCGTGCGCGCGCGCCGCGTTTGGTTGCAACTTTGGAGCTTTCGAAAACTCATCAGTATTCGAACATCTCTTCGAGTGCGTTTATTCGAATACGGCATATCGAATCCATCCAGCTACAAGATACAACTTCGTTTAAGGCTTGCTCTCGTTTCCTCTCTGATTCTCGTAACTCTCTGATCAAATTAACAATCGAAATTCATCAATTGACGACTCCCGAACTCTCGATCCACTTTTTGAGCGTTTCGATTTACGGCTCGTTGATTGCTGCAAAAGCAGACAAGTCGTAGAAATCCTCTCGAAAAGCAATTTTATCATCGATAAATTATTTTAAATTATATATGTTACGATTCTCGTATTACTCGTTTAATACCGAATATAAAATAATTGAATGCGCTTTTTCCAAACCTATTTCATGAAAACGTAGATATTTTTTTATTATACAGCGTAGTGAAAAGGGCCTAAGGTTTAGCGAGTGACTCACATTGTTTTTCTTTTCACGCTTGAAATAACGCGATGTCAAGTACAACCTAGCACGTACACGTCGAGCACATAATTTTCCCGACTTCTGCTCTATATAGAACAATTAGCATATATATATCTCTAAGCTCATTTTTTTTCTCGAAAACTTTCGGTGCCATTAAGTACAACATTTACACTGCACAGCTTGCCGAGACAGAGAGAGAGAGAGAGAGAGAGAGTCTCTCGACCACAAGTCTTTATAAAAGAAGTCGCTTCGCTAAGCTGCTCAATGCTGTACTAGATTTCTTCCGGCTTGCCAAGACGCGCGCGACGAGATAATTTAGAGCTTATGAAGTGTGATCGATGCGCGCCACACACGTTATACACGTCTTAGCGCTCATGCGCTGCGAGCACGGATATTTTCCGTTAAAGTGCTTCACTTTTTTTGCGATAGCACGGGATTTCGTGCGGGCGTATATTCTGATAAAAATCCGAACGAACGTGTCGATTGCAAAGCTCAACTTGTAACTCACGATTTTCTCTAACCGATGCTTTTTTCTTACGATTGTTACAGAGCGAGAGCGACACGTAGGAGGAGCGGCTGAGGCAGCGGCAGCATCATCATCAACAAGCAGCGGCGATGCCAACGACAGCGTCAGCAGTAACAAGAACGAAACGTCCGGCGTTAGCAGCCAGTGTTCGACTGCGATAAGCCGTGGTAGCCCGGCCGCTAGTCCGACAGCGGCCGGTGCGCCCCTCTCCACCTCGACGCCGAACATCCCGCAGAGTCCCCTCGACAAGCAACTACTTCAGGTGAGAATCCGATTATGATTAACTACTCGGGTGGGCGGCACTCGTTATCGGGCTCTTCCAATCATCGAGTCCATTAGTCTTTCTTCGTTTCCATCTGTTTGCTCCTTCCGGGCCACGATTCGAAGACGGTGGCCCCGTTAAATAACGAGTTAACGAAGTTGACTTTTTATGCTTCGGTTATTGATCATTTTTCATCTCTTTCTTTTGAGAAAAAAATTGCATCTTTTTTATTGATTATGCGATTATTCAAATTGGAATTGAAATAAAATTTATCGATGAATGTTTTTCAGATTCGTGACTGGCTGGCTGAAAAAGGAAACATGATCCGTCAACAGGTTGTCGTGGTCGGCGACGTCGAAAGTATTCTACAACATATCGACCAACAAAAGGTTTGCTATTATTTCAAGCTCTGTCAATATTCGCTTTAAAATAGCTTTTTTCACACATTAATATTTTATTGAAGGTAAGAGAAGGTGTTCGATTCGTAATTGTTCACTGCCTTTCCTACCCTACCGACAGATGCGAAGAAACTGTTTCTGCTCTGTCCGTAGATAGAAAATATGACATACTTATGGAAACAAACCCCATCGATTTTTGAGCCCCTGCGCGTACAAGAATGCACCCTTTAGCAGTCGGTACATAACCGACCAAGTTTGTGTTCGATCAGTAGTTGATAAAATCTGTTAATCGTCTTAATCTTATCGTGTAATAAATTATTTGATTTCGCAGACGTTAAACGTTTCAAGCATAAGCAATAGTACTTTCAATAAATGTTCAAGTTGGATCAAGCCTTAATCGTAATGTCATAGAATCGAAAAAATAATCTGAGACAATCAGAACTAACGACTCAATTTCGAGTGGATAATAATATAATTATATTAAAACATTATGTCAATAATTCATAAAAATCTGTCGTGTTTGTATTCACTTCGGTCTTTTTTAGTCGTTTATTTTAAATATTTGTGAGTGACCTGCTAATATTACCGAAAATTGGTTGTTAGAGTGTTTCTAGATACTAATTAAAAATCAAGCGATACGTATTAAATGAAGAGTCGAGTAAAATAGTGAATTTTCGTGGAAATTAATCGATACGTACCCCTTGTGTATGTTATATACATGCACATAGTTGTACGTGCAGCGAGTCCCGTGCAGCATACCTACCTTTCTACGCTATCGATTGCGTCTAGCTATTCGAGAGTTACTGGGTCTTATACCAAGCATATATTAACATATTTACGCTTGATATGTAGTATACAATACTTCTTCTATTCTCAGTAATTATAGATTTTCAACTTTCATGATATATTTTAATGAGGCATATTAGGAAAGCCGTAAATATAGTATTTGAATAATTTCAACTTATAAGAAAGAGATGTTTTATAGATTAATTTTTCAGAAGTATACTCTTTTGATTAATGCTTTTTATTCCCGTAATAATGAAAAGTAGAAATATTTCTTCTTCTATTTTCAGTTCGTTAAAATATTTTTTTTCGATCGATTTAATTTTCTTTTTGAATACCAAATGCGAGTTACAATCTAAAAAAAGATGTTGTCTCATTGTTTACATTTGTTTATTTTGTTTTAGACTGTTCTACGAGAACTAGAACAGAAAAAGCCACAATTGGACGAACTGGTGCACACGGCTGAGAACTTGCGCGCAGACACGAACAGGCAACAACTGCATGGCAAAGGTAAGTAGTGCAACCAAACTTCGGTCAGACTTACTTTTTTTTTCTCTTTTTTCTGCTTAATCCAAAATAGTTTATTTTTAATTGAGAAGGAAAAGTTTAAATATAATCGAACAGATTCTTATTATAAATGGAATCACGCAAATATTCATAAATATTTAAATAATATTTAGACGATGTTTTGGTATCAGGTCGATTTGATATCCATGGGTGGAGCCCTGCGTCTTTTTTCAAAACAACTACATATGTATGCATGCCTAAAATTTGTTTTACTTTTGTTTTTCATGTTTTTTTTTACTTTGGTTTGATTAAATATTTACTTATGAATAATTACCTGAAAATTTTTCAATTAAACGGAAAAATTTGAAAGAAAAATAAAAATGAAAAAAAATTGAAGATTTCAAAGACAAAATATTTAAATATAAAATTTAAATAATGAAATGGTATACATTTTCTCGTCACGAAAACTTGCTTTTTACTTAACAATAATTGGTACAGTTGCTAATTCTAAACTACATGCTTTTAAATAAGAAAACATAGGGCAAAATTTGTGCAGGATTCCAAACATGTTGTGCACGTCGTAATAAGTACTCGCTGCTCGCAATCTAATTAGTCATGCGCGCTGCTCACTCTTTTCCAGCCAAACACTCATTTTACCAGATACGACTTGTCTTTCTTACGTACTGTCCTACCCCAGCCAACTAGAGTTTGCCTCTAGAAGCCTCTCGAAAGTTATAAGACAGTAGAACAAACTTTTGCATTTGCATGTCTGAAATTGAGAAATTTTTCCATCTTTATGGTTTTATCTCACATAATTACATCTTGAGAGTTTAATAATTAATGGTTAAAAATTTGTTTTGTAAAAACATAATCTACAAATCAGTGTTGCACTTATAAGATAAGAAAATTATTGATCTTCTTTAACACGAAGTACATTTTTCTGCTTTTTATTGTCTTATTCCTTTTACCGTAAATATGATGAATCGTAGTAGAATTAACGGCTATTGCGGAGGGTGCGAATAATATGATCGCGTGCCAGCTAGTTTACGTCCTATCTCTACGTCGCGTGATTTTCGATCGATGGCGCGGAAAAAGGATTATTACTTCGATTGCTTTTGTTCGGTCTGGGATAACTTTTATTTTTAGTGGCGGTCAATGTTCGAAGAGTTACATTGTTTCGTTAATAAGATAAAGTTTAATTTAAGTGATCGATTGAAAAATAGTTTTTTACCTCAACTTTACCCAAGTTGGCTTGATGCGCTAAATGACATGTTGAGTAATTAAGTTTTAATGGAAACAAACTTTTGGAATACCTACTGCAGATATTTTCGTTGAAAATGTCAAAGATTGTAATATTATCGATATACTTCACTATAGACTTTACCAATAGACTGTTGACATAAAATATTCAATTTAAAAACCGAAAGCTGAAATAATACAATTCATTTCATACGACGATTTAACATATTTTTCCATAAAAGTATTTTCTGACTGCAATGGTTTCTGAGAATTTTCAAAATTATGGCTCACCCTTAAATTATTGAACTGAATATGAGACGAGAAAAATAGCTGTGATATAGCCTCGGCTCTCCTACAGGATGGAATTTTATGAGTTTTATAGAGTATCAAGTGTCTTCCCCCCTATCTTCATTCTCCGAGTTTTTCCATCAGCTTTTCTTCGCGTAAGTTGAAAATTAAAAATTAATTGGGGTAGCGATGATAATCTGATCCTTTTTTTGCTGCGTAACTCATGATATACCGTCGAACAGCTATCGCGTTGACGAAATACCTTCCGCAGTTTCTAGAACAACTTGATAAAATAATATAATGTAACATAAAAATCGTGGGGAACAAGCGTCGAACCTTTTTATCTTGCTTCTAAGAACTTGGTTGATAATTTTGCAGCCTGTCTGCAACGAAGAATTATATACCGTTGCCTCGCACCCCCATAGCCCATGCTCGAATACCTGTGCGTGTATATAGGTGCAAAAGCTTTGGGGCAAAAAGCGCCGGCGCTGGCTGAACGGCGGCGCGAGCAAGATGGAACGAGCGTACGAGCGAGCGAGCGAGCGAGAGAAAGAGAGCCAAAGCACAAGCTGCTGCCGGCTGCAACGCGTCGAGCCGGGTTCTCAGTCAGAGGCAGAAGCAGCAGCACAGCAGCAGTGTTCGCGCGGACGCATCCAGGCTAGGCCGCGCGCGCGCACCCCGTACCGGCAGCAGTAGCAAGCGCTTGCCATGGCCTGTTGTTGTTCGCTACTGCACACCAGACCAGACCTCGCGCAATTTTAGTGCTCCTACTATCTCTCGCGCTCTTTCTCTCGTTCTTCTCTTTCGCTCTTTCTCTTCCATCGCGAGCTTCCAACTGATCTAGTGCAAGCTAGTAGCCTCTGAAAGGTCAGCAGGTGCAATGAACGATAGGTAAATACGCCAGCTGAGTGGGCGCATCAAGTTCAGCCAAATAAAAAGTTATCGACTGCAACGTATGCATTTGCAACTCGGTCAAGAAGTTCGCATGTTAAAGTTAGCTTTCGTCAGCCATATCACTACCTCGAAGGACTTTTGAATCAAGAGAAAACATCCTAGTGCTGCTTCTAATCCTTAGATCAGCTGTATAAGCTAGTAAAAAACTGTAGCTAAAAGAACGACTCGCGGGCATTAGGAAGGATTTAGACTGAATTGTTATTCTTTGCCATTGTCCGGAAATTGTGGATCAGAAATAAAACTCAAGCCAGTTGATGTCAAAAGTAAAGAACATACCATCAGGTGCATCCTAGCAAAAGTTCGCTTTGAAGTTGTACACGACTGCTGCAAGGTGTACACGCGCGGCGGCAGTAGTACGTGTGCAATCAGTCTGCCAGCGGCTTTTTGCGTTTCGAGTGCGTCGTCTACTCCTCATCCATCAACGCTGGATCAAGTATTGCTTCTTCGCAGCTAGTATAGTAGCGCACGCGCACCCAAGAACCAACTCTTTTTCCCCAGTAAAAGAACGACTGGCCGAGTTTGACCGGACTCTCTCTCTCTCTCTCTCTCTCTCTCTGCTGTTGGTGCACACTCTGTGCACACGCGAGTGCGTCTATTCGACAAACGTCGTTGCTCGTAGATCAAGGTTCAATCTTGTGTGCGCGCCGCGGCCGCTGGCAGATATCGGATCAGCCTAACTCTCTAATCGGCTCCGATGATCGCGCGCTACTTTTTTAATTGCTATCGTGTGTGATACTTCATGGTGTATGCATTATTGCATTACACGTAGATGATAAAGTGAGGAACTGCGTCTGTGATTTATTCCGTACTTTTTTCTTTTCAAAGAAGAGTTAATTTTTAATGCTCGGCTCGAGGACTTTCTACGAGTTTACTGTCTGAGTACTCTAATGAATACTCTTACTTCCAATTAAAGTTATGAACTGTCATCGATGTTAATTGCATCTGCTGTCATCAAAAGCATATCAAAATCGAATAAAAGAAATATAGTCGTTAGCTCAAGAGTTTATTTACCTTCAGAAACGAGCCTGTAAGAAAGTTTAGTCAATTGTGCAAGTACTAGTGGATTGAGTAAATAAGATTGAGAAGTGCGCAAGTGAAATGAAACAAATTTATTAGATACATCTGAATTACCAAGAAAACAAACACGTTACTAAACGGAATCAAAACTGACACTACGAAAAATTAAAAATATTAGTAATAAAGCAATCGAAATAAGCAATAAATCGTCGAAATGTCGCGCAGAAATTCGTTCCAGTATCTGGAAAACGGTTCGGGTAGTCCGCAGCATCAGTTTAACGGGCATCAAGCCAACGAGAGAAGTGTACCGATCATGAGGCCCATTTCCGATCGGGGCGTCCCGATGCCCGCGATGCTCGGCAGGCCGCTTCACGCCGGTGCCGCTTTGATGCCGCAGCAAGGCGGCATGCATGGCTTTGTCAATCCGCTGGGACCGAGCTCGCTCGACTCGGGAATCATGCCACCTCCGATGGATTCGATTTTGCCTCTGGGAGCCATGCAATCGTCTAATCATAGGCCAGGTGCGAGGCTAGCGTTTAACGATACGCGTGGCTTCGTTTCCCGTTGCCGCGAACAATCGAAAATGAACGAATCGAACGAGCATGATACGCTTGTAAACGGTTGATTTTGATTTTTGTTATTAAACCTGGTCAATTCTCGATTTAGTTACCTCGGTGATATGTAAATTATTCATGTTCATTAGAAAAAAGGGTCTCGAAATATTTAAATTGGTAAATTTTCAATCGATGTCGTGACCGAGTATAAAGTCTGGTCTAAAGTCTGATTTTTATAAACTTTAAGTTGTTTTTATGATTGGGAAACCAATTTTTTTTTATTGCCGACTTGAACGTAATCGCATTCGATTTATTGTGCCAAGCCTGTTAGCTAAATAACTCGAGGCTCATTTGATATTTTATTTTCTTGACAGATCAAATTATGGCTACATTGAGAACTTTTAAAAACTCAATGAAAAATTGTCCCGCTATTAAAAAAAACTCGATGGAATCCATCTTCGAAATGCTTAATATACATCATCATTATACATCGTAAAAGTAAATTGTAACTTTCCTACCCTCAAAGATTTAAAAAGAAAAGCTTTTTATACTTTATATCTGCTTGAACTATTGGATTCATTTTATGCATGGATCAGCTTTAATGCAATAAATTTTGTGAGCCAAACAATAAGGTATCATTCTATTTATTTGAAGTATTGGCATAAATTCAAATTGAAAAATGACGCAGCGTTCTTTGGATATTAAATACTTTTAAAAAAATCATGAGAAATTATAATTATGTTACATCCTTAAAATTTATTATTTTCATCGCTTGGATAGTTTTATGTCTCAAAAGAGCTAGTGACTACCGCTGTCATTAGCAATCTTCACCCTTGAAAACTTCAACACAAATTTGCATGCTAATAACAAATATCAAATTCATGGGTTTTGATTACAGTTACGAAGCTACGCGAGCACTGGGATGAAACGAACTCGAAAGTTATGCAACGCAAAAGTCAGCTCGATGCCATGCTCGGGGACAGCCAACTCTTCGAGGCAAAGCGCTTCGAAGTCGAGGCGTGGATGACTCGCATGGAGACCAGACTCGAGCGCATGAATCCCGTTGGCCACACGGCCGACGTTCTTGAGGTTCAGTTGCGAGAGCAAAAGGTATAATAGAGGCTTTCTCGATTTAACTGCTTCTCAAATCATGCACAGGCCACTTCAAACGTAATAACGTGAGCCTTTGTTCACTTTCAGTCGTTCCACGCGGAATTGCACCAATACAAGCACCACATCGAACTGTTCAATTCGCTGACGCAAAGACTCATCGCAGTCTACCAGCAAGATGACACGAGCCAGGTCAAAAAGCTCACTGAGACCATCAATCAGCGATACAATAATCTAAATACAAGGTGGGTATAGAAAGACGAAGAAAGAAAAGAGGGAAAGAGATCAATTGCGCATTATTTGTTTGAAACTAAGAAAACGCGAATCTGTATATAGCGACGTCTTTGATACTTTGAATTTTTTTGAACAAATTAATTCTTCGTGATAATTATTGGCCATTGTCTATCAGAAGAGTTATTACAGCTGTTAATGAGTGATTAATTATCGGGGCCGTTGGGAAATTTCCTTTTAAATTAGTTAAAAGGATATCCTGTGCAGACGCAGACTTCATAATTCATCGGCATTATTTGAATTTGTTCAACAAAAATGTTCAAGTTGTGTTTCTTTTTGACTAATATATGTTTTTCTGTCCACTGCAGCATCATCAGTCGAGGCAAGTATCTTCATTCCGCCATGAATTCGCTTCACAACTTCGACCGTTCCCTCGACAAATTTTTAGCCTGGCTAAGCGAAGCGGAGTCTTCAACGGAGACTCTTGAGACCGAAGCCGATCGTATCTGTGGAGGCAGACGAGACCAGGCAGCAATCGCACGATCACATCTTCAGTATAAGGTAAGTTGCTATACTCGCATTTTTAACCGTTCACTCATTACTCTCTTATCAATTTTCTCTAATTTTGCATTAAACTTTCAAGTTTGAGCGGTAATGTGTTCGCAATTATGAATTCTGATACTCGCCGGTATATGTTTTTCGAATATTTTTCCCATGCACCGATACTCAATAAAGCTTGATTTATTCGATTCTAAAGCCCGCAGTTTGCTAGTCAGGGTAAATGATTTATGAGAGCTGATTAACGCCTCGGTGCGAGATACGATAGAAAACGAAGCAGGATATTTAAAGTTTGATTAGATAATTTACTAATTAATTTCTTTGTGCCTTTCATTTATTTTTTCATATTATTTTACTTATAAATTATAAAATAAATCATAAAGTCAATCATCATTCAGAAAAATAGGAGATTTCAATTTCCAAGTTTATCGATAATTCTGCAGTGCATACTTTTTCATCTCTAGCGCATAAACACGAGAGAGCTTTTATCTCCTTTTTGTAAAATGCGATAATTTTCTGTCATGCAATACGAAAATGGCGCTGCTGCACTTACAATCATTAGTCATTCGATCAGCGATCTTTCACAGTCATAATCATAAATAAATACGCGAGCAACAGCGGTCGGCATAGTGCAGAAGCAAAAGTACGTAGTAAGCAACATCACTACTACTACTACTGCTGTTGCTGCTAGTACTACTGCTACTACTACTACCATTACTACTTCCAGTAGGAGCATTGCCACCGCCACCGCACCACCACCGCCACCTTCGCTGCTGCCGCCAGTAGCAATGGCATCCGTGTGCTCGCGATGTCGGCGAACGAGTGTATGCGATTGTAGGAGCGAGAGAGAGAGAGAGAAAGCGAGTGAGCGAGAAAGGTGGATGCGTTCTATCGATCGGCTATTCGCAGCAAACGAGCGCGTACTTTTCTCGTCGTGAGTTCGCAGTTTGTCTCTTTTTGACTCAGCTAGATCTTTCAGCGTGCCTTCCTAAAATATTTGCATATTCGCCTACTCGTGATGCATATTTTATTTTTACACCCGCTGCTACTGAAATAGCCTCGATAACTGTTTCTTTTTTTTTAAGGACGATTTTTCAAAGTGCTTGCTCAAACGGTCTTTTGGATTGCCTGTCCTCCGTTTCGATTGTCATTTGCTTTGTTTTGACAGGACTGTGAAAGAAAGTGGTCGCGATCGAGCAAACTATTATTTGTCGTCGCAGACGCGACGTACGCATTTCTGCGGAGAACGTTTTTATCTTTAAAATACGATCCTATCAGGCGGAAGAGCCGCGCACAGACCCGGAGAGAATTTCAAGTTCGAGATGCACCGCGTATATTCTCCACATCTCCCCGTGCTTGTTCTCGAATTGGTGTGTTGGTGCAGCTGGTCCTCGCAGTCCACGTTTACTATATAGTCTGGCCAGCCTTTGAAACTTTGTGCGATCGAAATTTGCAGCGCTTGCGCTCTGAGGGTGCCCAAAGATTCGAGTTTGCAAAGCTTGGCCGCAGGTTCGATAACCCTCTCGCTCGACCGTGGCGCTCTCGTGGCTGCGCTCGATGAACCACCCGAGTTCGGACGGCCACGGCCGTCGGTAGTGTAGAAAGTGAGCCTCCCTATGTACCTATTCTATGCCACAGCTGGTACTTTTATCGGCGATGAGCCAGCAGAACTCCAATTTCCGAATAGAAAATATTTCTATCTACAATCGATTGTTACTTACTTCCTTTTGTTTTGTTCTGTTTTTCGGCATTCGAGTACTCTACGTGTGATTTGCTTTAAAGAAACCGCGTTGGAAGCCTAGAAAGAAAATTCATGAAACCACTGTAATTAAAATTGGAACGCCAAGGGATTGAAAATTTGTCTATTTTCTTCGACACGTTATTTTTGAGTAGACCAAAGCCCCGACGAAAAAGACCTGAAAAAACTCAAAATATAAATAAATTGAAAGAAGTACGATACAGTGCCTTCATCTGCGAAACAAAATATTTTTGTAAATATTCATTGCAATGCGCACTCCAATGTAAAAACCTGCTTGAAACTCTTTTCTCACTTGTTGAAGTGCAAAAATAAAGCAAGGTAGTTCTGGAAATGCGTTGTTGTCATTCCAAGCTATAAAATGGGGAGGACAGTTTTTGAGCAACCGTGTATACAAAAAAACTACAGTCGTTGAAGAGACTCGTACATTCAATTTTTAAAATCGTAGTAAATGGGTTTGAACCGTTCTATGCTCGTGAACTTTTGGATTTTTTTATGAAGTCCTAGTAAAGCTTGAAACAGATGTCTCAACGTGTACGCACGATGTACGCTTAGCGGCTTTTCAGCGACGGCAGCCGCCGTTATCTTGGCTCAGTTCCAAACGGACGACATATTCTTACACGCATGCGCTTAAATAAAGGTGTAGCGGCTGCTTGTAACGAAAGTTTTAGCAACTTGTTCTATACGAGGTTATCGTGACTTGCAAGCTGCCTTTTAGCCGCAAATAAATGTATGCAAAGGGCCGAAACAGGAGATGGGGCAATGCAAACCCTCTCGTGCATTTGAGGCCATTGTGAGTGTAGTTCAGTATCTGATGTATTCGAATTTTCATGTGTTATTTTATGTGTTATTTTTATGTATTATTTTTATGTGTTATTTTTATGTTTTATTGATATAATTTTATGAAAATTCGAAACATGAGCATCATCAATGTTTCGTCTAAACTTGTTTGATAGCTGAGGTGTTCATCGCGAAAAATCTTCAAAAGATCGAGGAAACAACAAGTGAGTCAATGATAGTACTAAAACAATTGGTACGAAATAAGCCGGATTAAACAATGTCAGAGAGGGTAGGTGTCTTGGTGTTGTTTTGGGGAAGCTCAAAGTGGATGAACGAGTAAGCAACAGTGCAAACGACTAAACTTTTTCTCAAACGTTAGAACTCGGCAGTAGGATCGCTTACGGTAATCATTCGTGGTATCGTTGGTTCGTTGGATCGATCCGCAACTCCATTTGATTAAAACATTTTTGAGCTGCGGTTGCCCACACTATCGCATGTAATCAACCTAGAGCTCCACTGAACTTTTCATGGATATTGTGGATTGTTTTTACTCTTATATTTTAGTCAAGCTGTCGGCTGAATCAACAAACGTTGGCGATAGAAAATTTTTCGAGAGCAAGAAATAATGAGGAAAGATGTGCGAGGAAAGTAGAAGGGAAATTTCGTAGGACGCACAAGAGCAGTGCATCGATCGTGTCGTTTTGTTGCGCGCTTCGATGGATCATAACTTGCTGCTGCCAGCGCCTTTACTCCTCCGCTTCTTTGCCTTTCTTTTTCACTGCCTTCTCTTAAAATCTCCAGTAAAAAAGCTCACAACTTTTCAACTGTGCTAACCGTCGTGCCTTTCGTTAACTTATTGAATGAATTCAAAACTTAAGATTTTTAAGGAGAATCAAGAGCTGTAAATCTTTTTATATTTGAATTATTATTATATTTCTGAATTACATCGGTGCTGCTATTCATACACTATCCCAAAAATATTAAATAAAAATACGTATGTAGGCAAATAAAATCGATAAATACATTCTTCTAAACTATCGTTTCTTTACGTATCATTTTTACATTAAGCATATATGTAGAAAAAGCAAAATACGCTTTGATTAAGCTTTTAAAAGGGTACCAGGAAAAAATACAGGGTAGCAAAAGGAAACGTATATAAATTGAAACGGAGATATATCGACGTGAAAATTCTTTCGTCAGTATAATCTGTACCTATTACATGCGGGGTGCAGGTATGTAGCTGCGCAAAGAGTTTTGTATTTACAGATTCGTATTTACTCGGATCGAGCCAAATAAAAAGTTGAGAGTGATTTCCTGCATGAACTTTACATTCGATAAAAGAGGCGCAGGTACTGCTCGAGTTAATTTCAAAGATTTATATTGATTTTTTTTCTCAGATATTGTCGTGTAAGACGTATGGAAATGTTTGAACCAATCACCTTTTTAATGAGTCCAACCAATTCAATTTCCTTATCTTTTTTCGAAGTGCATACCATTTTTCCCATTTTTGTTGGAAAAAGAGACGTTGTTAGTCACCACATTGTTGAAGTAAAATACAATGATGAGGGTGCAATGACCTTATTTTGCTATTATACATCCGGCGTCGAATGGATTTCAATGCGGTTTGTACTATAATTTCATGAATTTTCCCTTTTATAGTATTGTACCTTTCGTTTAGTGTGATGATATCAGCATAAAATTAATTTTATCAAAATACACTGCTACACTGCGTTTCGAATTCACTGTGATAAAAAGATGTTGTAAAATGTCTTAAAAGTTATGCCCAGATCGAAATGCCTCTCGAGGCAAAGAACGGGTTAAGGTCTTCTTCATATCCTTTAGAATTAAAAATTCGGTCTTCATTCACTTGCGTGCGTGCGTGCGTGCGTGCGTATGAGGGTTCGCAAATCCTGCTTTACAACCAAATTTGTTTTGCACGCAGTCTTTTAAGCTGCTAATTAGCGCAACTTTTTTCTCCTTGAGTAATGCACGTAAGATAGCAAGTGCACAGTTGGGGTAGGACTGCATTGCGGCAACACTCTGTAACTAGTTAGCGAGTTAATTTTTCATCAAGTATTCTCAGCTCGACTGAGTTGAAAAATATTGCACGCTTGAGAAGGGCTGCTGCTGCTCGTGTATAACGTGGTTTCTCAGAGCAGTAGCAGCAGCAGCAGCGGGGCACGCCTGTCAAGATTTCAGTAGTAAAGAACATGTTAGGCCAGACGCACGTTTTCACGGCTATGTCTCGCTTTACAGTTGTACAACAATATCTCGCGGTGTACACGTGAGTTTCTCGTTGAAAGCATAACGAAACATTTAGCCACTTTGAAAATGAGCCAAAAACGAAAAGAGTCGGGGAGCTTCCTTTGTGCAATAATGCGAATAACGAAGCGCGTAATGAAATTAGCGGCTCGTAACTTTCCTTATGGTCGCTTTTTGACAATTTTTGTTCATTATCTACGCCTGA